ATTTCATTAAAAACAATAAATTCAACAAAAACAATCCAATTTAAAAAGGAGTAAAGAACTTGAATAGACATTTCTCCCAAGAAGATATAAAAATAGCCAATAAGAACAGGAACAGTGGGATTCCACCTCTTGGGTCCCCTTCTTCCTCCGGGAGAAGTCTTTTCTGCTGTCCTTTAATAAACTTCTAATTTCTACTCTGAAAAAAAAAAAAAAAAAAAGAACAGGAACAGATGGATGCTCAACATCACTCGGTTATAGGGAAATGCAAATCAAAACCAGAATGAGATAGTACCCCACACCCATTAGAATGGTTACTATCAAAGAAAGAGAAAATATATGAGGCATGGTGGCACCTGCCTGTAATCTCAGCTACTTGAGAGGAAGAGGACGGACAGCAAGTTAGATGCTAGCTTTGGTAACTGAGACCCTGTCTCAAAATGAAAAATCAAAAGGGGTGGGGGGTGGGGATGTAGTTCAGGGTAGAGCACTCCTCAGTTTAATCAATGTGGGCAGGGGAATGGCTTTTCATCAAAGTAACTCTGAAGGCAAAGAAGGAAGCTCCTGCCCCTTTCAAAGCAAAACTACAGCCAAAGCTTTGAAGGCCAAGAACAGTGTTAAAAGGCATCTACAGCCATAAACGAAAACAGATCTATGCTTTACCCTACCTTCTGCCCATCCAAGATACTGCAGTTCTGGAGGCGTCCCAAATATCTACTTCATTTGGCAGAATAGCATTTTGTGGGAATAGTGGAACTACTCATATCAGAGAGATGAGCACTGATAGGCTCAGTGAAAACCCTATTCCTCCAGGTTTTTCCAGATCCTGGCCTCAGGCCTTCCAAACACACATTCCTGATTCTGTTACTTTTTACAATTCAGTACCTCTCTACAGTTATTCAATCAGGCTGGAATAAGCAAACTACTTTACCATTCATATTAACCAAGATTTCCTACATGCACTCAGTTTCCCAAGAAAACCAGGAACTCTGATGAATGCTTTTCCTGCTATTTGGATTCTCTCCCTTCTAAATCTCTCATTATATCTACTTATCCTTGGTATCCTTCAAAGACCATATAAAATACCAACTCCTAGAGCAATGACATGGATATAATTTCCTAGAGAAGTAGTATCTCTTCCATCAAACTCCCTGTCTGGTCTTAAAACTTCTGACATTTGCCAGGCACAGTGGTGCACACCTTTAATCCCAGCAACTAGGGAGGTCGAGGAAAGAGAATCCAAAGTTTGAAACTTGGAACTGATTTAAAAAAACAAACAAACCTGACATTTAATTGTAATTAAACAAGTTACACAAGAACTATGTTCTTGTTTTATTTCTTGAACTCTACATTACAGGCATCATGGTTGAAGAAACAGTTATGTACTTTTTTTTTTTGTACTGGGGATTGAATCAGGCACTCAACCACTGAGCCACATCCCCAGCCCTATTTTGTATTTTATTTAGAGACAGGGTCTCACTGAGATGCTTAGAGCCTCACAGTTGCTGAGGCTGGCTTTGAACTCATGATCCTCCTGCCTCAGCCTCCCGAGCTTCTGGGATTACAGGTGTATGCCACCATGCCTGGCAGAGTTATATACTTTAAAATCTTTTATAGTATATTTTCCAGAGTATATTACTCAATAATTATTCATGCTTACTCAACATACTCAAAGAGATCTACAAAATGACTGAAGAGAAAAAATAAAAATGGCATAAAGTCCTATTTGGTATATTTCTAGGCTCTAAAATGCTATACTTTAGTAGGAAATCAACAGAACAGCAAAGTAACACAGGCTATGTTCAAACTATAGTTTTGCCACTAACTTGATACCAAATCTCAAGAAAGTTATTTAGCTTCTCTGGGTCTTAGTTTCTCTATCTGTAAAATGGTAAGAATATCACCTACCTCAAGGGTTGGAGTGAAAAACTGAGTTCATACACAAAAATACATTTGACAAAGCCTGGTATATAGTAAGTCTTCAAAGCATATTGGTAGACATTATGTTTATCATCATCATTTCTCCAGAAATCAATCTGTCCATTGGTAAATTGATAATATCAGGTATCTTTCAACTCAGACTCACATTGGAATACCTTATGACACTGAAGATAACAGAGATTGCAAGAAATTGACAAGTTGGGGTAAGCCTCTTAAGAGATCTAGAACCTAGGTTAGGTCTGTAAGCAGGATAGAGATGTGCTGAGAAAGAAGACATTTTAAAGAGAAATGATGGAAGTACCAAAGAGTACAACGTAAGGATGAAATCTGGTTTAGAGTTTGTGTTTTGGTGAAAATACGATATGGACTAAATGACTTTAAAAGTAGTAGATTAAGGAGCCAGGTGCGGTGGCACACTCCTGTAATCCCAGCAACTTGAGAAACTGAGGCAGGTGGATCACACGTTGATTTTAGATCAACCTCAGCAACTTTGAGAGACTATCTCCAAATAAAGAGGCTGGGGGTGGATCTCAATGATACAGCACCCCTGGGGATTCCATCCCTAGTACAATAAAGAAAGAAAGTAGTAGACTAAAAACAACAACTGATTATAAAAATTGTTATTTTATTACTAGAGTTTTTGGAGGAAAATTTGGGGAGTAGTGGCACCTGATGAGCATCTACTTTACCTAATGATCTGCTTTGAGAAATCTCACACTCTATACTAATTATACTTTAATGAAAATCTGTATAAAAAACAAGAATTTCATCACATTCTTCTAAAACCAAATATAATTGCTGGATTAGCTATTTTAAAAACATCCCTTTCTTTGTTATTTAATAAAACTAAGTACTATGACTATCCTTATGATAGAACACATTTCTGGAGAACTGAGAGCCTCCACAAATTATGTTACATTATTACAATGCAAGTCAAATTTTATGTTCTCTGCTGGGGGATGGCTCCCATCTTATGCAGAGTAAAGGTGAAATCCTCATAACACCCTAAAATGTGTTGGTTCTCCCCCACCCATCTTTCTTGAACTTATCTCCTATTACTCCCTCCTTTGCTCAGTACTTCAAGTCCATCAGTCTTCTCACTGTTCCTCTAATAGGCCAGCTTTATCCTCTTCAAGGCCTTTATTCTTGCCATTCCTTCCACTGGAATGTTCCTTTCCCCAGATACTTCAACAGCTCACTCCCTCATCTCCTTCTGTTTAAATATCAACTTGTCTGAAAGGACTTCCCTCACTACTTTATTGCAATTTGAAACCACCTTCCCATCCTGCTGTTCAGCTTTATTTTTCCCCTGAGGCACTGATTATCTTCTAACATACATCAGAATATATATCTGTCTCCCTCCCCACAAGAAAATTTCATGAGGACAGAGGTCACAGACCTCTCAATATCTAAAACCCCCCCCAGGGAACGGGCACACAGTAGGCATCAATAGAAATATTCCTTGAATGAATGAGTTATATTATGCTACATAATCTTCCTTCTGGGTACAGAAAAATACTTTTTTCACCGATGAAAGTTTTAAAGACAAATTTTTATTCTAAACACCGCTCACTTTCTACCTGCCAGAACTGGGCGGGACTCTAAAAAGTTTAAATGAATTAATATACAGTTCTTTGCCCCGTAGGAACTCGTGCGTGTATATGTGGCTGTGCAAATATACAAAAAATCATTTACGAAACAACATACAGGGAAGCCACAGAAAATTAAAAGGCAAACTAAAAGACTGAGGGCCAAAGAAGGAAATGCTCACAGGATAAGGAATCTATAGTGCCCCCCAAACTCTCACTAATATGTTTTTCCCTATATTTTTGGTGTGCGTGCTTGCAATCCACATAAATTATTTACTAACATAAGCTTTCAAGCAGGCCGCAAAAAGTTTGTGACAATGGTGATGCTAACCCCTGATTTACCCAAGGTTTCACAAAGATCACTGTCTTTACAATCTTCTTGTTTGTCAACTTTTGCTCCCGGGAACACCTACTCCGGGACTTTTATCTCCCTGCCTACCTGAGTCAGAATCCTCCCGGTGGCTCTCGGCCTCGGAGCCCAGCACCCTGCAAATCCCTTCCCTAACCTGGCAGGCGCCGCCTCCGGAAAGCCGCCAACTGGGCCTCGGCATGAGTTGCTAGCAGCGGGAGCCGTGGGAGGGCGACGCAGCTCCGAAGGCTCCCTCGAGGCCTCAGACTGCACTCCCATCCCTCCCCGGCCCCAGGACTGCCGGGGCCCAGAGGCTCCGCCGACTCTTTGTTAAGCGAGGCCGGGGTTCCTCAGCCTTCGCTAGGCCCCACAGTTACCTCTAGTGCTTCAAAGGGCTAGCGACCCCGCGTCCTGCCTCCCCCTTCCCCCTCTGCCACAAACCTGCTGCTATGGCTGCAGCGGCAGCTGCTACTACCGCCGGCGCGGAGAGAATCCCACGGCCCAAAGTACGCGCGGTACAGGCCCCGTCCCGCCGCGCTCCTCCCTCTCCGCCCCCTTCTCCGCCGCCGCCGCCTCTCGGCCCGTTGCTGGAGGGGGGGAGGGGAACACACACCTGACATGCGCAGTAAAGAGAGCGCGGGCCAAAGGGCGGGGCCTGGGGGCTACGGCTGCCGGAAGGCTCCGCTACTTCCCGCCCATGAAGTTCCAGAATCCCTCACAGGCTCCTTGGGCACTTTGACGGGAAGCTGCTGCTTGGGTGAAGTGTTCATGGCCCGTCAAGAAAGGGGGTCTGGGATGAAGAAAGAGTGGCAGTAACAGGGAGTCGCTCAAAAATTCAAAGAGAAAGGAGGTTGGCTGAAAACCACGTATACATAAAAAAAGTCGATCCCAAATCAGCTCCTTTGTAAATAAGACTTGGGCAACATTTCCTCTCATGCCTGTGACCACATGGTCCCATAGAGCATGGCCACCTTTAGCTTCCGGAGCACCAGTTCAGAGTGACGTCAACCCGACTGGACCCTAATAGAAAATGCCGGCTTCGGCGAGGGCACTTACGGCCCACGGGCGGGGATTATGTAACCTTCCCAGAAGTCCCATCTCGCTTCTTCTGGGCGGTGGAGGGGTAGGTCTGGTGCTGTAACTGAGTTCGCGTTACGCCCCTCACGCCCAGCGCAGGCGCGGATGAACCACACGCATTCTACGTAACGGACGGCAGAGATTACGTGAAAAGAGGGGCGGTGTGACTGAGCTACCTGCTTCTGCCTTGTCTTACTGGCGTAGCCGCCAGTAAACCTCGGCGACGATAAAGGTGGTAGCCAGGCTGAGAAGCAAGGCCGCAGGAGCGCCCGGCGGGCTTTAAGCTCGGGAACAGGTAGGTAGCGGGCCGTGATGCCTTAGTCGGTGGGGCTGGGTCAGGCCGAGCGGCGACTGAGTTGCGTGGCCTATAATTCGGTCCTGTTTTTCACCTAACCAGCCCTTCTGCCCTGCCAATGGTGACATGCATCCATCCCCGCGACTTCTTATATACCCTTTTTTTAAGAATATACACACACACACATACATGCATACGTATATATGTTATATTAAATATTAAATCTTTGTTCACTCTTCTGGCTCATTTTCTATTGGTCTTTTGGGGACTGGGGTAATTTTAGTGTGTTTTGGAATCTTCACAAAGCTCTGAGCAAATGCCAACCTAAAGGACAAAGTTAGAGGAAATTTACAACATGAGGCAGGAAAAATGGAGCATAAACATTGGGATGAATGGATTCTCCATGGTGGAGAGAGACTAAACAAGGGTGGTTTGATAGATGCAACTACTTTCTGTAGTCAGCCTTCTTTCTCTGAAGATTGTTAACATAAAACGGGGTTTTAACCAAACTTTTAAGGAGACAGAGGACTAATGTCAGAGGCCTCTTCTAAAATAACAGCAAAGAATGGTTGCTTTACTTACTCTTTCGTTTTTAAGTCCAGAGTCCGTCACTGAGAGACTACCCAGTGAGTTTATAGATAATAATCAAACCAGACTTGTTAGTGCTTGTGCCCTGCCTTGGTTCAGTGTTCCCTAGCTTCAGGAGTCCTAGAGACTGGGTGACCTGGCACGGAATTGTGCATTTGAGAAATGGGTTGACAGGTGCAGCAGAGACTTATGAGAGGAAAAGCCAATACACAAATGGCTTGTATAATATTAACCTAAATAACCTTGAAGGAGCACTGTCACATGCTGAGTTATCTTAAAAATGCTTCTGTGGGGCTGGGGATGTGGCTCAAGCGGTAGCGCGCTCGCCTGGCTTGCGTGCGGCCCGGGTTCGATCCTCAGCACCACATACAAAGATGTTGTGTCTGCCGAGAACTAAGAAATAAATATTAAAAAATTCTCTCTCTCTCTCCCACTCTCTCTTAAAAAAAAAATGCTTCTGTGTGTGTATTCTTAAAAGTTCCAAGTTAAAATTCAGTCTAAAATGACCATTTCGATTTGCAGTCTATTAGTCAAGTTGACAGCATCTGTTTGATCTGAAAAGGTGTGCCCTAAAATACTTTTTAACTCTTAAAAAGGTAATTAATAATGAAGGAACAAATACTTGTTGAGTGCCTTCTCTGTGGTAGATACTACAGGAGATATAAGCCCACCTCTTGGCTATTATGATTTGTTTCCACATTTTCTTTGGGTGATTTCTCTCTTGAACCCCTCACCAACTCAGCTCAGTACTTTCTGGTGATCTGTGCATTCCCATAGTGTGTCTCTTTCAAGCTCAAGTCTGTATCCTGAACTCTTATATTTCCATTTACTTTCTTTTTAAATAAGTACTAGATTGAATTTATTACCTTTTTCCTCATTATTTTTCTCCTTCATTGTTCTTTTTATCTCAATGAAGGATGGCTTTGTCCAGCTATTCACTTTTATTTAAACAAAACTTGGAATCATTGCAGATCTTTCTTCCTCATGTTCCCAGCATCTGGTTACTTTATGTTGCCAAATATAATTCTTAGTATCTGTCAAATCAATTTTTATTTTTCATTTCTGCCACTTCCAGTTAAATACTGTTTAATTATCTCAGCCAGTTCTGAGTTTCCTGTGTCAAGTACCCTTCTAAGATTCATGCTGCCTATAAACTATGAAGATTAGGTTGCAAATCTGTATAGTTTTCCTATTTAAAATCCTTTAGTTGTTTCTAGTTATCCAAAGTTCTTGGTGTGTCATATAAAGATCATATCTGGCCACTGCTGTCCTTTTCAGCAAGTTAAGTCTGCAAACCCAATGCTCAGAAAAGTGAAATGTGTTATTTCAGGCCTTTGTGTCATAGCTGTTCCTTGTCTTCTTTCCCTAATGCAGAAAATATACTTTTATTTACAAAGAATTATTTCTTTTAATTACAAGCATATATCATAGGAAAGTTAGAAAAAGAAAAAGAAAGATAATACCAATAAACATACCATACACACTAACTACTGTTCTATGTAGATATATGTACTTTTAAACCTTTTCCTTTATGTCCATGTGCTCCTAAAACAACATGGTTTCTAACTTCTTTGTAACAGATTTTAATGGGCAAAAGTAAGTTTGTTTGGATACATCCATAATTTAACCAAATAGTTTCAAAACTTGTACTGTCATAAGTAATACTGTAATACATATTCTTTAAGCTAAATACCTGAGCAAGTTTATGTCAGGAATTACATTTTACTTATCTTGGCATGATCATATGCTTAGTGGCATGGTAGTATACTTAGTGAAGGTATAGTTGATATAGTAGGATCATTTTATAGAAAACAGTGAAAAAAGCCAGAAGAATTTTTATATTGTTTTGCAGGAGTTGGTTGGCCTTTGATGACTTATGTAACCAAAGTTGTATTAGAAAGATGACAGTGGTTTCAAGGAAAGAGAAATAGGGAGTAGGAAAGAATTCAGTTTAGGATAATGCTGTGGTTTCTTAGCAGGTGGTGATAATTTGGATCATGGTGGCTTACAGAATCAAAGAATACATGGGGGTTTGATGACTGATTAAATTTCAAATGCAGAAGAAATGAGAAATTAAATATCTCATTTTTAAAAACAAGACTGGAAAAAATGATATTGATATTATAAAAACAGGAAAATTCAGATACCTGCTGAGTTTAAGATGACCATAGAGCAGGGGTCAGCAAACAAAGCCTTAGAGGTGGCCTTTGAACTAAGAATGTCTTACATTTTTAAAGAGTTATTTTTAAAGGGTACCCAACAGTGTCTGCTCCACAAGCCTAAAATAGTTACCAAGTATAGTATGGGGTAGCGGGGGGATTGTAGAGCATGAAAATGGACATGCCTTTTAGATAGCAGATGATGTAAGTCTCCTGTTTAGATAAGAGGGCAGGACTTTTAAAATAAACCTAGATGGTTGGGGTTTTGGTTTTTTTTTTTGTTGTTGGTGGTGGTGGTTGTTTTTTGTTTTGTTTTTGTTTTTGTACTTGTACAGATTGAACCCGGGGCACTCAACCACTGAGTTACATCCTCAGCCTTATTTATTTTTTATTTTGAGACAGGGTCTTGTTTAGTTGCTTAGGGCCTCACTTAATTGCTTAGGTTGGCCTTGAACTTGGGATTCTTCTGCCTCAGCTTCCTGAGCTGCTGGGATACAGGTGTCTGCCACAACTTTTGGCCCCTAAATGTTTTTTGTTTGTTTGTTTGTTTGTTTTATTTTTATATATTTTTTTGACATTTGAAATTCAGATAACTTTATTTAAATTGAAAAACAATTCTTAAAACTGCATTTAAAGTCAAGACCCTTTTGTTATAAAAATCACCAGAAGTATTTCTAAGTAAGGCAGAAAGAAGTATTTTTAGGTTAACAAAACCAGATTTGATTTTGGATTTTATTCTTAAGCTGTAGAGGAAGGAAAGGGAAAATTAGGTTATTTACAGAAAACATTATCTACATATGTACTCAGTTACAAATTTGGTGACAGAAAAGACTTTCAGTCTTTTAGAAGCAGTTCTCAAAGAGCTTAGTTTTGTTTCCTCAGATTTTAAGAATGCCTAAGATCCTTCTTCATCCTCGATCTTGGGAGCCAAATAATACTTTAAATGTCCCATGTCAGCAATTTTATACTCTACAACAAGGGGTACATCTGCAGACATACTGAGTGTTACTGTAGGAGAGAGTGGAGTGGCTTTTGTAAAGAAGTTCAGGTACCTCAGTGCAAAAGTTAGCTGAACTGGCTCATTCATCTCTATGATAACAGCTTCCTTTTCTTTATCAACATTATTTGTTTGAGACAACTTAATGTTTCCATTTCCAAGTTCTCCACTTGCAGAAAATTTCACTCCATCTTTTGCATAGGATATTACAACAGCATCTCCAGTATGACTGAGGTCTCGGCATATATGTGCAAATTCACCAGAAGGCATCTTTACTACACAACTGTACTCTTGTTCTGGAATTCCAAAATTGTTCAACATTAACTTCATTTCATGGGGCTAGGGATGTGGCTCAAGCGGTAGCGCACTTGCCTGGCATGCGTGCGGCCCGGGTTCGATCCTCAGCACCACATACAAACAAAGATGTGTGTCCGCCGAAAAACTAAAAAATAAATATTAAAAAAAAAAAAAAAAAAAAAAACTTCATTTCATAGTCTGAAACTTTCTCTTGATTCGGTGCTTCAAATACTAGCGCCAATGTATCCGCATTATCTTCAGCCCTTAATGTAATAATGTCTTCATTGCCAGCACATTTTAGTATTTTGGACATGCTGGTGAGGTTCACCCATGGCCAGGTTGCGATCACAGAGGTATGTGTCGAAGTCCTCGGAGCACAGGGTGAGCTGCACCAAGGAGATGGGACGAGTCCATACTCTGAAGGTTTACACCACCAGAGCTGATGTCCCAGCAGGCCTGGTTGATGAGGTCCTTGAGGGCTTCCAGCACCTTCTTCAGGATGGACCCCTGGACCAGGTGCTCCTCGAACATGGTGGTGAAGTCTAAGACGAAGCTACGGCTGGGTGGAAAGCAGTAAGGCCTATTCGGAGTTTAGGCTTCCCAAGGCCCAGAGAGAGTGGGCGAACACAGCAGAGACTGAGACCAGAGAAGACGACCTGTTTGTTTGTTTTAAATATATTTTTTTAAGTTATAGATGGACTCACTACCTTTATTTTATCTATTTACCTTTATGTGGTCTGAGAATCGAACCCAGGGCCTCACACATACTAGACAAGCACTCTACCACTGAGCTACATCCCAAGCCCCCTTAGCTACTTCCATTGCAGCATAAATGCCTTAACTGTTAGATAAAATGATTGCATTGTTTTTCATATTTTCATATAAGATTTTTTGTTTGTCACAGATATTTTTTCATTATTTTTGTTAGTTCACAAACTTGTTCAAATGTTAGAATACTTACTATTCTTTTCTGAAAGCTATAAAATGCTGGTAATGTTGCATTCTACCATATACACTAGAAACAGTTTGTTAGTAAATTACTACTCTAAGTAATATAAAGCCACAGCTGCCAGCTTACATTTGAGAAGTAACTTGAGAATGGCTCAGCACATATTCTGAAGTCAAAACTCTGGAATCAAATCCACATGTCTGTGTCATGTGGTAGTTGTATTATTTAACATCTCTGCCTCATTTTCCTTATCTGTGAAATTGGGATTTGGGTAATTATGCTTTCCTTAGAGGATTGTTATGAGGATTAAAACATTTGCTTTTTGTGGATTAAATCAGTTGCTTTTCATAAAGCTTTTAGGACAGTACCTAGCACTTAATGTTTTAAGTGAATACTCTTATAACATGTGCAGGCACATATAAAAAATTGATCTAAGGGCAAATGGCGTTTTTGTGTGTTTGTGCAGTGCTGGGAATCAAGCCCAAGGCCTTTGACATGTACTGAGCGATATCCCCATCCTTGCATAGCTTGTTTACAGATTATTTTTGTTATCACTAATAGGTAAATAGTTGTATCTTATTCTTTCATGATATGTCCTTTTCATTGTCTTTAGAAAGCTTTGTATAAGCCCTCAAGTGTATGTTGAAAAAAAGAAAAAAATTTCCTTTATGGAACACTCAGTTTAAATGGAAAAAAATTTTCAGAGACCCCCACCCTAAAGAAATTACATGATTTGTCCAAGATTTTACAGATGACTAGTAACAAGGTCTAAACTAGATCTAAGCCTCTTGACCTGACTTTTTTTTTTTTTGTATAATGTTTTTGAAATCTGAGAGTATGGAGTAAGAGAAAAGCAGGAGAGGTTTTTTATTTTTATTTTCACTATTTATAAAATCTGTTATTTGTAGAATAGAGTTCATTTTAAGGCTCTTTGTTTTGTTTTTTAATCTTATTTTTAAGGTGCAATGAAAGCTTTCTGTGCTTTCTTTGTTGTTGTTTTGGTGTTCGGGAGTGTCTCTGAAGCCAAGTTTGATGATTTTGAGGATGAGGAGGACATAGTAGAGTATGATGATAATGACTTTGCTGAATTTGAAGATGTCCTAGAAGATTCTGTTACCGAATCTCCTCAACGGGTAATAACTACTGAAGACGACGAAGATGAGACAACTGTGGAATTGGAAGGGCAAGATGAAAACCAAGAAGGAGATTTTGAAGATGCAGATACCCAGGTGGGGTTTTCTTTCATTGATTTTTTTTTTTTCCCCCAATTTGGAGGATGGGAAATTTTATAACTAGCACTTCTCAAATATTAGAAATAAGACATAGATCTAGGGAGACCTTTACTCTCTGGAATCTTCATTTTTCTTCAGTAGATAAGAGTTTTCCCTACTGAAAAACAATTTGTGATGTTTCCATCTTTTACATTAAAAAATATGGTAAATTGTGTTTTCCTCCTCTATGGCAATCCTGGCTAGGGAAGGGGCTAGAGAATAGATATTGTGTATGGGTGAGGATTGTCATCATTTAGGTTTAGAACTTTGGGTTCTAAAGTATGGGGAGTCATCATTTTTGTGTTTTTGGGTTTTTGTCTCAGCTTTATTGAAGTTTAGTGACAAATGAAGATTACGTATATTTAAATTGTACAACATGGTGTTTTGATATGTGTATACATTGTGAAGTGATCATCACAAACTAGTTAACATATTGTTACCTCACATAGTTTTCTTTATTTGTATGTGTAATGAAAATACTTACCATCTATTCTCATAGCAAATTTTAAGTATATATAATATTCTACTAATTATTACCATGCTATATTGTACATTAAGTCTCCAGAACTTATTTATTTTAGGACTGAAAGTTTGAACACTTTGATATTTTGCTAAAAACATCTAATATCTCTGTTCTGGGCTTTCTGTTAACAAGTTCTCTTTTCCTTTACAAACGTTGCCTGCAAAATGAGACACTATTGCTGGTGACATTTGTAGAGAAAAACAGATTGTGCCTCATTTTTGTAGGAGGGAGATACGGAGAATGAACCTTATGATGACGAAGAATTTGAAGGTTATGAAGACAAACCAGATACTACTTCTAGCAAAAATAAAGACCCAATAACAATTGTTGACGTAGGTATACAGGGTTCTGAATTCTAAATTAACCAACAAAACATCTTGATGTCATTAATCCCAGAAATATAATTAGTGACATATGGCTGGTGTTGATGTTATAGTGGAAATTGAGAAATAGCTTAACATCAGTTATTCTGATAAACATCTATACCTAGAAATCTGTGGTAGTGCACCAGTTAAGCATGCAAAGACCCTGGGCTCGATCCGCAGCAGCACCACCAATCCAAAAAAAAAAAAAAGGATCATATCTGGAAAAAGAACGGCTATTTTATTCTAGTTCTCCTGGTTTTATTATCAAGAAATAAATAATGTATAACTAATTAGAATAAAAATAAATAAATAAATAGGCATGGTGGTGCATGCCTGTAATCCCAGTAGCTCTGGAGGCTGAGACTGGAGTATCACAATTTCAAAGCCAGCTTCAGTGTCTTTGCAGGGCCCTAGGTAACTCAGTGAGATCCTGTCTCTAAGTAAAATATAAGAAGGGTTCGGGATGTGGCTCAGTGGTTAAGTGTTCCTGGGTTCAAACCCCAGCACACACTAAAAAAGAAATAAATAAACAGGTATACCATACACTGGATATATTTTGGGGTGGGACTCAGAACCAAGTTAATACAAAGAATTTGCCAGCTTTTCATCTCATCTGATTCTCTTTAACATTTCCTTAAAGAATCTTTTACAAAACTAAGTTAAAAAACCAAAATAGGCTTATTTCTCGATGTATAATCATATTCAGTGACAGTTATATAAGAGATTTATTTCTACTTATGGGTTTTCTCATTTTTCATACCATTATTAGACTCTTATCATTCAGCCTTATCTAATATTAAATGGAATAATTTTGATTCTTTAGGTACCTGCACACCTCCAGAACAGTTGGGAGAGTTATTATCTAGAAATTTTGATGGTGACTGGTCTGCTCGCCTATATCATGAACTACATTATTGGAAAGAATAAAAACAGTCGCCTAGCACAGGCCTGGTTTAACACTCATAGAGAGCTTTTGGAGAGCAACTTTACCTTAGTGGGTAAGTTAGGCCAATATATGTCCAGCTCCCTGCTTGAAAATAGTCTGGTAAGAAGTGTTTATTCCCTTCAGCATAAGCATCTAACTGCTTTCAGTAAATGCTAAAGAGGATGCATTTTCTTGTCACACATTTTTTTTTAATTGGTCCATTATAATTATATGTAATTCTCAGATTCTTTGTTACATATTTGTACATGAACATAATAGAGTAATGTAATTTGTTCAGTTTTGTTCCCTAGTAACTTACCTTCGTGCATTTTTTTCTAAGTATAAGCGTCCAGTTGCTTTCATGTACTGCTTGAAGAGGATACATATTTTTTTTTAGTTTAATGTACTGAGTATATTGCATTTATGTAATAATTTCTTTATCTTTTATCAAACAATAGTATAATTGCACTAGGCATGATGGTGCACCCCTGTAATCCCAGTGGCTCAAGAGGCTAAGGCAGGGGGATCATGAGTTCAAACCCAGCCTCAGCAATGGGAAGCCTTAAGCAACTCAGTGAGACCCTGCCTCCAAATAAAATACAAAATATGGCTGGGAATGTGGCTCAGGGGTTGAGTGCCTCTGAGTTCAATCCCTGGTATCCTCCCCACACCCCAAAAAAGTTGATAAACTTCTGGTTGAAACTATGAAATTTTGACATTATAAGTAACTCGATAAATGCTTTCAATTCACCTTTAGAAATTGGAAGTCCTGGGCTGGGGATGTGGCCCAAGCGGTAGCACGCTCGCCTGGCATGCGTGCAGCCCGGGTTCGATCCTCAGCACCACATACCAACAAAGATGTTGTGTCTGCCAATAACTAAAAATAAATAAATAAATAAATAAATATGTTTTAAAAAAAAAAAAAAAAAAGAAATTGGAAGTCCTGCTGGGCACAGTGACACATTTCTGTAATCCCAGCCACTTTTGAGGCTCTGGCAGGGGATCACAAGTTTGAGGCCAGACTGGGTGACTTAATGAAACCTAGGGTCTTTTTTAAAAAGGTCTAAGAATGTAGCTCAGTGGTAGAGCACTTGCCTAGTATGCTCAAGGACCTAGACTCAATCTCCAGTACTGTACTACCAAAAAAAAAAGGAAGAAAGAGGAGGAAGAAAAGAAAAGAAGTTGGAAGCCCCTTAAATTTCTCTCCAGTTCTAAGGTACTGAATCTTCTGATGAGATATACACTGAAGTACTTGGAGGAATATCTGTAACTGTGCAGTATAAGAAGTGGGGTGGACTCCCCTCACATGAACCTCTACTTGTCATTTTAACACTTTTTTTGTTGTTGTGGGGGGTGGTTGCTATACTGGGAATTAATTCCTGGGCTTCACACATGTTAGGAAAGTACTTCTGAGTGACACTCCCAACATTTTTTTATTGTGAGACAGGATCTCACTGAGTTGTCCAGGCTGGCCTCAAACTTGCAATCCTCTTTCCTCAGCCTCCCAAGTAGTAGGATAACAGGTATGCTCCACCGTACCCCGGTATCACTTTATTCCACTTTAATAGTAAAAAGGGGGGCTGGGGTTGTAGCTCAGTGGTAGAGTGCTTGCCTAGCACGTGTGAGGCACTGGGTTCCAGCCTTAGCACCACATAAAAGTAAATAAATAGAATATATTGTGTCCATCTACAGCTAAAAAATATTTTTAAAAATAGTAAATAGGGATCCATCAACTCTATTCTTTAGCAGACTATTTATATATTGTGCTAGGTACTTTGCATACATTGTTTCTTATTTGCTCTTTGTAACAACACCATCAATTGGGTATAATTTTTGTTTTCCTTAGAAGTTAACTGGAGAGCAGAAATATTAAAACATGGCTGAACTATTAAATTGCCAAAGTCCATGCTCTCTATGATACTTTCACCTCTATGCAGTGGTTTTTCAGAGTACTTTTTGACCAGGACATTGAAAAATATAAGCAGTTTTTTGACTCATTGCCCTCCCTCTTGCTCCATTTTCATGTGGTTACCAGAGTCTGTTGTTTTTCATGGAGACAAACATTTTAAAAGTGAAAAGCAGCCCCTGTTTCTTCCAGTCTGGATGGCCACATAGCATACAAGTCCCACTGAATGATGAGGAGCCTTCCCACAGCTTTCATGCCTACTACATGCTGGTATCTGAGGGCAAATGCCATCTGCTCTGTTCTCCATGCATAAATTCACAGAGAAACATGAAAGGATGACAACAGAAAATAGTATTGGAACAGTGGGTAGGAATCAACTTTGTGCAGGAAACTTTGGGAAATTATTTTATTATTATTATTATTATTGTTATTATTATAGCTTTATAATTATACATAGTATTTGGGTTCATACTAACAAACTCATACATGCATTGAATTCGATTTCAGGTTATGATCATTCCTCCTCCCCTTCACCCCTTTTTTTCTTCCTTTATTAGACTTCTTTCGCTCCTCTATTTATTTGTATTTGATTGGTTCTTTGGTTCTTTTTACTTATGCATAAAGGTAAAATTCCCTGTGGTATATTTATATTTGCATATATAACATGATTTTTTTAAGAATTCATTCTGCATTACTTCCCCTTAACCATCCCTCTGCTCTGCCTCTCAGTGGGAGATATTTTTACTATAGTCTGTCTAAAGTTGGTACAAAAAAAGGAAAAGTTTGGTGCTTTGGAAAGTGTGAAAGCTAGTGAATTTTTTTTTCCTCTGTCAGGAGAGATAACTGAGGTTAATGAAACTCTTAAAGAATATCTAGGATTTGTCAACAGTTCTTTTAAAAAGGATGGTTGGTTCATCAAGATGACTCAGTAACCCTCAAGAACTAGATTAACTAATGAGTAAAGAAGTATAAGAAATACATCAAATCTGGGCTGGGGATGTGGCTCAAGTGGTAGTGCACTCGCCTGGCGTGCGTGCGGCCCGGGTTCGACCCTCAGCACCACATACAAACAAAGATGTTGTGTCCGCCGAAAACTAAAACATAAATGTTAAAAATTTCTCTCTCTCTCTCTCTCTCTAAAAAAGAAAAGAAAGAAAGAAAGAAATACATCAAATCTATTAAAGTGTGAAAATGGAACATTAAACAAACTAGAAAAAAATAAGTAGTAGTGGGCTGGGGATGTGGCTCAAGCGGTAGTGTGCTCACCTGGCATGGGTTCGATCCTCAACACCACATAAAAATAAAAAATAAAGATATTGTGTCCACCTTAAACTAAAAAATAAATATTTAAAAAAATAAGTAGTAGTAAAAGGAACAGTGCCAATCTATATAAATCTCTCTCCAAAAGAGATTCTATAAGAGAACAAATTATTGTTACCTTAAAGCTATGATCATGTTGGAGTCAGGATAGAGGAAGGGTGTGATAATTAGGCCCCAAATTTTCAGTGAATCACATTAAGTGGTTTTACCCCTAGGAGATGATGGAACTAACAAAGAAGCTACAAGCACGGGAAAGTTGAACCAGGAGAATGAGCATATCTATAACTTGTGGTGTTCTGGTAGAGTGTGCTGTGAGGGAATGCTTATCCAGCTGAGGGTAAGTAACTTTTGGTCCAATGTATATCATCCCTTTTTTCTAAATGTGGTTCCTAATGTTCTAAATTCAATGTCTCATCTCTTCATGTTTGGTTTAAAATAAGGTTCAACTATTCTGCTAACTGACAAGCATGTTATAGAGGATATTTGATAAAGCAAGTGATTTTCTCTCAAAGTCCCTTTCTTTATAATAAGTAGAAGTTAAAACTATATTAACTCCTTATTTTTTTAGTTCCTTAAGAGACAAGACTTACTGAATGTCCTGGCACGAATGATGAGGCCAATGAGTGATCAAGTGGTATGTATTATACATGCTGGTTACAGATTGAATTTGTTACTTCTTTGACCTTATTCCATTTCTACCTGATTGTTATTGGAATTTCTGGCAATTTATATCCCTTTCCAAAAAAAAAATGATCCTTTTCTATTTAAGCAGATCTTCTTTCACTCAGTGTACAACTATCTGGAGGCCTTAATGTGCTTTTTGGAGGGAAGGAGAAATACTCTACCACCACAGAGATCAGCTAAATTAGCCTTGATAGAGGGAAGAAGAATTGTCACAAATAGTTTGCCTTCATATCTACTTCTGCTTCTTATGTATGTCTTTGTTTTTGGCAAAAAGCTGGGTTTCTTCTCAAATTTTTTTGCTTCAGATAATTAATTTTGGTTGAAGGAGCTCAAACCATGATTTAAGAACTTTATTATTGGGCATACCTTCTTTCCTTTATTAAATTAACTTGTTAATCTGCCAATGTATCCTTTATTAGAAATGCCATATTCCTCCTTCCTTAATTCTTTCAGTAAATAATTGTGTTGGTTCCCACTGGTACAAGAAACAAAAATATACAGAATAGCTGGGCATGGTGGCACCCACCTGTAATCCTAGCATCTCTGGAGGCTGAGACAGGAGGGTTGCAAGTTCAAAGCCAGCCTAGGCAAGGATCTCAAAACGAAAAATAAAAAGGACTGGGGATGTGGCTCCATAGTAGAGCATCCTGGATTCTATCCTTAGTACTGAAAAACAACAATAAAAAAAAAACAAGAAAAGGACAATTTCTTCTTTTATATGAATTAATAAAATAAGAGATATATAAGTGTATGTCAAAGTACAAAGTAGTGTTAAGTAAGTGTTGTATTAGTTTTATAAATTTAGTACTTTCAAATGTTATTGGATTATTATATTATTATTATATATTATATATTATGATTATATTATTATTTTAGGTGGACATATTATTTTGCTTTTATGTGGTGCTGAGGTTGGAACCCAGTGCCTCATGCATGCTAGGCGAGCACTCTACCACTGAACCACAACCCCAGCCCTACACCCAAACTACTTCTACTCTGAACTTTTCTATTCCTGTCATTGAAACACTATTTCTTTCCCAATCACTTGGGTGCACACTCAAAAAGAAAAAAAAAAAAATTGGAATGATCAGTTGTCTATAGGTAGGATGGGCTCCCTGAGAAGGTGCTAAGTCTCTGGCATGGCAAGTTTTCACATAGAGATTAGATAACCATATATCCAGGATCTTGTAAAACATATTCTCCAAAGTGTAGGGAATGGGCTAAATGATGGTGTCCTTTCTAAATTACTTTAATAAGTAATTTATAATTACTTCCTGCTCCCCGTTCATCTCTCTTTTCTTTCTTGGTTTTTTTTTTTTTTTTGGAGGTGGGGGCAATACTGGGGATTGAACCCAGAGGTCTCTGAGCTACACCCCAGTCCTTCTGTTTATATTTTGAGCCAAGGTCTTGCTAAGTTGTCTAGGCTGGCCTCAATTTTGTGATCCTTCTTGTCTCAGCCTCCTGCATAGCTAGGGTTACTGACATGTCACTGCATCTGGCTCATCTCTCTCTTTTTTCTCCCTCTTTTTTGGTACTGGAGATTGAACCCAGGGGTGCTTAACCACTGAGCCACAATCCCCAGCCCTTTTTATATTTTATTTAGAGACAGGGTCTTGCTGAGTTACTTACATCCCCACTAAGTTGCTGAGGCTGGCTTTCAATTGCAGTCCTCCTGCCTCAGCCTCCCAAGCTGCTGGGATTACAGGAATGCACCACCATGCCTCTCCTTGAAACTCATTATTTTAAAGATTTCAATTTTAGTTGTAAATCTACATCTTTTAATTTTTTTTAATGTCGCCATTGGTGACTTAATCCACTAAAGTTTAGAGCCTCATCAGTTAATGTTCCTGTCATCTCTTTTCCCACCAAACATTAGTTAAAAATGAAGAAGCTGGACACAGTAGCCCATGCATGTAATCCCAGCAACTTGGGAGGCTGAGGTAGGAGGATCTCAAGTTCAGAGCCAGCCTCAGCAATTTAGTGAGGCACTAAGCAACTCAGCAAGACTCTGTCTCTAAAATATAAAAAAGGGCTGAGGGTATGGCTCAGTGATTAAATGCCCTTATATAAATAAGATGACAAGTAGGGCCATGTTTTGTCATATCAATCTCCACTACTCAAAAAAATAAAAAAAGAAGAAGAAAATTTGCTGTAACCTCCCCAGCCATCTTTCATAGAAATTATTCTTTAGTGTTTGAATCATGTCATTTCTTTCCTGGAGTGTATTTACTCTTCTCTTTTTCCTCTGGGCCAGTCATCCTTTTTTCTCTCCTTTCCTCCCTCCTTTTCCCCTACCTCTCAAAGAGAAATTACCTTAATAAACTCATGATTCTTTTTTTTTTTTTTTTTTTAGTATTTTTTAGTTGTGGATGAACACAATAACTTTATTTTGCTTATTTATTTTTTAAATATTTATTTTATTTCTTAGTTTTAGGTGGACACCATATCTTTATTTTACAAGTATGTGGTTCTGAGGATCGAACCCAGTGTCCCATACATGCTAGTCAAGCACTCTACCACTGAGCCACAATCCCAGCCCCGCTTATTTATTTTTTATGTGGTGCTGAGGATCAAACCCAGTGCCTCACATGTACAAGGCAAGTGTTCTACCATTGAGCCATAACCCCCATGATTGAGCCCATTGAGCCCACACCCATGATTCTTTACATTTAGTTTTTTTTTTTCTTATAGGATTCTGTTTAAAGTGTTAACTTTGTATAATTTTCTGTCAATGTTGAAAGAGCAGAAAATTTTTCTTTTACGGCTGCTATTTTGCCAGATCTTACCCAATAGTAACATTTCTTTTTTCCATATTATTGGAAAAACTGATAATTATTTGACTCAAACATTTAAAAATATAAATAAGATGTCAAGTAGGGCCATGTTTTGTCATATCAGACTCTTTAGGCTTTTAATTTTGGCCCAATGCAAAATATTAATAGTTGTTTACTTGCTTTGGGGGTATTTTCCAACACCAACAGTTCTTTGATTCTCTGGACACCAATTGAGTGCTAACAATTCTATTCAATTCTGATACTATCTGCCTGGAGTTAGCTTAGATCCCACAGGCTGAAGGGTCCAATCCCACAAGACTATTCCTGTTTCAGAGGGAATTGCAGATCCCAGGCCATCCATATTGCCATGTACAGTTCTGACTGATCAAAATATAAACTGGACATTTCTACAACCTCTGGCCAGGTTCATTAATTTGTTAGATTATCTCACAGAACTCAGGAAAACATTTTACTTACATTTACTGGCTTATTTTTAAGGATATAACTCGGGAATAGCCAAATAAAAGAGAAATAAAGGGTGGTACATAGGAGAGGGGTATGCATGGAGCATGACCTTTCTGAGCATTTTACTCTTCCAACAGGTTGATGAGTTCACTAACTTGGAAGCCCTCTGTATCTTATTCAGGATTTTTTTGTTGTTGTTTGTGGTACTAGAGATTGAACCCAGGACCTTGAGCATGTTGGGCAAGTGCTGTTCACTGAGCTAAATCCCCATTCCTGTTCTGGAGTCTTTGTAGAACTCAATTTCCATTTTTCCTTTCTTTCCCAGATATCTTGAATAGGGCTGAAAGATCACACCCGCTAAGCCCTTGATTATTATGATGACTAGCCCTATTTCTGATGCCATCTAGGAGCCAACCAAAGTCATTGCATTTCTTTTCTCAATAACAAAAGATACTCCAATCATTCATGTGATTCTAAAGGTTTTAGGAGCTTGGTGCCTGAAACCTGGGACAAAAACCAAATGTATTTCTTATTATAGCACATTTCCAATTAGGATCTTTTTGCATGGGTGGGTACCAGGGATTGAACTCAGGGGCACTCACCACTGAGCCACAACCCCAGCCCTATTTGTATTTTATTTAGAGATAGGGTCTCACTTGAGTTGATTAGCACCTCACTTTTTGCTGAGGCTAACTTTGAACTCACGATCCTCCTGCTTCAGCCTCCCGAGCCTTTGGGATTTTAGGTGTGTGCCACCGCACCCAGCTTCAATTAGGATCTTGTTAATGCTGAATTTTGGACTTGAGTATTCCTATATGAATCTGTTAGTATTCTATTGCTGCAGAACAAATTAACACAAATTTGGCAGCTTAAAATAACACCCATTTGTTATCTCACAGTTTGTGAAAATAAGTAGTCCAAGCATGGGTTCTCTGCTCAGGTCTTTGCAGGCTGAAATTAAGGTATCAGCAAGATTAAAGTTTCCTTCTTGGGCATCACTTTCTCAAGATCATTCAGGTTGTTGGCATAGTTCAGTTTCTTGTAGTTGTAGATCTCTATTTTCTTTCTACTTACCAACTGGCTCCTAGAGGCCACCCTCAGTTCTTTATCACTCATCTTTATTTAAGCCCTTTCACTCCTTGATTCTTTTCTTCTCATAGAGTCTCATCCTTTTTAAGGATTTGCATGCTTAGTGGGTATACCCAAGATAATGTCCCTTTTGGTTAATTCAGAATCAATCAATTAAGGACCTTTTGCCTTATAACAACATAATTATGGGAGTGATGACACATCATACTTGCAAATCTCACTCAAGGGAGTTCTTAGGGACCATTTAGAAATCTATCTACCGTAGAACCCAATAGTAAGCTTTGTTGTTTTGTTTTAAAAGCAAATAAAAGTAACTATGAATGATGAAGACATGGATACCTATGTGTTTGCTGTTGGCACACGGAAAGCTTTAGTTCGACTGCAGAAAGAGATGCAGGATCTGGTACGTCAAGTTTTTCCAACTGAAATATGTATAGAAACTGCTTCTTTATTAAATAGATTTTCATTGCACAGACAATTACCTTACTCAAATGTTGTTAAGTTTTGAAATATGTTAATACAGATGCTTTTTTGAGGGGGAAATCTTTGTGCATAATCAAATGTCCTATCTTATTTTCAAAATTTTCTTCCTCCAGAGTGAGTTTTGTAGTGATAAACCTAAGTCTGGAGCGAAGTATGGACTGCCAGACTCTTTGGCCATCCTGTCGGAGATGGGAGAAGTCACAGAGGGAATGATGGATACAAAGGTAAATGTAAAAAAGACTTATATTTGCCAGACCTGGCATTGAGAAGGCTTTTCCTAAAAGTCACCCTGTATGAATCCTTAATGTTAATGCATTAATTATGTATTCTTTTCTCACATCAATTCTGAAATACCATATTTAAGCAATAATTCAACTTGTCAGAAGTACTGTTTGATTAGTCAAGAAGTTCTCTGAATGAATAGCAAATTGTTTCTGGGATTGCTAATGACTTTCAGGTTTTTTGAAGAAGGAACACAACTTCAATTCTTTTCACCATGCCATTTGGTCTATAATTTTGATCTTCAATTAGCAGAATAGGAGAAGAGGGTGTTCAGAGAACCATTTCTTTCTTTTGGTTGTGTTATGGTAACAGTATATCTTACTTACATTAAATTATGGAATAACTCAGGGATAGTTCCAAATGTAAATTCAAGGTGACATGTTTATAAAGAATCCCTTGAGCCAGGCACGGTGGCACATACCTGTTATTCTAGTGGCTCAGGAGGCTGATGCAGGAGGATTTTGAGTTCAAAACCAGCTTCAGCAACTAAGTGAGGCCCTAAGCAACTCATCAAGACCCTGTTTCTAAATAAAATATTTTTAAAAAGGTTGGGGATGTAGCTCCTGGTTAAGTGCCCCTGGGTTCAATCCTTGGTATTAAAAAAAAAAAAGGAATCCTTGAATCTGGGTGTAGTAACAGGCCTGTAATCCCAGCAGGTAGGAAGCCTGAGGCGAGGATTGCAAATTCAAGGCCAGCCTCAACAATTTAGGGAGGCCCTAAGCAACTTAATGAAACCTTGTCTCAAAATTAAAAGGACTGAGAATGAAGCTCAAAGAATCCCCTGAATTATTTTAGATTTTCATAACTTTCGTTCTTGTTTACAATTTTGCTTTGTGACATATTTTCAGCTACTGTATAAGAACAATATTAATTTCACTTTAGAGAGCTTCCTTATTTAAATTTAATTTTAGGGCTGGGGATGTGGCTCAAGCGGTAGTGCGCTCGCCTGGCATGCGTGCGGCCCGGGTTCGATCCTCAGCACCACATACAAACAAAGATGTTGTGTCCGCCGAAAACTAAAAAATAAATATTAAAATTCTCTCTCTCTCTCTCTCTCTCTCTCTCTCTCTCTCTCTCCAAAAAATAAAATAAAATAAAAAAATAAATTTAATTTTAAAACATTTTGGTCTGAGCAACATTGCAGGGGATTGAAGGGTGAAATATTTATGAAAAAAGGGAAATGCATCAAAATCAACTTTAAAAAAAATAATTTTATTTTCTGTTTTTCAGATGGTTCACTTTCTTACACACTATGCTGACAAGATTGAATCCATTCATTTTTCAGACCAGTTCTCTGGTCCAAAAATTATGCAAGAGTACGTATAAGATAAAACGTTGGTATTAATATTTCTTGCTAGTTCTGTGTTGAAACACCACAAAATGCTTCTCTGAGTTTTCTTACCAAATGAGTGAGAGAAGTTGGTGATGGCATCCAAGTTTTCCTTTGCTTTGGTTGTATGCATCACAAGAGGTCATTGAAAAGCCAGGCAAGATAGTGCACACTTTTAATCCCAACAACTGGGGAGGCTGAGGCAGTTGAGAATTGCAAGCTTGAGGCCAGCCTTAGCAATTTAGCTAGACCCTATCTCAAATAAAAATATATATATATATAGCTCGGTGATAGAACACTTGCCTAGCATGTGTTAGGCCCTGAGTTCAAATAATCACCATTTTAGACGTGTTTGTGCGTGTGTGTTGCTAGGGATTGAACCGAGGTTGAACCCAGGGCTTTGTGCATGCAAGGCAAGCACTCTACCAACTGAGCTATATCCCCAGCCCAAATAATCACCATTTTAAAGAGGACTAGGGATGTAGCTCAGTGGCAAAGCACCCCTAAATTCAATCCCTGGTACCAAAAAAGAGAGAGAGGTGTCATTGAAAACCCATGGGAGGGCTGGGGTCATGGCTCAGTGGTAAAGTGTGAGGCACTGGGTTCAATTCTTAGCACCACATATAAATAAATGAACAAAATAAATGTCCTTCAGCAACTAAACAAAAAATTAAAGAAAGAAAGAAAGAAAAGCCCATGGGAGAGGAGGATGTAGCTCAGGTGGCACAGCACTTGCTTAGCATATACAGGCCTTGGTTTTAATCCTCAGCAGGACCAAAAGCATCAAGAAAGAAAATCTATGGGAGACAAACAAATGAGCCTAGCCTAGCCTACTTTGCATATGTCTGTGCCTATTTGCATCACACACTCAGTAAGGTTGATGAGAATCTTACAGAAATGATTGATACTAAGAAAATGGAAATTCTTGTTTTTGTACCAGGATTGAACTTGGGCACTCAACCGCTGAGCCACATCCCCAGCCCTATTTGTATTTTATTTAGAAACAGGGTCTCATTGAGTTGCTTAGCGTCTCACCATTGCTGAGGCTGGCTTTGAACTAGTGATCCTCCTGCCTCAGCCTCCCAAGCCACTGGAATTACAGATGTGTGCCCTGGTGCCCAGCTTTTGTTTTTGTTTTTGGTGCTGGGAATTGAATTCAGGACCTTGCACATGAGTGCTTTACCACCATGCTGCATCCTGACCCTTTTTCTTTTATTCATTCATCATTCATTGTTTTGGTATTGGGGATTAAACTCAGGGGCATTTTACTACTGAGCTATATCCCCTGTCTTTTTTTTTTTTTTTAATACCTCTATTTTATTTGTTCAAACCCAGTGCCCCACACATGTTAGGCAAGCTCTCAAGCTCTACCACTGAGCCACAACCCCGGCCCCCCCAGGTTTGTTTGTTTATTTATTTATTTTAAATATTTATTTAGTTAGTTAGTTAGTTTTCTGCAGACACAACATCTTTGTTTGTATGTGGTGCTGAGGATCGAACCCGGGCCGCACGCATGCCAGGCAAGCGTGCTACCGCTTGAGCCACATCCCCAGCCCGGTTTTTTTATTTTTTATAAAAAGGCTTTTTATTTTTATTTTTTATTTTTGGGATAGTCTCTTGTTAAGTTGCCAGGGTTGGCTATAAACTTAGGAATCTCTCAAACCTCCCATTCGCTGAGATTGTAGACATGTAGCACCATGCCTGGTTTTTAATTTTTGTAACAGGGTCTTGCTAAATTGCCCAGGCTGGCCCCAACTCGCAATCCTCTTTCCTCATCTTCCCAAGTAGCACCACCACACCCAGCATTTTTTTCCCCAAATTTTATGATATTAATCTGTCTATGATGTTTGACTTTTGTTTGATTACAAATCTATGTAATTGTGTATTTTGTCATTTATAGCCTTTTCTGGCTTCCTTCTTTAAACAGGTGATTATTATATCTTCTCCGAGCATATTATCAGTTATTCCCAATCAGGTTTTTAGCTTTATAGTAATATTGTCCAGGTGTACATATTCAGGGCTTGGATTCATTCTTAAATTTACAGTCTGTCTCAGGAGGGCATCCTTAAGTTTCCTTGTCATGTAGAACTGGTTCCAATCTAAATTTTCAGTTGCACACTACTCTGATGGGCTATGGAGTTGAGTACAATTACAAGGCTATCATCCCAGTGACTGGGGAGGCTGAGGCAGGAGGATCACAAGTTTGAGGCCAGCCTCAGTAATTTAGGAAGACCCTCTCCCAAAAGATCAAAAGGACTGAGGTTGTAGCTCAGTGATAAAATACCACTAAGTTCAATCATCAGTACCAAGTAAATAAATAAAGGTATCTGGGGGCCCTGGGTTTACTCCCCAGCATCTAAACAATAACAACAAAAAACTCATTCTGGATTTTAGTTGTAAGTGGGATTATTCAGATCATATCCCTCTAGATGGTATTGTATCATCCTTGCCTTGCAACACCAGGGACAAAATATCACATTAGAATATTTATCAAGCATTTTGAATTGTAGAAAGGGGGGATGATTGGCAGTCAAAGACTATGAATGAATCTTCAAGGACAGAACTAAATTATATAGTCTTCCCTCCAAATCCACAGGGGATTGATTCCAGGACTCCCCTCAGATACCAAAATTGAAGGATGCTCAAGTTCCTTACATAAAAATGCTGTACTCTTTGAATATAACCTATGCATATCCTCCCATGTACTTTAAACTGTAGATTGCTTAATAATACCTATTACAGTGTAAATGCTATGTAAATAGCTGTTGCTTTGGGAATGATGACAAAGTTTGCACAATACATGTTTATTACAGATGAGATTCTTTTCCCAAATATTTTATAGAACCCGTAGATATGGAGGGCCAATTATATGTTATAGTAGATTATCTCTAAATTTCTTCAGAGGCTAACTCAAGTAAGATGCTTTATTGTGGGAAGATAGCATAGAAGTTGGAAATAAAATATAATTCATCAAAATAAATAAGACAGGCAGGGTGGCACAAACCTGTAATACCAGGTACTTGGGAGGCTGAGGCCAAAGGATCACAAATTCCAGGCCACCTTTGACAATTTAGCAAGACCCTGTCTCCAAATTATTTTAATTTTTTTTTTTTTTTTTAAAGACTGGGGATTTAGCAGAGTGGTAAAGTGTCTTTGGGTTTAATCCTCAATACTGAAAAAAAAAAAAACCCACAAAACTACGAGTGTCATATAAAATATGGACCTCATACTTAAATGTAGATTCATTTCTGACTTCCCAGATGAGATGGAATATATCCTGCCTGCAGGGGACATCACCACTGGAAGTATTCAAATTGAAAGATAAAGGTCACTTGGGAATGCATTCATCAGATAGCCAAGTAGACCAGATGATCTTAAGTCTCCTTCAGGCCCAGAGATTATATTTGACTTGGGGATGCCAAGGCACTTACTGTGCTGATTATTTGCAGGTATCTGTCTAAATGAATCAGATGACTTGTGAACATGGAAAATGTCTTTCTTATGTTGTGTCTTAAAAGACTTTTCTTTTATGACAGGGAAGGTCAGCCTTTAAAGCTGCCTGACACTAAGAGGACACTATTGTTTACATTTAATGGTAAGTGTTCTGGGTCCTGTCTTGGTTTTCTATGAGATAACCTTAAGGAGATATAGTTCTTTTGCAACTGATAGATGTAAAATTACATTAAAACTAATAACCTTATGCCTGATTTGATTGATTTCTGAGTTTCTTCAAGAAGATCACATTTTATATATTTTAATTTTCTGCTAGAAAACTTGGAGAAAGGAGTCTATTAACATTAAATTTTTTTTTTTTTTTTTTGGTGACTCAGGTATTAATGCTGCCATTAACTCAATAGAAAATTGACTTTGTTTTCCAGTGCCTGGATCAGGTAACACTTACCCAAAGGATATGGAGGCTTTGCTACCCTTGATGAACATGGTGATTTATTCTATTGATAAAGCCAAAAAGTTTCGACTCAACAGAGAAGTAAGACAGAAAGCCTTTATTACAAACTGATACCTTTAATTATTGTTTGTTTGTTTGTTTGTTTTCTGGGTAGGACTCTAGAGGGAGCAGCTATCAATGATTGAATTTTTGCTAGATGATTTGAAAGTGCCAGATGGAAATAGTTTAATGCAAGAATTCTGAGTGAAATTTTACTTTTGCGGCATAGAGATGGATTTCTTATGAAAGACTTTGTCTTTTTGGGAAAGGGCAAACAAAAAGCAGATAAGAACCGTGCACGAGTAGAAGAGAACTTCTTGAAACTAACACACGTACAGAGACAGGAAGCTGCACAGTCCCGGCGTGAAGAAAAGAAAAGAGCAGAGAAGGAGCGCATCATGAACGAAGAAGATCCTGAGAAACAACGCAGACTGGAGGTAAGACAGACTTACCTTATCACTGGGGCAATACTAAGATTTTTATTATAAGGATTCCTGTTTGTACCACACTGGCTGTTCATGTAATCCTATATTGGAATGTATACAAGCTAAAAGTTTTGTTTTTTTCATGGTTGTTTTTAAATTTTTTTTAGATGTTGATGGACCTTTATTTTATTCATTTATTTATATGCGGTACTGATACTCGAACTCAGTGCTTCACACATTTTGGGCAAGCACTCTACCACTGAGTCACAACCCCAGCCCCAGAAATTAGGATTATTAATAGCACTAAATGAAGTTGCTATATAAAGTTTAAGATTTAATCATAGAATCAGAGAATTCTAATACTTTTGTGTGTATTTTTCAAGTTATTATCTCAAATGTAAGCTTCTTAGGCTCTAGTGTGTTATTTAAATATAAGCATATTCTGATAATTTTATGAAATAAGATGCCCTAATCCAGCACTAAAACTTATACATCTGGTTAAAAAAGAAGAGAACAAAGTCCTGGAAATTGTGAATTTAAATGAGAATAATCTTGAAGATTGAAGAAAATCTTTCAGAGCAAAAGGCACATGTTGCCCAAAAAAATGTGAGCTTCTGTGTGCACTGCAGTTGCCAGTGAGGTGTTAACTTGGCAAGGATAACTGAAGTGCCCAGGATATAACTCTGCCTGCATCTCTCTCATTGTGTTTCTTTTTCTTTTTTTTTTTTTTTTCTTTTCTTTTTGGTACTGGGGATCAAACCCAGGGGCACTTAATCACTGAACCACATTTTCAGCCTTTTAGAATTTTGAGACAGGGTCCCACTAAATTGCTTAGTTTGCTAAGTGCTGAGGCTGGCTTTGAACTTGCAATCCTCCTGCCTTGGCCTCCCAAACCACTGGGATTACAGGCATAAGCCACTGTGCCTGGATTTCATCATGCTTCATTTGGTTTGGTTTGGGTTAGCTGATGGGCATTTCCCCCTAAAAATTTAGCTATGTTTATGCAGTCTTCTTTATAAATGAAATGACTCTTCAATGTATACACATAAAAATATATATATAGGAATCATTAAGAGGTAATGCCTTTCATTTTTATATGAAAAAGGAAGTTCTGTTCTTTCTAAGATTCGAATCTAAAGTGGGTTAAAGGAAAAAGGAGACCCAGAACTTGAGTTAGATTGTAAGCTTCTTGTGAATGTAAACCATTTGGGTTTTTTTTTTTTAGAACCACTGCTTTATTTTATTTTTCTTTAAATATTTTTATTGTTGATGAATTTTTAAATTTTACTTATTTATTGGTATGTGGTGCTTCTGAACCCAGTGTCTCACACATGCTAGGCAAGTGTTCTACCACTGAGCCACAACCCCAGCCCTAGAACCACTGCTTTATAATGTCTGGTCTGGAAACCTTATGAGAAGATCTAATGAACTAAATGGAATAGAAGCTACATTTGAGATAAAAAGTTATAATCGATTTCTTTTTCTTTTTTGGGTGGAAGGAGGTACCAGAGATTGAACTCAGGGGCACTCAACCACTGAGCCACATCCTCAACTCTATTTTGTATTTTATTTAAAGACAGGGTCTCACTGAGTTGCTTAGTGCTTTGCTTTTGCTGAGGCTGGCTTTGAACTCTGGATTCTCCTATCTCAACCTCCCCAGCTGCTAGGATTACAGGTGTGCACCACCCTGCCCAGTTCATAATCAATTTCTGACTGACTTACTTATTCATATGTTTAGCAATACTGGGGATTTAACCCAGGGGTGCTTTTCCATTAAGCTACGACACCCTTTATAATGTTTTATTTTGAGATAGGGTCTCATTGAGTTGCTGAGGCTAGCCTTGAACTTGGCAAGGATAACCTTGAACATGCTTTTCTCCTGCCTCAGCCTCCTAAGTAACTGGATTAAAAGCATGTGCTGGTGCTGGGGCTCAGTGGTAGAGCACTTGCCTAGCATGTGTGAGGCATTGGGTTTGAGTCTTAGCACCACATGTAAATAAATAAAATAAAGGTCCATTGACAACTAAAAAAAAATTTTTAAAAAAAGAAGCATGTGCCCACTGGCCAGTCACAGTGGAGCATGCCTGTAATCCCAGCAGCTAGGGAAGCTGAGGCAGGAAGATCGTGAGTTCAAAGCCAGCCTCAGCAACTTAGCAAGGCCCTAAGCAACTCAGTGAGATCCTGTTTCTAAATAAAATATAAAAAAGGGGTAGGGATGTGGCTTGTGTGCTCAATCCTCAGTACCAAAAAAAAGAATGTGCCACTGTGGCCAATTTCTGACTTGAATGGCTCATTCATAGAAATGAGCTAGACCTCCCTGCCACTGCCAGGATGCTTTTTGTTTGTTTTGTTTTCTTATATATTTAATGAGAAAAATATACATAGAAGTTAAAATTACCACATAAAAATAATATAATAATCCCTCAAACACCCCCTATCCCTAAAGGTAATCACTATAAACACTATTAAAGATAACACTGTTTATATAGTTTTCCCTTTGTTTATATATCCATTCATATGCTAAGTGTATATATTATCTTTTCTTAAGTAAATCAGCTTATAAATACAAGTCTTTCAAGAAGGTAATATCTTCCCACATATGAGCTTTTTTACTTCTTAAGGAAAAGAGTCCTGGGAGATATCTGTATATATGTACATACACATGAATATATATTTCTTCTAAGATTGTTTCAGAAAATAAAAAATATATAAATATGTAGGTATGCACGTATACACCTGTTTATGAAAAATACTTTTAATGGATATTGCTTATAAGAAGTTGTATCTTACACTTTTAACATTGTATGAAATCTCTTCACTAACATCTTTTATGAAAAAACATCAGTTGTTTGAAGTTGTAAACTGATAGGAAATGGTTTCTTGCTTTACAATTTTTTAATTATTGAAGGTGAGCATTTTTCACATGGTCTTGGCATAAGATGTCACTTAAATATATTAACATAAATATGTTTTTAAATCATGATACTATATTCTAGTATCTTGGGAGATGCAGATGTACATGTGGGTATAATACGTAATATGAAAAGTAGGGATGGATAATGCTGGGGAAAGATTGGATGGTGGTGGAGAGAGAGATTGAAAGTGTGGGAAGAGGATGTTGGGAGAATATCTGACTACTTTATATAAATGTCCCAGAATAATATAGCTTTTGACATATATGCTGTAGCTGTTTGCTACTAGGCCCCCACAGTAGGCAGAGCAGGGGAGGGGGAGTTCTTTCCTCCTTTGTGAACCCAAACTCAGAATGTGTTTCCATTAAAGTGGCATTAATATTGATATTTCAGTTTTTCAACTATTTAGATGATAGGACACCTATGAATTAATAAACATTCTCACTTACTGCAGTATTGGTGGGTAGTTCTCTATTATTTGTGGGGGAACCTAACACAGTCATTAGTTCCCAGACCAGGAATTTACAAATCACTCTTTGAAACAATTTGTTATACTATCAAGAGTTAACTCTCTTCTAGAATGTTATTTGTGCTACAGGCCTAAGGTTTTGCTTTTGTTTTTTTTTTTTAATGTGCTTAGAACTAAGTTTGGGTTCTTTCTTTCTCTCCTTCCTGTCTTAGGAAGCTGCATTGAGGCGTGAACAGAAGAAATTGGAGAAGAAGCAAATGAAAATGAAACAAATCAAAGTGAAAGCCATGTAAAATCATCCCAGAGATCCGAGTCCTAATTCCACCTATAAGCTCTGAGTTCATAGGAAACATGAAAAAACACCAGTCGTTTTCTCACTTTAAAGTTCAGATACTCTCTGTGCTGAGAAATCCTTATTTCATCATCTATTCTGCTCTTGGTTTGGAGTTTTACAGAGGTTGTAGATACATTGAAAGGGCTCTATTTCAGTAATTTTCTTCCAGATAATCAAATTATTTTGATTATTTTATAAAAGAAATGATATATAAAATGTAGTTTTCAAATATTTTTTAAATTATAACATGAATCATCAATCCTTTTAATGTTTTAAAGTTTGAAGAAATATCATGAAATTTACAGGTAAATAATTAGGTTGTTGCTTTTTGTTTAAACTAAGCAGATAGAGTAGCTATGGAACCTGACTCTAAACCAAGATTCCACAAATAACTACTGGAATTGCACAATAAACATTGCTTGATGTTTTCTTCTGTGTGTACATTGAACTTGTGAAAAAGTAAAATTTAGAACATTATATGTGGTGACGAAATTTCAGGAAACTCAGTACATATGCAGTATGTTTTGTAGGTGGGAGGTGCTGATAGCAGTATTATAGGAAATCTGTAGGTGTTAGGATACTGATATGTACATGGAAAATTCTAGAGGTAGGTAGTACATGAGCATGGTTTTCTCCTTATCTGATACTATGAGCTAATGACAATGTGAATGCTGTATTTTCAAAGGTTTTATGTTATTTTTTTGAGTACCAAGTGCATGAAAAATTAATTGCTACATCCATATCAGATCAGCAATCAGATCATTGGTCTATGTGAAGTCACAAATATTTTTCTTCTTCATTAATGCCACCTATTGGATGTTCATGGAGAAGCTCTGCTGTGTTATGGCTGTGTACCTTTGCTTCTCCTTCTGCTTTCTGTCTTCTACAGTTGGGGCTGGGTATGTCCTTTCAAATAGCCAAAAACATGCATAAATAATACTTAAAAAACTGAGCCTTCCTAAACTATTGAGAGTTCTTTCTGCCTCTTGAGGAAGAAACTCTTGTGGGAAAGGCCCATCTATCTGTACAAGCATTTGGCTTGTTCAGATCTCTGCATTTTATAAATGCTTCCTACTAAGAAAGCATTTTTTAAGTCACTGCTGGCACCAGGTAGTTTTTGCTGGGGATGGGAAAGGGTTGGGTGTTTTGGTGGGTGTGGGAGGAGGGATTTTTGTTGATGCTTTATGTGCAGATCTGTTCTGGGGCAATAACAATGAGTTGCTGTGAAAACAGCATGTACCGCTGCCTTTGTAACTGCATGGGAACTTTTCACATGGGTTTTCTCTAGGTTAATACAGAAATGTGTAAACTGGGAGATGCAGATGTAATATTTTTTAACAGTATGTGAATTTAAGTTATTAAAATGACAAAAATAACACAAATTTAATTTAGTGCTATATAATTCTAGAACTAGCATTGTACTACAAGCCTTTAAAGTACATTTTAGAAATCAAAGTTGATATGCTTAGCTATCTTTTAATAATATAAGCTTTCTTAAAGTCCCACACATTTGGACCATGGCAGCTAATTTTGTAATTTAATTCTAATGAACTACCTATGGACATATATTAAACTGATTGACAAAATCTCAAGAGTGAGCCTTGACTTTTCTAGAGTTCTCTTACAAGAGTATACACCCATAGGAAAGTTTTTTCTGATCAGTGAAAGTCAGCACTGAAATGCTTTTCCTTTAAAAGTATTGATCTTGAATATTCATTTTGTTGTTCATTTATCCCTTTTAAAGTGTTTTATATTCTTAGAGCTGCCTCTTGTTTTTGTTTGTTTTGTGGGGGGTATTAGGGATTGAATCCAGAAATATTCTACCAGTGCTATATCCCCAGCCTTTATTAATTTTAATTTTTAATTTTTTGTTATTGGGGATTGAAGATCACTACATGCCCAGCCCTTTTGACAGTTTCCAAGTGTGGCCTCAAACTTGCAATCCTCCTGACTCAGCTTCCCAAGTCACTGGTATTACAGACTTGTGTCTCTGGGCCCAGCGCATATACTAGTGTGTTCCTTCCTGCAGTCTCTGTGTTAGCTTTCTGTAGCTATGACACACCTGAAATAGCCAGCTTAAAGGAGGAAAGATTTATTTTGGCTTATAGTTTGAGAGATTTCAGTCCATGCTTGCTTATCCTTGTCACTTTGGGCCTATGGTGAGGCAAAACATGGAAGGGAGTGAACAGTGGAGTGAAGCTGCTCACTTCATAGTGACCAGGAAGCAAAGAAAAGCAGGAGGAGGAGCTGGAGTCCCAATATCCCATTCAAGGACACTCCCCCAATGCCCTAACTTTACTTCCAGTAGGCTCCACCTCCTAATAACTCTAACACCTCCAGATGGAACACCACAAGTCTTAAAGAAATGGTATCCTCTAAGACTTTTTTCCAAGTGATTTCAGTTTAGCTTTACTTGTTTTTCTCTCTCCCAGTGGAAACCAAGGAGATCCTTTCAGAGTTCTCTGAATTGATCTGCCAAAATTGATAGGGTATTTTGGGGGGAAGAGAGGAATCCTTCATGATTCTCTTTCTCTATTAATAGGAAACTTCTGTCAAGTCCCAGACGTAGACCTCTTTACATGGAACCTACACCAAAGAAAAACACTGATATTCTCGTTCTACCCATCTAGTAGAAATTAGCAATGTGAAGATTATTGTTGTATAAGGATCTGTTGGATTTGGTGGAGAGGAGTGAAATACTGTATTAACTTCCCAAGTTCTCTTTTTTTTAATTTATTTTTTAGTTATAGGTAGACACAATGTCTTTATTTTATTTGGTGCCGAGGATCAAACCCAGTGCCTCGGGCTGGGATGGTGGCTCAGTGGTAGAGTGCTTGCCTAGCATGCATGAGGCACTGGGTTCGATCCTCAGCACCACGTAAAAACAAACTAATATATCCACCTAAAATTAAAGATACACAAATAAATAAATATTAAAAAAAAAAAAAAACAGTGCCTCATGCATGCTAGGCGGGCACTCTACCCCTGATCCACAATCCCAGCTCCCAAGTTCTCTTTTTTTTTTGTTTGTTTGTTTTTATACATTTATTTATTTTTATGTAGTGCTGAGGGTCAAACCCAGGACCTCGCACATGCTAGGTGGGCACTCTACCGCTGAGCCCCAGCCCCATATATTTTGTTTTATTTTTGTGGTGCTGGGGCTTAAACCAAGGTAGAGTACAAGGCAAGCACTCTACCAACTGAACTATATCCCCAGCCCCACCAAGTTCTCTTTTTGTTACTCTTCTGCCTCCACTCTTTTTTTTTTTTTTTTCCAATCCCACTGGGGATTGAACTCAGTCAGCCACTCTTCCACTAACCTATATCCCAGTCCCTTCCACTCATTTTGAATGATATGAAAGAATATAAAAGGGAGAAAAGCTATACCCACAGGAGTGAATTCTATTATAAACTGCTAAAACAGAACAGCCAAAAGTATTTCCCAGTTTCTGGTGTTTGGTAGTCAGCAAAAGATTTCATTACAGCTAGATGTGGTGGCACATACCTGTGATCCCAGCAATTCAGTGATGCTGAGGCAGGAGGATTGCAAATTTGAGGTCAGCCTTAGCAACTTAGCAAGGCCCTATCTCAAAAAAAAAAAGATTTTTTTTTTTCATTATGTAAGGAAGATAATGTGATATCTGTGTCTGGCACCTACCTCTGAACCACTGAGCTACAGCCTCCGCCCTTTTTATTTTGTATTTATTTTGGTACGAGGGATTGAACTCAGGGGCACTTAACCATTGAGCCACATCCCCAGCTCTTTTTTATATTTTATTTAGAGACAGGGTCTTAGGACCTCAATAAGTTTCTGAAGCTAACTTTGAACTCATGATCCTCCTGCCTCAGCCTCCCGAGCTGCTGGGATTACAGGCCCATACCACCACATCTGGTTTTAGTTTTTATTTTGAGGCAGGGTCTCACTAAGTTGCCAAGGTTGGCCTCAAACTTGTAATCCTGCCTCAGCCTCCCAAATCACTGAAGCAACATGTGTGTGCCATGTATGTGGTTGTATCGTTGTATTTGTACAAATTGAATGCTGTCTTCTCATCTACATGAATTGAGAATAATTTCAGAAGAAAGTTAATTTTTTTTTTCCCCCTGATGGGAGAACTTTGTGCCCATGCTACAATATCACTTTTTTTTTTTTTTCCCTGAGAGTGGGGCCTCGACATGTTACCATTAGGCTGGTCTCTAATTCAGAGGCTCAAACCATCCTCCCAACTTCAGTCTTCCAGTAGCTGGGATTACAGGCAGGCACCATCACCCTGGCTACTACTACACCACTTTTAAATAGATATTATCTTTATTGCATACTTTTTTTTTTTTTTTTTTGGCTAACTTTATCTTTTAAAAATAACTGAACTCAGCCAGGCATGGTAGTACAGGCCTATAATCCCAGCGGTTTGGGAGGCTGAAGCAGGAGGATTGAGAGTTCAAAGCCACCCTCAGCAACTCAACAAGGCCCTGTCTTTCTATTTTAAAAAAGGAGGGAGGGCTGGGGACGTGGCTCAGTGGTTAAGTGATCCTGGGCTCAATGCCTGGTACCAAAACCAAACTGTCCTCTTTAAATTCACCTAATGGGTTTAATCAAATTTTAAAATTTATTTAAAAGTCACCCCTCAGGGCTGGGGATGTGGCTCAAGCGGTAGCGCGCTTGCCTGGCATGCGTGCGGCCCGGGTTCGATCCTCAGCACCACATAACAAACAAAGATGTTGTGCCTGCCGAAAACTAACTAACTAAATAAATAAATAAAATAAAAGTCACCCCTCAGTGAACTGAGCAAGTCACTAAAAACCTAGCCTCACAAGAGGAAGTCTTGTTCTATCCCATGATTGCTTAATTTCTAGAGTCCTGTACAACTTGGTTTGGGGTAGCTTCCCCATCATGGCAAATGCTGTCATAGGGTTTTTGTTTGTTTGTGGTACTGGGGGTTGAAAATCCAGGGGCGCTCTACCACTGAGCCCAACCCTTTTAATGAATTTTAGGACAGGGTCTCACTAAGTTGTCCACGTTGGCCTCGACCTTTTGATCCTCTTGCCTCAGGCATGTACCAAATACCACCAGGCGTGGTTCTTATTATAGCTTTCCACAAACCAGATATATCTCGGAGTTGTGGTTTGAGGAAGGATTCAGGAACAGAAAGACCCAGAAGGGGGTGGGGGTGATGGTGGTGGGAGGTAGTTCTCATTAGTTGAGCTTTTTTTTTTCCTCTGGAGCACAGAGAAAGAGTGAGTTTCCTCTTTACAGTTTCCCTAGTTCTTCTGGAAGCCAAAGTGAGGCAATTGAGATGTCTTTATAGAAAAGTGTTAGACGTGTCTTTCCACGTAAAGTCCTAAAGACAGAATGATTTCAGGGTGGGGGAATCCTCAAAGTAGCCAGTCAGCAGCCAGAGTTGGTTTGCCCTTCTCTAGTCCCCTTGACACTCCATTATAGAAACAACCCTACTTCCCTTTCTGTGGGAGCAAAGCCTGGGGGCCGGGGTCTTTTCGGACCCTGTAGGTCGCACAAATAACCAGGTATGTCTTTGATTTCACACACTTAGGGAAACGGACCCTCCTCCTAACGGAATACCCTCAGGCACTGCGCGGAAAGGGGCAACAGGGAACCTAGGAACAGACTTCTGAGCTACAGCTCTTAGGAGATCACAGTACCAGCGGAAACCAAGGCAAGCAGGCAGTGATTCCCACTAACGCGCGCCGGGGCGGAGCTTCCGTAAAAGGGCGGTGCGCTACTTCCGGGGAGGGGCGGAGCGTCCTCGCTTACTCAACTAGGGCCGGGCCAGGCCGGGGCGGAGCTTCCCCACCCGCCGGGGGCGGGGCGGAGCTCGACCGGCCTCCCCGGGTCCCTCGACTGCGCATGGCACGTTGCGTGTCTCCCTCCCAACAACCGGCCTGGTGGCGGCGCGGCCACAAAACTGGGGAGGCGGAGCTGAGACCGAGTCGGGACTGCGCTCTAACTCCAGGACCAGGTACTGGGTGGCGGGGCCGCCTGGTGCGCTTCCGGGACCAGTCCTTCTCGCCCAGATACCGATTCCATCTCCTCAGGGGCGGGCCTTGGCCAAAGTGGTCATCCCTGCTCTCCCTCGCCTTCCGCCGGCCCCTTTTAACCCGCGTCCTGGGTTCCCGAAATGAGGGGCCGCTGCCCGAGAGCAGAATAGGCTTGGGCCCGACCGGGAGACGCCGGAGCGGAGTTGCGGATTAGGAGAAGCGAACTCCCGCCTTCCCTTCCCATTTACCTCTCCACCACGGGTTCCAGGTGGGGAACATAAGGCCAGATATCATTTTTGTCCCGCTCATTTTTGTTCTGCAAAGTAGCAGCAGATCCTGGTGCTCCGTCCCACACCAGAATCTCTTCCGAGGCAGGACAGGCAGCGAGTCAAGCCCCCATTAAGGACACAAGATCCGGACGGCTCCCTGAATCGGCCAAAACTAAGAGGGATGATCATTGTCCTTTTAGTTTTTTACTTGGTTTGGTTTTGGGTTTGGGGGGGTACCAGGGATTGAACCCAGGGGCACTTTACCACTAAGCCACATCCCCAGCCCTTTTTTGTATTTTATTTAGAGACAGGGTCTCGCTAAATTGCTGAGGCTGGATTTGAACTCGCAGTCCTCCGGTCTCAGCCTCCCAAGCCAATGGGATTACAGGCGTGCCCACTGTGCCCGGCTTCTTTTTACTTTTTTAAAGAATATTTTAAACATCCACAGTAGTTTTGAGGTCGGAGGTGGGGACCGGGGGTGGGGGGGGATGAGCAGGATAGGTTAAATAAAATTGTTCTTAGTTTTCAGGAAATCGGGAACTAACCTGTACGCCCAGCTTTTGCAAAGATCCTAGCATATATATTTTAATTTGACCCTCCCCACACACACATACAGGAAAAGCCGTTGGAGTTGTCTTCTTAAGGCGATATGTTGAAGTAGAACTGTCTTCCAATGTGTACACATTTTTTTTCTTATTCTTTTCTTTTTTCGTACTTGGAATTTGGTACCCAGGGCACTCTGCCATTGACCTGTATCCCAAGTCTTCTTATTTTTTTTTTTCATTTTAAGAGAAGGTCTTGTTAAGTTGCTGGAGGAGGCTGGCCTCCTCAGCTTCCACAGTAGCTGGATTGTAGGTGTGTGCAACCACACCTGGGTCAGACATTTCTCTTCAAGGACTGATTATACTTTCTAGATACACCAAAGACTTTTACCAGAAAGTTGATGGAGAAATCAAATTTGATATCTGCTTTATGTCAGGAGCTTATTAATTCACATATTAGTTACTCTGCTGAATTGGTCAAATCTGTTACACACTTTTTTTTCTTTTTTCTTTTTTTGTATCAGGATTGAACTCAGAGGCACTCAACCACTGAGCCACATCCCCAGCCATCTTTTGTATTTTATTTAGAGACAGGGTCTCACTGAGTTGATTAGCGCCTCCCCCGTTTCTGAGGCTGGCTTTGAACTTGCTATTCCCCTGCCTCTGCCTCCCCAGCCTCTGGGATTACAGGCATGTGCCCCAGCACCTGGCCTGTTGCACACTCTTTAACCCAGTTTCCTAGAGTATTCTGGCTCAAATTCAGTGTTTTGTGATCTCAGATATGGAGGAAGTTTCAGAACCAGTGACAAAAATAGAGAATAAGGGAAAACATAATCAGTAAATAAATTCTTTCTGGGGCTGGGACTATGGCTCTGTGGTAGAGCGCTTGCCTAGCATTGTGAGGCACTGGGTTCAGTCCTCAGCACGACATATAATACATAAATAAATAAATTAAATAAAGGTCCACTGAGAACAACAAAAATGTTTTTTCTGTACCATTTGGTAGCTGGTCAGCCACTTTTTGCTAATCAGTTGATGTCATTTTATCTTTGCACACCCAATCTTGAGCTTCAGCCTAGGTTTTGCTCTCACTGTGATTTTTAACATCACAAGCTTTGGAACAGATTTCATTAGTCCTTTATCATTTGGCTATCTGACTTTGAACTAAAGTTTTCCTGAACCTTAATTTCCCAAACTATAAAATGCAGCATGGTAATATTTAATGTGAGCTGATGTCTGCAAAACATTTAGTGCCTGGTACATAGTAAGTTTGCTATAAATGTTTGCTACTTCCTATAGCATAGGATACCTGAAGTGAGTACAGAGGGACAGGACAAAGTTAGCCAGATTGGGGACAGGAGGTGGTCCCATAGGGGAAGTAAGATATCTCAAACATTTCCTTTGGGCTTCATTTCTTTCTTTTCAAGGGCCTTACCCTAAAAGTGTTCCTTCTCAATTCTTGTTTCCCATCCTTCTGCTTTTCTCTGATTATTTTCTCCTTTGGTGAATTTCAGTCACTCTCACAGCTTCAGCTGCTGACCCCCTAAGTCCATGTAGTCATCTCTAACCTTTCAATCATCTGTCCTATTTTTCTAAGTGAATACTGCAACCTATTTATTCTTGTAATATATATCTATCTGTTTAACCTCAGTATGATTTAAGAACTTGAATTCAGCCTGATGCAGTCGTACACGCCTGTAATCCCAGTGGCTCAGGAGGCTAAGGCAGGAGGATCTTGAGTTCAAAGCCAGTTCAGCAATTTAGCAAGGTGCTAAGCAACTCGGTGAATCCCTGTCTCTAAATAAAATACAAAATAGGGCTGAGGATGTGGCTGAGTTGTTGAGTGTCCCTGAGTTCAATCCCTGGTACCCCTTCCACCCCTCAAAAATAAGAACTCGAATTCATCTTTACACCCAAACTACTTTTTAAAAAAAAAAAACATTTATTTATTTATGTATCTTTAGTTTTTAGGTGGACATATTATTTTGCTTTTATGTGGTACTGAGGTTGTAACCCAGTGCCTCATGCATGCTAGGCGAGCACTCTACCACTGAACCACAACCCCAGCCCTACACCCAAACTACTTCTACTCTGAACTTTTCTATTCCTGTCATTGAAACACTATTTCTTTCCCAATCACTTGGGTGCACACTCAAAAAGAAAAAAAAAAAATTGGAATGATCAGTTGTCTATAGGTAGGATGGGCTCCCTGATAAGGTGCTAGGTCTCTGGCATGGCAAGTTTTCACATAGAGATTGGATAACCATATATCCAGGATCTTGTAAAACATATTCTCCAAAGTGTAGGGAATGGGCTAAATGATGGTGTTCTTTCTAAATTACTTTATATTTAATAAGTAATTTATAATTACTTCCTGCTCCCCTGTTCATCTCTCTTTTCTTTCTTGGTTTTTTTTTTTTTTTTTGGAGGTGGGGGCAATACTGGGGATTGAACCCAGAGGTCTCTGAGCTACACCCCAGTCCTTCTGTTTATATTTTGAGCCAAGGTCTTGCTAAGTTGTCTAGGCTGGCCTCAATTTTGTGATCCTTCTTGTCTCAGCCTCCTGCATAGCTAGGGTTACTGACATGTCACTGCATCTGGCTCATCTCTCTCTTTTTCCCCCTCTTTTTTGGTACTGGGGATTAAACCCAGGGGTGCTTACCACTGAGCTACATTCCCAGCCCCCCCCCCCTTTTTTTTTTTTTTGAGACAGGGTCTCGCTAAGTTGCTTAGGGTATTGCTGTGTTTGCCCAGGCTGTTTTTTTTTAAAGAATTTTAATATTTATTTTTTAGTTTTCGGCGGACACAACATCTTTGTTTGTATGTGGTGCTGAGGATGGAACCCGGGCCGCACGCATGCCAGGCGAGTGCGCTACCGCTTGAGCCACATCCCAGCCCCCCAGGCTGGTTTTGAATTTACAGTCTTCCTGCCTCTCCCTCTAGAGTCACTGGGATTACAGTGTTGTACCACCACACTGACTTCTCTGAGTTATTTTTACCTCTCCCCTTCCCCATTCTTGTGCAGAACATTCTTTAGAATGTTTTTTGAAACAAGATTTCTCAAATATTAGTTAATGTGATGATCCACATATCAGCATTACTACCACCTGGGAGCAGGTTAGAACTGGCAGGCCTCATTCTGAAACAAAATTTGCATTTTAATAAAACCCCCATATGTTTTGCATACACAGTAAAGTTTGAGAGACACTGTTTTATACCACTGTGTGTGTTTGTCATCTTTCTGTTCAAAACCTACAGTGGCTTCCTACTGCCTGCTGAATAAAATCCATACTCCAGCATGCATTGAAGGCCTATAGATTGTCCTCATATATGTGGAATTCTGCTTCTGTAACTGCCCTCACGTTAATTGGAGAATACATGCAAGGTGTTTGCAGTATGGCAGGCACTATTGTAGAAACTGGAAGACGCACACCTGTAGACAGGACAACATAAGCATTAAATAAATCAGGAGCTTATGCTAGTTCTGGCTTGGAAGTCCCGTGTTTATTCATTCTCTTTTCCTTTCCAGTACTGGGGATTGAACCTGGGAGTGCTTTACCACTAAGCTACATCCCCAGGCCTTTTTATTTTATTTATTATTGGGGATAACTCAGGGGCACTCGACCACTGAGCCACATCCTCAGTGTATTTTGTATTTTATTTAGAGACAGAGTCTCACTAAGTGGCTTAATGCCTCTATTTTGTTGAGGCTGGCTTTGAACTCACCATCCTCTTGCCTCAACTTCCCAAGCCACTGGGATTACAGGCATGTGCCACCATGCCCAGCTTTTTTAAATTTTATTTTTGAAACAGTTTTACTAAGTTGCTCAGGCTGGCCCTGAATTAGGGGTCCTCTTGCCTCAGCCTCGTAGTAGATGGAATGACAGGCATGTGTAGCAGAATTCCCACTTTTTTGAAGTCCTGTTTGACGTTCCAGGTTCACTACAGTTGATAGCATTCTTCCTCTTTGCTGAACTCTATAAGAAATTACCCATTGCTAATTTCTACTTATATACTTCCCTGTCCTGCTATTTGTTTCTACCACTAATTTATAAGCTCCTTACTTTCCAGGAATGTGTCATGTCATATCTTTTTGTGTTGCTAAGGCCAGGTACCAGGGCCCTGTCAGAGGATGTACACATTTAAGGATGATGAAACTGTGTGGTTATCCTTTAAGTCCCGTCCTCAGCATACACTCTGTGTCTTTAAGATTAGCTAGAGATGCCACACCCAGTCTAAGTGTACAAGCTTCTCCATAATAGTTATTCTTTCTATTAGTGCTCTTAATGTAAATATCACATTATTCTAGTGCTAATACTTAGAGACAGTTTGTGGAAAGTATATAGGATTTAGTCATGCTGGTCAAGACAGGCCTCCTTTTCACTTTTCTTCAGGATATTCATAGCCTTGAATACCAGTAGAATCTTTTAAATATCATTTAAATCTGCTTTTAAGTAATGAAGTTATTTATGGGATGGGTATAGCTTAATGGTAAAGTGCTTGCCTAGCATGTGTGAGGCCTTGTATTCAATCTCCAGCACTGCAGAACAAACAGAACTGTTTCTGTGTCTGTCCAGTAGTAATATTGCTAAAGAAAGGAAGCTATTTCTGTATCTGTTCACTAGGAATATTGCTTTGCTCATGTTTTATGGTGTTAACTAACATGTGTGCGCGTGCATGTGTTTGCACTAGAGATTGATCCCAGGACTGCTCTTTTACTGAGTTACATCCCCCACCGTTTTTAAAATTTTGAGACAGTGTCTCTAGATTGCTCAAGATGGCCTTGAATTTGCCATCTGATGCTGGGATTATAGTTGTACACATCATGCCTGGCTCAGCATAATGATTTTAATGTTATACAAAGTTTATTTGTAAAAATGAACTAGGAAAGTCCTTTAACATTTATGTAACGTATACTCTTAGTCCTTAGGTAGAGCTTCTCTCAGCCATCTCAGGTAGGTAAATATATATATATATATATATATATATATATAGTAACTGTATCAAAGAAAACACATGCATGCAGTTTTAAAGATAATGGTACAATGAGCTAATAAAAGCAGTGTCTCCTTGGAAAGAAGTATGTTAGCTTCGCTAGTCGTTCCTCTTACTCTCTTCCCCTTTTATCTCACATCTCTGTCAACCAAACCTTTCCCTTCATATTATCAAACTCAAAGACATTCCAATTCTGTTCTATAACTATAATTAAGCATCATGCTTTGTCGTTCCATTCTAAAACTTGAAAGCTAATAATGAATTATTACAATTTTTTAAGCATTGTTCACTAAAGAGCCAAGTGGTATTCTTCACTATAGTTCCATTGTTTTAACCTTGCCATTCAAGGTCAAGTGTATTGATCCTGCTATCTATCTATCTATTTATTTATTTACAGTATTGGGCCTTGTACCCAGGGCCTCACACATGGTAGGCAAGTGTTTTACCACTGAGCTGCACCCCCAGCTCTTTCTTTATCTTATTTTGAGAGAAGGTCTCTTGAACTTACGGTTCTTCTGCCTTAGCCTCCCAAGTAGCTGGAATGAGAGGTATGTTGTTGAATTTTGTCAGATGCTTTTTCTTCATCTATTGAGATGATTGTATTTTTTTCTCATTTACTTAGTTAATAAGGTAAAATTAAATTACTATTTTATTTATTTATTTTTGGCAGTAGTGGGGCTTGAACTCAGGGCATTCTACCACTGAACTACATCCCCACCTCCCCCATTTTATTTTATTTTTTTAGTTGTCAATAGACCTTTATTTTATTTATTTATATGCGGTGCTGAGAATCAAACCCAGGGCCTTACAGTGCTAGGCAAGTGCTCTTCCATTGAGCCATAACCCCAGGCCAACATCCCCGACCTTTTAAGATTTAATTTAATTTAATTATTTTTAAGACAGGGGCTCACTAAGTTGCCCAGGCTGGCCTTGAACTTGCAATTCTCCTGCCTCAGCCCCCCAAATTACTGGGATTATAGGTATGCGTTACTGCACTGGCTAATTATTTTTTTGATTCCTTAAAATATTCTTTCTTTATCAGCAACTAAAAAACCCACTTTTTTATATATTAATTCTTGGGTTTTTTTTTTTTATTGTTGTTGTTTTGGGGATCAAATCCAGGGGTGTTCTACCACTGAGCTACATCCCCAGCCCTTTTTTAAATTTTGAGACAGGTTTTCACTAAGTTACTGAGGCTGACCTGTCTCAGCCTTCTGAGCCACTGGAATTAACAGGCATAGCCCCTGTGCCTAGTTCATTTATTCATTTTGAATGTTAAATCAGTCTTTCTTTCCTGAGATAAACCCTACTTGGTCATGGTGCATTATGTTTTTAGCCCTTCTGGATATAAATTTTTAAACTATGACTGACAGATCAAATAAGATGGGATAGTGGGGAGAAGATACATTCAAGAAAGAGTAAAACTTCTTGGAAACTTTTGACTATGAATCGTTAATTTAATAAAAAATTATATTAGAACGATGTTGGGAGATTGAGGGCAGTCAGTAAGGTTGAGGAAGGTGAATAGAACTTAGTTTTCATCTACCATGATAAGAAATTAGTAGGTTAATGTCTAAGACGGATAAGTCATAGTCATATAGACATTATTTAAGGAGGTGATAAAAAGAAAATAAATAGCCAAAAGAATTGAAGGTAATTCCTTCTGGAAACAGGTAAGTGAGAGATTGGGTCAAGAGAAATTTAAAAATTAGAGAAAACCAAATAATAACCGGCTTCTCTTTTCTCATAGCAACTGCAGAATTTCAGCCAGGCATGATGGCGTAGGACTATAATCCCAGTGATTTGGGAGTCTGAGGCAGAGGATTGCAAGTTCTAGGCCAGCCTCAGCAACTTAGCAAAATCCTATCTCAAAATAAAAAATAAAAAGGACTGGGAATGTAGCTCATTGGTAAAGTACCCCTGTGTTCAGTCCTCAGTATTAAAAAAAAGAAGAAGAAAAGAAAGAAATTTTAGAGTTTCAAGATGTACTTGACCAAAGTATATCCAAGTTTATTGTCACTCAAGCTAGCAACTTATAGATCTAGTGTAAGTTTTTGTTAATCAAAAGATATTTCTTCTTTTTTTTTTTAATCTTTATTTTATTTTTTATGTGGTGTTGAGGATCGAACCCAGGGCCTTGCACATGCTAAGTGAGTGCTTTATCGCTGAGCCACAATCCCAGCCCCTCAAAAGATATTTCTATGAAAGGATATTTGACTAACTCAACCTATTTCTGTTTTCCTTTTAGGTTTAAGTTTTTGAAAATAGAACTACATATTAAGAACTCATGTCTTTTCTTGTAAGTAAACCAGAGAGAATTAGGGTGAGTGTTTCCATTTTTCTGACTTTACTAGTTTTCTTGTTTAAAAAGTAAAGTGTTTTGGCAGATGTCATAGGTGGGTTTTTTGTGTGATGCTCAGAATCATGCAGAAGTGAGGAATGTAGGAAGTAAGGTAGATGTTGCAATCTTTACTCCTGAGAGAAGAACTTGCAGGCAAGAGACACAGTATGTACTGCCAGCCTGTCTAATGGGAAAAAAATAAGAAAGTGTGAGCTGGATGTAGTGGCACACACCTATAATCCCAGTGGCTCAGGAGGTTGAGGCAGGAGGATAGTGAGTTCAAAGCCAGCCTTGGCAAATCCAAGAACTAAGCAACTCAGTGAGACCCTGTCTCTAAATAAAATACAAAATAGGGCTGGGGATGTGGCTTAGTGGTTGAGTGTCCCTGAGTTTAACCCCTGGTACCAAAAAAAGAAGGAAGATAGTGTCATATTTATGAATAAATATCACTTATAAGCTAAATGACTTAAAGTAGATACTATTTTCCAATGTAGATACTGTTAACAATCAGTCTTTTCCTGTTTTTTTTTTTTTTTAATGGGTTAATGTTAGTTAATCTTTTTTTTTTCCAGTAATGGGAATTGAACCCAGGGGTACTCTACATTCCCCAAACCCTTTTTATTTTTTTCTTTGAGACAGGGTCTTAGTAAATTACTGAGGCTGACCTCAAACTTGTGATCCTGCCTCAGCTTCCAGAGTCACTGGTATTATAGAGGTGTACCACCAAGTCTAGCTCTTTTTATTTTATGTTTATGTATATATAAGAATAATTTATTTTTGTAAAAACTAAACATTGGTGTTAATTAAGAAGAAAAAGTATCTCTCTCCTTAGCCTAAACTCTGTTCAGCGGAAAGAATGCATCCATGCCAAACTTTAACACTAGTCTTTAAGTGAAATACAATCTTTAATTCCATTGCTTTTAAATACGAACTACTTCTCCATTTTAACCAAGTGAAACCACTGATCAGTATGATGGAAATCTAATACTCACTTGAAGTGGGCCAGTTAAGCAAACCATAGAGTGATCCTGCTAGTTTGGTCCTTGGGAAAATGGTAGACAATGTAAGCTTGGATGTCTTCAGAAACCCCAGTGGATAAAAGAATATGCAACTTACTGTGTTTCCTTTGCAAACTAATGGAGGCTTGTGAAGAGCTATTGTTTCATTTTTGTTTTCTATGTTTGATTCCAGTAACACTTTTCAGATTGGCATTAATGATTCAAGTCATCTGTAAATAGATAGTTATAGAATGAATAAGATGGAAGAAAATGTAGTTTTTACATATAGGAAAGACAAAGGCATATTTCATTAGTAGTAATATATATTTATCATCTCTCAGATTTTAGGATTAGTTGACCTTTTACCTAATATTAGGTAAAGAGGAATTGAGAAAGGAATTAGTCTATTGTTTTTAGCTGATTTCAAGATTCTTTCAAAACTTCTATAGAAATGTATCCTAACTATACTGAATGATTCTGGTGGTGCTTGTTGTTGTTGTTGTTGTTGTTTTTGTAGTTGTGGTTTTGTTTGTCTTTCTAAAGGCTGATAGCTAATTTGTTCTGGCTTGGAAGAAATACTAATTCTCTTTGGGGTTTTCCTCTTTAGCGGTGGGTCTCGGAAAAGTTCATTGTTGAGGGCTTAAGAGATTTGGAACTATTTGGAGGTAAGTACGGTATGACACTTAGCCATCACTTCAGGATAAACATCACTATTCTTTAATTGATTAGATCAGTTTATATATAAATTAGCAATTCTTAGTGCAAGTGTTAGATTTATTTGGCTCCTTTTTGAGTGTATTACTTCCCAAAGATTTGAGGTCTAGTCTGACAATTGTCCTTGACCTGTCTTGATTGTTAGAAAGCCAGTACAGTATTTACTTAAAGGCAGATAAGTTTTTTCCTAAGTGTTTGTCCTATTGAAGTACACTTTATTTATTTATTTATTTATGGTGTTGGGGATTGAACCCAGGGCCTTGTGCATACAAGGCAAGCACTCTGCCAACTGAGCTATATCCCCAGCCCCTGAAGTACTTATTCTTAAAGGAAAAAAAAATGTTTAAAATTCTATACCATTGAAGATTCTAAAAATAAAATGATGGTTCACAACGAAGGTAGCAATAACATAAAAGTTCTGGTTTTACTGATCCATTTAGTTGAGGCATTTTTTTTGTGGTAGAAATTATGAGACTTAAGAGTATTAGAGAAAATCTATCAGGGCAAAAATATCAACTATCCTAAATGTAGATTTCAGAAGTAAAGTACATTTGCAACTTTGAGGTTTAATAGACTGAGGCATTATTCTTTGGCCATTTGTGCTAAGTGAGCCTTCTGTGCAATGATGATTTTAATTTAGGGCAAAAAAATTGCTTTCTATAAAAATAATAGTAGTAGAGCTCCATTTTTTATGTGTGAATATCAAGATAGTCTCTTAGGTTCTAATAGCAAAAGAAACAGGTTATCAGATTGAGTGCATTGGTTCACATTACCCCCAAATAGGCTAAATAATTGGAAATTGAAACTTGTTTGTTACTAGGTGGTACCTATTAATTTTTCATAAGGCATCTCAAAGAAATTCTGAAATAGTATTATTTGTGAACTTTGTCAAAGTGTTGTTTCAGACAAATGAGAATTTAGAAGATGATAAGTTCTTTTTTTGTGTGAGTTACAAAGAGTAGAAATTAGCTACACAGTAAAGGAAAGATTAATGGAAAAAAAACAGTACATTCTGGTCCTATTCTCATTTTCTTCCAATAATTAATGGTTATAAAATTGTTTAAAAGTAAACATTGGGGGCCGGGGTTTTGGCCCAGAATGCGTGAAGCACTGGGTTCAGTCCCCGGCACCACATAAAAATAAACAAATAAAATAAAGATATTGTGTCCATCTACAACTAAAAAAGTATTAAAAATAAATAAATAAAAATAAAAGTAAACATTAGGCCAGATGTTGTGGTGCTTACCTGTAATACCAGTGAATTGCGGAGGCTGAGGCAGATGGATCTCAAGTTCAAGGCCAGCCTCAGCAATTTAGTGACACCCTGTCTCAAAGTAAAAAATAAAAAGGGGCTGAGGAAAATAGCTTAGTGGTAGAGCACCCCCTGGGTTCAATACCCAGCACATCCCCCCCAAAATAAAAATAAATAAAAGTTAACGTTGACATTAATGAAAATCAGTTTCCAAGTGTAATTTACAGTGAATTAGTTACAATATTCTAGTATAGTGACTTAAATGAATGAGTTTGGTATTTAGTGTCTTGAGTATTGGAGCTCTTGCTGTCTTTTGACTATGCCTTAGTTTCTGATCTAAGGAATAGGAAAAGGTTTTTCTTATAGCCTGATGAATTCTGTATTACCAAGTCTCATACAATCTCAAATTTGCCTTCTACTCTGGAAGGTTGAATTAGATTTATTTTAATCCATTCACCTGGCTTTTTACCTTGGACACTCTAACTTAAAGCAACTCTTTCTGTTGTCTGTATACCAGAAAACTGATATCTAATGCAATGTCTAGTAATATAGTTAGATGCTCTAATATATCTTATGAGAAGCATTTTTCTTGGTGACTAGACTTATTCCTCTGATTTTGTTTAAGATATTTAAAACTGTGTAATTTAAGATAATGGCATTGTATATTACCTGAGTACTTTGTAGTTCAAAATCTTTAATGATTGTTTTCCCCAAGCTGGTGATCGAACCCAGGAGATCATGCATGCTAGGCAAGCCCTCTACCACTAAGCTGTCATCCTAGCTCCCACTTGAATGATTTTTTTTTTCACTTGTATGAAATGGGAAAAATCAAAAGCACGTACAGAATTTGTCTAATTGTAAAGCAGAAAATTGGGCTGGGGATGTGGCTCAAGCGGTAGGGCGCTTGCCTGGAATGCGCGGGGCGCTGGGTTCGATCCTCAGCACCACATAAAAATAAAATAAAGGTGTTGTGTCCACCGAAAACTAAAAAATAAATATTAAAAAATTTAAAAAAAGAAAAGCAGAAAATTATTTCAGTTGTCCTGTAATTTGTTCACTTTCACTGAATAGCAGAGTGATAAAAAGCCCTTGCTTTATTTGCATTGAAAAGAGAATATATCTAACTTTGTAGAATCAAAATCAGAAATTACCCCTCATACATGTGCTTCTGTATTAAAGGGCTTTTTACTTTGAAAACAAACATTGTTTTCTAGACCCTATACTCTAGGAAATAGCCAACCATCTCTGACTTTAAAATTAATTTTTAGAGTGCAGATATAGTGGTAGAGCAATTGTCTAACATGTGCTACACCCTGGGTTTGATTCTCAATACCATGAAAAGGAAAAAAAAAAAAAACAAAAGAAGAAGAAGAAGAAAGAAAGAAACCAAAAGAAAATAACTTTTAGTTTAGTATAAGACTGAAACCAGCCAATTCAAAGAGTCATTGTGTGCTGATGACAAGTAAATGTATGACAGAACTGTGGCAATTGAGTCATACCCAGTAAAGAATACCCATAGAGTAGTAGCCTTGCCAAGTTTTGAAGAGTGGAAGATTCGTGTTTAAAATCCTGTCTAGCTGTAGCATTTTCACTCTGTGTGTTTGTAGCGTTGTAGGCAGTTTTGCTGTAATGACTCTTAAGTGGATTCTATTAATAAATGTAGTCCTAAGTTCAGTAATGCTGTTCTGAATGTGGGTGTGTCTTTTGCTAAACAACAAAATGCCAACAATCAATTTCTTTACTCCAGAGCAGCCTCCGGGTGACACTCGGAGAAAAGTAAGTGATTTTCTAGGCTCTTGCACCATGGCTGTTGCATGAAGATGACTTATTGTGAAAGTTTGTGTGTTTTATTGGCTTATTATGTTAAGTTTCTGCCTCTCTATCTTTGAGCTTTATTTGTAGTATAATTCTTTTACTTGTTGGGATTCAGGTTTCACCCTGGAAGGACTTTGATGTACAGTTCGAAGAGTGAAAATGTCTCAGACACTTTTTTTCTCTTCTGGTATTAAGTTCTCTTCCTAACCACCCTCCTAATTGTCCACCCCCCACCGCCCCCAAAATAAGTTTCTCCAGTCTGAATTCTGGCTGGTGACGCTAAATTCTCCAATCTTAGTCTATTAATAATAGATTACAGTCTTTGAAAATAATATAAATCTCTGTCTAGATTATAAGTCAGGACTTCAAGTCTCCTACCTTAAATAATAAAGCCGAAATTAAAAATTTCAAAACTAATAATTTGCTTTTTCTATTGGCAAAAACTGCAAGATTTGCTCTGCTTCCTCCTCTTCTGGTTTATTTTACCTAAGTAAATAGCACCAGATGAGTGCAGTGTACCAGGATGCTTTGGAAAATGTGAGTCAGTGTCTTTAAGAAACAGTCTAAGTAGAGTTCTAACTCAGTAAGGATTACAGACTCTTGTACCTTTTGCAGGTAGCCCCAAGGGTGAATGAAGAATGATGGTGGTGACTTGGAATTTCTCTGATTAAAGCTTTGACTGTGCTCATGGAGGCTGTCAGGAGCACTTCTCTACCAGATCCAAATACTTTCCATTCAGGAGATCCAAAAAGTTCCCTTGTAGGATGATTTTTTTTTCCAGAGTACCATGCCAGTTGTATATAATTTTTATATATTCAGATCTGTCAGTGTTATGCCAAAAGCTATCCTGGGTGAAACCTATGGAAAGTTGAATGTGTTCATTTGGAAGCATTTCATGAGTATTGTCTTTGTATGCTTTATTGTATTTTGTTTTAAACTGTTTAAACAAAGTTATCATTGTATGATCATTTCTAGATGTCAATAGTTTATGTATTTTCCTTTTTTTACAGTACTGGGGTTTGAACCTGGGGTACTTTACCACTGAGCTACATCCCCAAACCTTTTTTATTTTGAGATAGGGTATGCTAAGTTGCTAGGCTGGTTTCCAACTTGTGATCATTCTTTCTCAGCCTCCAGAATAACTAGGATTATAGATGTGGGCCACCACATCTGACTTTATATATTTTTCAAATACTTGGAAGTGAATAAAATGTTTTTCATGGTATAGGAAACTAATAAGATCTTAATAGTATTGGTTTATTTGCCTGAACAGTTTGAGATTATACATCATACTAATAAAACTATGCATGCTGCATTTAAACACAATAGGCTAAATATTTCATTCTTTTTATTGATTTAGACCTTTTTTAAGTCTCAAATAGTATAATGAACTAACTTCCCTTTCTTGTGTCAATATCAGACCAGACATCTTTCATAATATTGCTTTTGTGTTGGGTGTACTGGCACTATGATCCTAGTGACTCAGGTGGCTGAGGCAGGAGAGACCCTGTTTCAAAATAAAAAGTAAAGAGAAGTGTGGATGTAGTTCAGTGGTTAAGCATTCCTAGGTTCAATTCTGGTACAAAAACAAAGAACTGCCTTTCTTTTTCTTTTTTCTTTTTTTTTTTTGAAGGGGAGGGTAATGGGAATTGAACACAAGGGTACTTTGTCACTTAGCTATATCACCATCCCTTTTTATTTTTTTATTTTGAGACACGTTCTTGCAAAATTGCTAAGGTAAGCCTTAGATTTAGTCCTCCTGTCTCAGCCACCTGAGTTGCTAGGATTATAGGTGTGTGCCACCACACCCATCTTGCCTTTGTTTCTTAGTTTGTTTGCTTTCATAAGTGAAAGTTAGGCTGTCTAACTTCAGACCTAAAGAATATTCACAAAGTAGAAAGCCTCCATTTTAGGATTGTTTCTAGTGAGTTGGGGTCAGTGAGGCAGAGGAACCACAGCAATCACTAGCGTAGATGATTTCATGCAATTCCCAATTGCCCATGAACTGTAATCCCAATTACCTAAAGAATTTTTCTACCTTCCTTCTTTTTCCCTCCCTCTCTTTCTTTGTGGTGCTGTGGATTGCACTTAGGGCCTCATACATGCCAGGCAAGTACTCTAGCCCTGGGCTACACCCCAGCCCAAGAATTTTATTTTCTAAAACTAACACTTTTGAATAGTTTTCTGTACTCCAGGATAGTAGAAATATTTGTCAAGTTGCTAACTAAGCACATCAATAGTTTAGTGAATGTGTTGAGGTAGCCAGCCCCAGGTTAAATGAAAAATGATGATGGTGACTGGGAATTTCTCTTTGATGAAAGCTTTGACTTGCCTTTGACTTGGTTTGTTTGTTTCCTCAAAAAGAGCACATCTTAATGTGAAGCCTAGTGAGACAGTATATTTTCTAAGTGTCCCTGACATGGAAGGACATAGGTAGTAACAGTGAATTATTTGTAGTTTTTCCAAAGGCAGTTATTTACTTTTTGGTACAGGGATTGGACCCGAGGGAGCTTTGCCACTGAGCTACATCTCCAACTCTTTTTTTTTTTAAGAGAGAGAGAGAGAATTTTTTAATATTTATTTTTTAGTTTTCGATGGCACAACATCTTTATTTTATTTTTATGTGGTGCTGAGGATCGAACCCAGCGCCCCGTGCATGCCAGGCGAGCGCACTACCGCTTGAGCCATATCACCAGCCCCACTTTTTATTTTTTAATTTGAGACATGGTCTCACTAAATTGTCATAGCTGACCTCAAATTTTGATCCTTCTGCCTCGGCCTCCTGAGTTGCTGGGATTATAGGCAGAAAACCTCCTCATTTCAAACTTTGATTGAATGATTTTTGTTTTTTAAATATGTGTCAAGACAGGGATGGGGATGTGGCTCAAGCGGTAGCACGCTCGCCTGGCATGCGTGTGGCCCGGGTTCGATCCTCAACACCACTTACAAAGATGTTGTGTCCGCTGAAAACTAAAAAAAATAAATATTAAACAATAATAAATAAATAAATAAATATGTGTCAAGACAGACAAGGTTCCTTTCTTGTGAAGCTTGGCATTCTAATGGAGAAGATTGGAAATAGATAAACAAACTGCAGTGATGGCTACCATGAAGAAAGTAAAGCAAGGAAAATAATTAGGAGCCTACTTTGCCTGACAGTCTTCTCTGAAGAGACAACTTTTTTTTGGTACCAAGGATTGAACCCAGGGGCACTTTACCACAGAGCCACATCCTCACCATCCCCCTTTTTTTAATATCTAGAGGTAGGGTTTTGCTGAGCTGTTTAGTGCTTGCTAAATTGCTGAGGCTGGCTTTGAACTTGCAATCCTCCTGCCTCAGTCTCCCTAGCTGCTGGGATTACAAGCATGTGCCACCACACCTGGCTTGAAGAGACAACATTTAAGTGACACCTCTATGTTGAATTGAGACAGCAATGAGAAAATGGCAGGGAGAGTGGTAAGGGAAGAGATCAGAGAGGTGGGCAGAAGTCAGATCATGTGAAGAATCATAGGCCAGAATAAGAAGTTTGGGTCTGAAAGCAACCCACTGAGTTTTCTGGTAACAGGTGACATTGATTTTATTGAGAGCAAGAGTATGTGCAGAGGCTAGAAGTTGAGAATAGGATACTTAAAGACTGACGTAACATCATAAACTCTAAACACATGGGGAGTTGTCATTCCAGAGTTCATGGTTTAGACTTCTTGCTCAAATTGCTGCTCCAATTTTCTCTTGTATCTTTCTCACTTGTGTGAAGTACGTGGCAGGTAGTAACCAGTATTTTAAGATTGTTTTAAAGACAAGATCATGGGGGCTGGAATTGTGGCTCAGTGGTGGCACACTTGCCTGGCATGTGCAAGACATGAGGTTCGATTCTTAGCACCATAAATAAATAAATAAAGGCCTATCAACAACTAAAAATAAATAAATAAAGTTAAAAAAAAAAAGACAAGCTCATTTCAAAGAGTTACAGTGACATTAAATGATCCTAGAATTGGTTTCCAGAGATAACTGTAAGAAGCAAAATAAATCAGGGACTAGGGCTGTGACTTAGTGGTAGAGTACTTGCCTTGCACATGTGAGGCACTGGGTTTGATCCTCAGCACCACGTATAAGTAAATAAAGGTATTGTGTCCATCTACAACTAAAAAAAAATTTTTAAACAAAATAAATCAACTATTGATGAAGCTCCACTTAGGATTCTGTTTCTTCCATTTTCTGTGCCATTTTGTTTATTGAATGGCAAGTCATCAAAAGTAAACAGCAACAGAAGGAGAAGAATAGAATAACACATATTGAATACCTGTTATATAGCAGGCAGCTATCCTCTTGATATATTTTATATCATTTTATAGTTACAACAAGCCTGCAAGATGGGAATTATACTGCTGCTGAGAAAGCTGACCACCAAGAGATAAGAATGACTTACCTTGGTTCGCAGGGCAAGTGATAGACCTGAATTCAAATTCTGCCTCTGTCAGGCTCCTGAGGCTATGATCTTTGTGTTATACCATATGTTTCACTTAAAATAGCATTTTCTTTCCCAAAGATTAGCAGATGTTAGGCATCAAAAGTTTCTTAGACAGCCATAATTGGGAAATGGTGGGTTAAAAAAAGTTGAATAAGTAGTTTAGTACTTCCTTATGCTTTGGGTATGGGAGTATGAGACCCTATCGAAAAAAAAAAAAAAATGGCTGGGGATGTGTCTCAACTTATTAATTCTAAGTTACCTAGGGTCTCACTAATTAGAGGAATAACACAACAGTGAAAGTGGTGAACAGCTATATGGCTAAGTCTTAGCAATACTAAAAATAGACCAAGTTAGAAATGGAATTTGTTAAAAGTGGTCAGTTTTGCTTGACTAACTTGTTCTTAGTTCTTAGTGTCAGCATAAGTGGTGAGGAGTAGAATCCTACTTCACTTCTTTCCCCATAGATATTGTCAACTGTTTTGAAATAAGATGTTCCATAAACATCAACCTATCAAGGGATTATATTAATTTCCCTGGCCTGGGCCCAGATCTTGTCTGTGCTATGTACTCACATTTTGAATTTTGAATTTCATCTCCTTGGCCCTTATTTTTGGTATTGAAAAATAGAGATATCTACTTCACTGAGCTATAGGGAAGATCAAATACAATATGGAAATGCTCTGAAAAATATATTATATGTAAATAACAGATTTAAACATGACTTTCTTTTGTAAGGTAATTTTTTGGGAGGTTGAGGGTACCAGGGATTGAATTTAGGAGCACTTGGCCACTGAGTTACATCCCCAGCCCTATTTTGTATTTTATTTTGAGACAGGGTCTCTCTGAGTTGCTTAGCGCCTCGCTATATTGCTGAGGCTGGCTTTGAACTCTAGCTCCTCCTGCCTCTGTCTCTAATCTCTCAAACCATTGGGATTACAGGTGTGCGCCACCACGCCCAGCTAAGCATGACCATTTTTATGGGCTCCTATGCAGAGCCACTTCCTTGGTGATTGTTCAAATACTGCCTTGTCAGAACATTCTCTACTTGGATCTTTCTAGCTAGTGCTGAGCCAACAACCCTTCATGTATTCACAAAGATTTTTTTTTTTTTTTCTGACTAGGGACCAGGTTTTTCTTTTTGTTTTGACACGAGGGATTGAACCCAAGGGTATTTTACCACTCGGTCATATCCTTAACCCTTTTCATTTTTTATTTTCAGACAGGGTCTCACTAAGTTGCTTAGACTCTCACTAAGTTGCTGAGGCTGACCTCAAACTTGATCCTGCTGCCTCAGAGTCCTGAGTTGCTGGGATTACAGGCATACACCACCACTCCTGGCTAGGGACCAGATTTCTGAATGTAGCATATGACATATAAGCTGGCCTTGGGTCTCTCCATTTTAGTTGAATACACATCTGAAGAAAAAGGATCTAGCATGGTGGTACACACCTCTAAACCCAGTGACTCAGGAGGCTGAGGCAGGAGGATCACAAGCTTGAGGTCAGCCTGGGCAATTTAGCAAGACCCTGTCTCAAAATAAAAAGGGCTAAGAATTTAGCTTAGTGGTAAAGTGCCCCTGGGTTCAATCCCTTGTTATTCCCTCCCTCCAAAAAAGAAAAGAGTGTCAAAAAGAAAGAGAAATATAGATCCCAAGCCACACAAATTTAAGTCAAGAAGAAGAAAACCAAGCCATTTAGATGAAGAAGAGCTGTTGTCTGCCGTGTGTTTTGCTTTCAACACTCAGACATTGCTGAACACCTTCCTTTAGGCCCTCAAAAGTCCAGAGGCATAACTCCCCCATCTATGTGGCAGGGCAGGGCTCTGGCTTCATTTGTAGCATGAGAGCACAGAAGGAGGGAGCAGGTTGCTTCTGCAGCTGGGGATACAGCTGAGAACTGGCAGCTCTGTTCCTGACCTGCAGCTCAGTGCCTGCATTGTCACCTTGCTTTATTTGGAAAATCAGGGAATGACTAGCCTGGGCTCTTGGGTTATTTAAGAGAGGACTACTTCTGGCCACATTTTCCACACAGCAAGATTTAGCACTTGATCTTTTTGAGATCTTGCAGTTAGGTCCTTAAAAGCAAGACCCTCAAAGAGAAGGAAATTCAAGAGACCTCTCTACCTTTCTATCCCCCTTCTTTTTTCTACATATGCCTTTCTCTAGACATCCTTGCCCCAAGTAAGAATTTCATAGATATTCCATATGCCATAGTTTATGGCATTCCTCTTTTTTTTTTTTTTAACAAGTGAATCAGTTGTATGAAAGGACAAGCAGATTGACAGTTTACTGGAACAGCCCCTTGTCATATCCCAACATGTGTAGATATTGCAACACTTAACTTGCTCAGGTATCATTGTTGATTCCTACACTGTACATCTTGTGTTTTCTCTTCAAATAGTGTTGGTACTGTTTCTTTGCCAGAGTCAGGATTTGTGTGTTTGTTTAGATTCCAGTTTCCTCATGGGTTTAAATTACCACCTTCACCCAACTCCAGTCCCACCCCATTTTCTTTGTTAACCTATTTTTTTCTTTTTCTTTAGACCAATGAGGCAAGCTCAGAGTCAATAGCATCCTTCTCTAAACAAGAGATCATGAGTAGTTTCCTGCCAGAGGGAGGATGTTATGAGCTGCTTACCATTATAGGTAATGTCCAGAGACTGTCATTGCTTTTCTGTTCCAGGGGACTGCTGCAGCTTAGCTCAATTAGTAGGATTCACAATGACAAACCTGGCTCCTGTGGATCTTCTTTGTTTTTTTTTTTCTGCCAACTATGCAAAGAAATCAAGTTTTCAGGAGAAACTCTTTTGCCATTTTTTTCTTCATAGTTGTATACTTCTGATGTCCCAGGTCATAGTAGCTAGAATGGTTGACTAAGAAGGAACTGATAGGAGAAAACCCAAGAAATGTCAGTCATCGGGCTCGGGTTGTGGCTCATTGGTAGAGTGCTTACCTAGCATGTGTGAAGCACTGGGTTTGATTCTTAGCATCACATATAAATAAGTAAAATAAAGGTCCATTGATAACTAGAAGGAAAAAAAGAGAAATGTCAATCATGAAAGTAACAGTAGGGAAAATTTTTAATTAAATTTTTTGTTGAAATCAAATTCTTTTTCCATTAAAGAGATTAGAAGCTGTTCTTATTTATGGCATTCCTCTTTTCTTTTAGGCAAAGGATTTGAGGACCTGATGACAGTGAATATGGCAAGATACAAACCAACAGGAGAATATGTGACAGTACGAAGGATTAACCTAGAAGCTTGTTCCAATGAGATGGTGACATTTTTGCAGGTAATAAAAAATGAATGTGACTCTTAGAAGTTCCATAGTAATTGTAAGACATCTCTCACATCAATCTTCTGAAAGTTCCTGCAAAGGATCTCATCAGCACACACTTCATGGATGGCTTCTTGACTTCAAAAGTCAAGAAGCTTTCAATGGAGAATCTTAGGCATTGGCCATTATATGTATTTTATGCTCCCTTCTTCAAATATTCCTTTGTGGCTCATTCATTATTTAAAAGACTGAGTAACTGGTGCACAGTCATATATAGTAGTAAGTGGCAGAGACAGCATTCAGACCCAGGCAGTCTTGTTTCCAATGCAGAGCTTCTTGCCCTGCTTCCAGTGGCTAACTTCTAGCTCTTAGCATCCTGCTTGCCTTAGGTTCCTTCCTTTTTAGGAAGAAAGTAGTTGCATTCTTGTTCAACTGAGAAAGACCACAAGTCTAGCAGCTGACTGGGGCCTAGACTCTCCTTGGCTAACATGGCTTGGAATTAGGAGCCTGCTCTGTGTTATATTCAATGTTCTTGTTTGCAGCCTTTCCTCTTCTTTGTTTGCAATGTTTCAATGTTTTCCCTGAATCCAAGCTTGACTGATGGTGCTCTATTCTCAGTTCATTTGTTCAGAGTAGGTTGGTGGGGCTGAGGATGGAGCAAGGCTGCCAGTAAAGCAGCTTAGTTATTTTAGAAAAACACATCTAATTTTGTTCTAGTGCTTGCTAGACTGTGTAATTCTTTTCTTTTTTTTTAATATTTATTTTTTAGGTGTAGATGGACACAACACAATGCCTTTATTTTTATGTGATGCTGAGGATCGAACCCAGGTCCTGACTGTGCTAGGCGAGCGCTCTACCGCTGAGCCACAATACCAGCCCCTAGACTTATATGTTTGTTTTTATAATTTATTTATTTTATGTGGTGCTGAGGATTGAACCCAGTGCCTCACCTCACGCATTCGAGGCAAGTGCTCAACCACTAAGCTACAACCCCAGCCCCCCCCCCCTTTTTTTTTTTTAAACACTTCTATAGCTGCTTCTGAGGAAGCGATCCCTTGGTTTAAGATTGTTGAAAAAACATCTTATGTTTCATAGTTGTCATACGTTGTTTCTATCAGTTACTAGGTTTTTATTTATAATAGAAAAATTTGTTTTTGTTTTCTTCAAGAGGAGTTCTGTACCTTGGTCTTTGAGGTTGAGCTAAGCTTGCTTGCAGGCTTCCTAAATCTTTAATCAGCAGTTTATTTTCATCATGTCTGAGATGGCTAACTGGAACCTTCCAATGTGTTGACAGTAGTTTCCCTGTCTGGTGGGGGATTATTTCTTGAGGCTCAGTACAGAGCCACTCTCAGGCCTAAGCAGGCAAAACAGACTGCAGGCACAGCAGGGCCTACTTCTCCTATACTGGCTTATCCTAGAACTCTGAGAAGAACACCCAGAAAGAAGTAGGTTCCCATGTTATTCATGCTCCCACCTTCACATTGGGTATCATTCTTCAGGGCTCCTTGATTTTGACTTCAGCTTTACCATTGCTTTCAGGGGGAGCTTCATGTCTCTAAACTCTTCAACCATCCCAATATCGTGCCATATCGAGCTACCTTTATTGCAGACAATGAGCTGTGGGTTGTCACATCATTCATGGCATATGGTGAGTGGGAAAAGGTTCCTGGTATAGAGGGTTCTAAGAACTCTTTTGGCAGATTGCTTATGTGCCATCATCTTCCTCTGTTACCCTTTGCTTCCTCCCCACAATTCTTTTCTTCAGGTTCTGCAAAGGATCTCATCGGCACACACTTCATGGATGGCATGAATGAACTAGCAATTGCTTATATCCTGCAGGGGGTGCTAAAGGCCCTGGACTACATCCACCATATGGGCTATGTGCACAGGTACACTCTTTGTTTTTTCCTTTATATTTTTAGTTGTAGATGGACACAATACTTTATTTTATTTATTTATTTATTTTTAATGAGGTGCTAAGAATTGAACCCAGTGCCTCACCCATGCTAGGCAAGTGCTGTACCACTGAACTACAACCCCGGCCCCCACAGGTATGCTCTTTTTGCAGGTAGGTACTGGGTATTGAACTCAGGGGCACTCAACCACTGAGCCACATCCCCAGCCCTATCTTGTATTTTATTTAGAGACAGGATCTCACTGAGTTGCTTAGCACCTTGGTTTTGCTGAGGGTGGCTTTGAACTAGCGATTCTTCTGCCTCTGCCTCCTGAGCTGCTGGGATTACACACATGCACCACTGCACCTGGTAATACACTCTTAAGTGACTTCATCCTCTATTAATAAAGAGCAAATGCTGTGTGCTGTGGCTCATGCCTGTAATTTCAGCAACTTGGGAGGCTGAGGCAGGAGGTTCACCAGTTTGAGGCCAACCTCAGCAACATAGTAAGACCCATCTCAATATAAAAATAAAAAAGGGCTGCGGATGTAGCTCAGTGGTAGAGTAGCCCTGTGTTCAATTCCCAGTCCACAAAACAAGCAAAAAGAACCTGTGACCATGTGCCCTCAGGGAAACAGTTGAAAGTTAACTGGAGTTAATGAAGCCAGAGTTTAAAATCAAGGATCTGGGGCTGGGGATGCAGCTTAGCTGGTAGGGCGCTTGCCTCACATGCACAGGCCCTGGGTTCAATCCCCAGCACCCAAAAATAAAATAAAATCAAGGATCTGGGTCTGACCTTGCCACTGATGGTGGCATTTAGCCTGTTAGTGGTGAAGCCACTGTTTTCTGTTTACTGGGCAGCTTGGTCCTGAGTATTAATGTGAGAGGAAAGAACATCTGACATGGACCACTCCCCTACTTCCTTTCTAGTGTGCTTTCAAGTCAGTCCTAAGATGAGTGGCTGCAATAAAGACAGATTTCTTAATAGGTGGTGTCAGGAAAACTGGTTTATAGTAGGAAAGATGATAAAACTGGAACTCCATCTATCTTCATACCCAGAGAGAACTGCAGGTGGATTAAAGCCCTAAATGTAAGATTTAAAACTCAGACTTAAATAGAAAACAATGTGAAGAAATAGGTTTTTTTTTTTTTTTTTTTTTTTTGATACCAGGGGGTTAAACCCAGGGGCACTTAACCATTGAGCCACATCCCCACCCCCTTTTTTAATATATAGTTTATTTAGAGACAGGGTCTCACCAAGTTACTTAGTGCCTCACTAAGTTGCTGTGGCTGGCTTTGAACTCGGGAAACTTCTGCCTCAGCCTCCTGAGCCACTGGATTACAGGCGTGCGCCACCACACCTGGCAAGAAAATAGTTTTATGATCTGAGACTAAAAACAACTTTTAAACGTTTTAGAAACATAAAACATAAGGCAAAAATATAGATGAATTTGATTATATGAAGACTCAGTTCCCTATTCAATAAAGGATATCATGAACAAAGTGAAGAAATGGGTAACAGAGTGGAAGAAGATGTTAGCTTTGTCTAAGATACACAGGAGCTTAGAAATAAGAAAATTTTGCAAAGCAATGAGAAAAGGACAACAAAGAATAGGAAAATGGGCAAAGGATATGAAGCTTATAAAAGAGAAAATCCCCAAAAGCAAACAGTCATAAGAGCCAGCACTGAGGCCTAGCAATCAGAGAAAAGCAAATAAAACTAAGATATCACTTTATACTCTTGAAACTGGTGGTGGTTCAGAGTTTGGGTGAAGCCCAGTGCAGTGGGAACCTGAAAGCTTCTTTTCAGATAGTAGAAGATGATTGATGCAGCCAGTCAGGTACACAGAACCAAGACAATTAATACTGCCTCTGGGGTGTGTGCCCCAAAGAAACTGTCACATAGCCTCATGAGGGAACATATGTATCAATGTCATTGGTCATATTTGTACTGAGTAGAGGCAGTATGAGTATCCCTCCCTGGAGACTGGGAGAATGAGAATAAAGTGTTAGATTCCCACCCTGGACACAAGGAGGCAAGTAGAAGCAAAGATCAGATATGTAAGATATATAAAGAGAGCTATCAGGTGGGTCTTGAAAATATAGCACTGAGAAAGGAAGAATGAGTTGCATAACATTCTTAAATTTAAAATATACATACAAAACAAGTAAATTTAAAATGTACATACAAAACAATGGCATACTTTACAAGAATGCCTATAAGGGGCTGGGTTGTGGCTCAGTGGTAGAGGGCTTGCCTAGCATGCCCAAGGCACTGGGTTCAATCCTCAGCACCACATAAATGTAAAATAAAGATATTGTGTCCATCTAAAACTTAAGAATAAAAATTTTTTTTAAAAAAAGAATCCCTACAAATAAGAAGTACAGATTAGATTATTAGTGGAAGCTAGGGGGATGTGCATAAAACAGAACAGGAGGGCTGGAGGTGTGGCTCAGTGGTAGAGCGCTTGCCTAGCACATTTGAGGCACTAGATTCCATCCTCAGCACCGCATAAAAATAAATAAAATAAAGGTATTGTGTCCATCTTCAACTTAAAAAAAAAAAAAAAAAACAGATCAAGACATAGTAAGTTTTAAAATCTGATTGCTGGGTGTGGTGGCACATGCCTGTAATCCCAGTGACTCAAGGGGAGGAAGCAGGAGGATCACAGATTCAAAACCACCCTGAGCAACTTAGCTAGGCTATAAGCAATCTAGCCCTGTCTCAAAATAAAATATAAAAATGGTTAGGGATGTGGCTCAATGGTTAAGTGCCCCTGGGTTCAATCCCTGGTACCAAAAAAAAAAAAAAAAAGGGTTGGGGTTGTGGTTCAGTGGTAGAGCACTTGCCTAGAATGTGTGAGGCACTGGGTTCGATTCTCAGCATCCATAGAAATAAATGAATAAAACAAAGACCCATCAACATCTAAAAAAGAAATATTTAAAAAAGTGATATGTACATGGGTTCATGCTATCTTCTCTTTTTTTTGTATGTTTGAAGTTTTTCATAAAAACATATTTATATATAAAATGTATAACATACACCTGGGTGTGAGCTGAATAGATGTAGTGTGTAAATACTGAGGGTTTTTAGTGTGAGGCGCTCCTGTTGCTCATTATCTGTCTTTTCCTTCCCCACCAGGAGCGTTAAAGCCAGCCACATTCTGATCTCTGTGGACGGGAAGGTCTACTTGTCTGGTTTACGCAGCAACCTCAGCATGATCAGCCATGGGCAGCGGCAGCGTGTGGTTCATGATTTTCCCAAGTACAGTATCAAGGTCCTCCCTTGGCTCAGCCCAGAAGTCCTTCAGCAGGTCTGTGCATAGGGTCCCAAGGAGTCCCCATCAATTCATGATTTCCCAAGGAAGCTATAGGAATTTCCCAGGGATGGGGTGGGATGCTCTGTATTTCTGAGTGGGCTAAAGGGATCCTGGAGGGAAGGGGTCCCTATTGGCCAGATATGCATTGGTACTCAAATTAACATGGATATTATCTACCCACTGCAGATAGATGTTGTTCCCACTTGCTGGGGTCCTATTTCAACTCCCCCTGGGGAATCCTTCCTACCTTATGGAAGAGTGAGCATTTTGGTGCTCTTGCGACCCCTATGCTGAGCAGGAGCATGGCCCCAGTGCTCCTTCCAGAGTACTACATAGTAGCACTAAACATTTGTTCCTTGTAAAATAGCAGCTAATCTTCAGCAGTACAGGCAAGGAGAGTCATTAGCAGCTGCTTCTGATTGTGGGAAAGGCATTCTTTTCCTCCTCAGTTTTGTTCAAATCTTCTTTTTCTAAACAAAGACCGGGATTGCAAATGAAGTCATCTGTGGCTTTTTTCTTCTGATTTAGAATCTTCAGGGTTACGATGCCAAGTCTGATATCTACAGTGTGGGAATCACTGCCTGTGAACTGGCCAATGGCCATGTCCCCTTTAAGGATATGCCTGCCACTCAGGTGAGCCTGTAGCCCAGTCGTTCCCTTCTTACCTACCTTCCTGCCTTCCACAAATGTTTCCTGAATACCTGCTACATAAATGACATAGATTAATGTTAGCTCAGATGAAAAGACACGGTCCTTTTCTTCAAGAAGTCAGGGATGGTTGTGTACTTCTTCGTGTCCTTCTCTACATGATAAATACTGTTGTCATGGAGCCCAGTCCAGTGAAGGTGGAGCCTGGAATTAGCAGTGCAAATGGAGGCCCACCTACCATATGTCTATTTAAAATGTATAAATCAAGCTAACCAATTTTTATAAATTTATAAAATATCTTCTACCTATTTTCTGTCTCCTACCTTGAAAGGTCAGTTTCTAATTTGGAATTCTTAGACATCTGAATTTTGTTTTGCTTTGTAGTACTGGGGATTGAACCCAGAGGCACTTTACCACTGAGCTGCATTCCCCAGTCCTTTTTATTTTTTATTTTAAGACAGGGTATCACTAAATTGCTGAATCTTGCTAAGTTGCTGAGGTTGGCCTCAAACTTGTGATTTTCTTGTCTCGGCCTCCTGAGTTGCTGGGATTATAGGTGTGTACCTCCGTGTCTGGCTAACATTTCAGAGTTCGGTGCCGCCTTTCTGACCCACACCTTTGGAACCTCCATTCTGCAAGTTCACCTTCTATTCATGCCCCTACGTATGGCTACCCTTTGGCCCACCCTCTGGCCTTAGAATACACAGCCTGTACCACAGTCTGGTTGGACAGGCCCAGGGAAGAGGCTGATCCAGACCCCATCAGAATCAGGAAAGTAGACCTAGAAGAGTCATCTGGGCAAGGGTTACCTGGGTTCCAAGTGCCTGGAGCATGGCCTAGAATGAGGAGGGGGCAGGCATGAACTCTCAGTAAGCCTCTCTCTCTCCCATCTGCGAACTGTTCCCCCTGTTGGGAGAGGGAAGCTTAGGAATGGCCAGACCAAGGGCTGGGGATGTAGCTCAGTAGTAGAGCCCTTGCTTAGCTTGCATGAGGACTTGAGTTTAATCCTCACTACCACATACACACACAAAATAATATATGTTATATAAAATAATAATATATGTATATACATACACACATATATTTTTAAGCAATTAATAAATATTTATATTATTATTTCATCTTTAAAAATTCACCTACAGCCAGGTATGGTGGTGCCCGCCCGTAATCCCAGCAGCTCAGGAGGCTGATGCAGGAGGATTGAGAGTACAAAGATAGCCTCAGCAACTTAGCCAGGCCCTAATCAACTTAGCAAGACCCTGTCTCAAAATAAAAAATAAAACATGGGCTAGGGTTATGGCTTGGTGGTTAAGCACCCCTGTTTTCAATCCCCTACCTCCCCTACCCACAAAAAATTGACCTGCACAACTTACCATGGCAATATGGTTGAATAATATTAGAGTTGGGGGTGTAACTCAGTAGTAGAAAGCTTATCCAGCATGCTGAAGGCCCTGGGTTTAATTCCCAGCACTGTAAAAGCCACAAAAAGAATGACCAGATGAGCCCTCTAGAGGAGGGGACCAGGGAGGCTTTGAGGAAGGAGGCATTTGGGTCAAGCCTTAAAAGCAAATATCAATTTACTGTGTGAAGAATGGGAACAAAAACAGACTCTTTAAGACTCAAGAGTCAGGAAGGAACAGGATCTTCTAGGCACAGTGCCACATTCCTGCAATCCCAATGATTTGGGAAGCTGAGGCAGGAGGATTATAAATTCAAGGTCAATCTCAGCAATTTAGCAAGACCCTGTCTCAGAATAAAAAATAAAAGACCTGGGGATGAAGCTCAGTGGTAAAGTGGTCTGGGTTCAATCCCCAGTACCAAAGAGAGAAAGAAAAGGATCTGATGAACAACATCAGCAAAATGTTGTCAGTGGCTAAGGTACAAGTGCTTTTGGGGTGGGGGAAGCTGCTTGGTGATGAGGCTGGAGAAAGAAGCGAGGGAAGCTCAAGGGCATCTCATGAAAAGCTTTGTATTCCATTCTAATGTATAATTAGGCTCCTATTGCAAAGCATATGGAGACTTGCTAGAGGGATTGTTTGTTTGTGGTTCTGGGAATGGAATCCAGGGCCTCATACATGCCAGGCAAAAACACTCTTTATCACTGAGCCACATCCCTAGCCCCTACTGGAGGATTTTAAGTATGGGGTAATCACATCAGACACATATATTTTAGAAAGGTCATTCTAGCAGCTGGATTCGATCTGGTAGATGAGTCAGGGGGGTGTAGAAATGTAGGTAAAGTGCCGGGCACAGTGGCTCACACCTGTAATCCCAGAAGCTCGGAAGGCTGAGGCGGGAGAACTCAGAGTTCAAAGCCAGCCTCAGCAATAGTGAGGTGCTAAGCAACTCAGTGAGACCCTGTCGCTAAATAAAAATACAAAATAGGGCTGGGGATGTGGCTCAGTGGTTGAGTGCCCCTGAGTTCAATCCCCAGTACCAATAAATGAATGAATGTAGGTAAAGTCCCAAGAAAAATAATTTAGTAACAGAAGAATGCTCAGGTTCAGATTTATTTATTTATTTTTAAACAGAGAGGGAGAGAGAGAATTTTTTTTAATATTTATTTTTTAGTTTTCAGTGGACACAACATCTTTGTTTGTATGTGGTGCTGAGGATTGAACCCGGGCCACACGCTTGCCAGGCGAGCGCGCTACCGCTTGAGCCACATCCCCAGCCCTCAGGTTCAGATTTAGAAGCAGCATTTATGCAGGTAGAACTTTGTGCAATGACTGCGCTTTTCAGTATGGCAACCACCAGCCACCTGCAGTTATTAGCATTGAAAATGTGACTAGATTGAGGGGCTAAATTCTAAACGTGATTTAAGTTAATTTAAATGTTAATAGCTACATGTGGCTAGTGGCTACTACACAAGTGCAGCCCTAGAGAGATTCCTAGGTTTCTGGCTTGGGCAGCACATGAAGTTCAGGAGGACAGCAGTATTCAAAGTGGACTCGTTTTACATGTATTGAGTTGAAGGCTTTGGAACAGTCACCCAATCCTGGCCTGCCCCGGCACACTGCTTCTGCAGCCTGCCACTGTAAAAACCCAGGATATGGTACTATCGGTTCTGCATTGTGGACCCAGTTGGACTCACCTGGGTATGGCAAATGGGCTTGGCCTCAGAGAAAGTGACCTGGCTGCTACCTCTACCCTGAGATGAAGGCTTTACAGTTAAAGAAATTTGATGTCTTGTAAAGGGAGAGAGGCAGTGGTGGCCCTTCCAGCAATGGTAGGGGCACTTCTTGCAACCCCTCCTCTCCTTCTCCTGTCAGCCTATGTAGTGGGGAGCTGCTGAGTCAGTGGCCAGCATTCCTTTGGAAAAGTTAGACTTATTCCACTTCCGTCTTTTCTCTGTTCCCAAAAGATCATTTGCTTATGGGGAAGAGTTTATTTATGAAGAGACTCCTAGGTCTTCCAAGGCCCCCTCCAGCCCAGGCCCTGGCTCTGTCCTTCCCAGATGCTGCTGGAGAAGCTGAATGGTACAGTGCCCTGCCTGTTGGACACCAGCACCATCCCTGCTGAGGAACTGAACATGAGCCCTTCACGCTCTTTGGCCAACCCTGGCCTGAGTGAGAGCCTGACCACCAGCAACCCCCGGCCCTCCAATGGCGACTCACCTTCCCATCCCTACCAACGAACCTTCTCCCCCCACTTTCATCATTTTGTGGAGCAGTGCCTTCAGCGCAACCCGGATGAAAGGTATCCCTCTGGCCTTGGAGCCAGGCTTTGGGGTAGCAGAGGGAGCTCCAGAGTTGGGGCAAGACTTTTAAAAGATGTACCTCTCATAGAATCTATAAGGGGGCTGGGGCTGTAGCTCAGTGGCAGAGTGCTTGCCTGGCATGTGTGGGGCACTGGATTCAATCCTTAGCACCACATAAAAATAAAAGTTCTGAAACATTAAAGAAGAAGAATCTGTATGGGTTTGGGCTCCCTGGAAGAATGAGGGGCCAAACAGTAAGAGAGATCAGCTCATGAATTTGCTAAAAAAGCCAGCCTGGATAGTTCTGGATGTCATTTTTGGTGAGCTGAGGGAAGAAGTAGAGGTACCTGAGGATAGGATGTCAGCAACAGGAGGTGGAGCTGGGCATGGGTGATGTGGATCTCTTCACCTTCTTCTCCAGGCCAAGTGCCAGCGCCCTCCTGAGCCACTCCTTCTTCAAGCAGGTACAGTAGCACTGCCTCAGTTCCTGTTTTTTTCTGGCCTGTTGTTCTACTGCCCATGATTCCTTTAGCTGTGGGGTGTTCAGGAATTCTCTACTATTCCTTTTGAACTAGAGAAATGACCATGTTTCTGAAGCCACTAAAAGGCACTGCTCCTTCCTCTCTATCATATTTTGGCTATGACAGGGCATCTGTCACTGGGCCATTGTTCCTGCTCTGTGTTATCCTGGGGCCTGAGCAGCAGGATCCATCACCCAGTTCTCTTCTCCCCAGATCAAGCGACGTGCCTCAGAGGCTTTGCCTGAATTACTTCGTCCTGTCACGCCCATCACCAATTTTGAGGGCAGCCAGTCTCAAGATCACAGTGGAATCTTTGGCCTGGTGACAAACCTGGAAGAGCTGGAGGTGGACGACTGGGAATTCTGAGCCTCTGCAGACTATGCATGTTCTCCAACCTAGGGCATGCAAGGCCCAGGAGCCCTTGAGGGCTGGCACATTCCCACCCTCGTGGGTACAGACTGGGTAGAAAGGACCTTCTGTCAGCAGAGCAGGCTATGGACTGATTAGAAGGGCATCCAGGAGAGATTTCTGCACTGCTTTTGAAACAAGGGAATCCCAGGCACCAGGGATTGGGAAGGGTCAGAAAGCTGACATATCCTGTCCTACGAACTCAAGCAGCATCCTCAAAAGAAAGAAAAGCTGCTCTGGCCTTGAGGCTGAAGTCTAAGTCTAAGTTGACTCATCAACTTAGGGAACTGTCACCTCCTCTTCCCATCACTTGTTCTCTTGCCAGCCTGATTGTATTCTTTTCCTCTGCTCTCAGATCCTATTGGTCCATAAAGGGCCAAGTCATTAGCAGTTTGCTTCCCTTGCTCTGAAGCCTCTCCTTAATAACTGAAGGGAAGGGTCTGTCTTTTTTAAGCATCAAGTTAATAAAGCTGGGGCAGTCCATCCTTATTCCACTTGTCTCTTGGACCTTGACTCCTAAACCTTCCCATAATTCATCTGTGCAGCTCTTTCCTTTCCCAAGTATCCATCTTAACACCTGCCAGCTGCCCTGGTGCGTCTTCCAAGGGCCATAATGTCTTGCCTTGCCTGAAGGCTTAAAATCCTTATGCTGTGTTAGTTTCGTTGTCAGAACAAATTAAAATTTTCAGAGAACCTTTTAGAGAATGGCTTAGTGTTTGCAAGCTCACAGAAGCTATAGGCTTGCTTACTGGTACTTGTGCTTCCAAGGATGGCCAGGCTCAGGCTCTCCCATTCCACCCAAAAATGGGCCTATAAGTGATTGTGGGAGCATAGAAGGGACACCTTTCACTAGGTAGATAGACCAGTTTCTTTTAAAACCCATAAGAGATAGTCTTTTAAATACCCCAGATTTTAAGACTATTAATTTTTGCTTGTGGCCATCAAACCACCTGGAGCTGGAAGGGTCTGTGTGCTAAAGACTAGCCCTCTGCAGGACCTCTTCTGGGCCACTGAGGGTCTGGGCAGAAGATGCTCACCTTTGGCAGGAAAGGGTGGAGGGTTTTGTCTTGTAACCTGACTTGTGGAGTCTCCCTACCATGGGTACTAATGTCCAAAGAGCAAGAAACCTTAGAACAAGACCTGCCCACTCCTGTCATTTTTCTTTTTTTCAGTACTGGGGATCAAACCCAGGGGTATTTTACCACTGAGCTATATCCCAGCTCTTTTTATTTTGAGACGGGTCTCTCTCACTGAGTTACCCAGACTGGACTCCAAACACTTGTGATCCTCCTGCCTCAGCCTTCCAGGTTGCTTGGGTTATAGGCGTTTGCTCCTGGCCCTGTCATTCTTGTCAGCCAGTGAATGGGAGCAAAAGGATGATTCCAACCTTGGTCTCCTTTGTGGTGCTTCACAGACATGTGCACATTCATTTGCATGTGTTTGTGCATGCCCCAGCACAGTGCTTTCTGCCTTGCTGGTCCTTTCTGATGAAGACTCTGGCCCAAGCACTGCAAATGTCAGATTAAGGAAGTGCCCCTCCCTTTTCCCTGAGCCTGCTCTGAACTATCAAACACCCTTACTTTCCACTTCCTGAGAAATTTTAACACCAGTTTAAAGAAAACATTTATATTTCTTCCCTTGAGCATTTACAGGAGCTGAGGTGAAGATAGGGGTAGAGGACCTGAAATGCAAGTGAGAAGCTTCCATCACATCTGTTTCCAGCCCTTCTCCTAACCCCTACCCAGTTCATTTTTTCATGGAGTCTTAAGTTCCCTTGTTTTGTTTTTTGGTACTAGGGATTGAACCCAGGGGCATTCTACCACTATCACTGGGCTGCATTCCAGCCCTTTTAAAAGTTTTTTAGACAGTGTCTTGCTAAAGTTGCTGAGGCTGACCTTGAACTTATGATCCTCCTGCCTCAGCTTCCTGAGTCCCTGAGATTACAAACATGTGCCATTGTAACCAGCCTTAAATTTCCTTTTCTTAACATATCACCATATTAGTTTTCTTTCCTTCCAGATTGCCTTCTCCACGCAGTCAGCTCATCCTCAACACCGAACTACTGATCTTGTGATAGTTTCCTGCAACTCAGCCCACAGATTGTCCTGGGCAGAATATGGTCCTCAGGGCTGGCTCCCAGACCGTGCTCTGTAGCCAAGAAGCCTGCTCCTAGTGTCTGGGAGGGCTTCACCTTTCTTGTATCAAACAGCTCCCTTGGATGACAGGTGTGGACACTTTCCCCAGAGACACATGCAGTTGTGGAGGGTTCTCACACCTGTAAGGGAATCCTCAGGCCCACAGTGCCAGGAAAACACAGGTTCCCTTAGAGGTAAGCCAGAGGACTGACAGAGAAAAACCAAATACAGTGTGGGTGCATCCAGCCAGCCAGGAAAATGTTTGGGGGCTGGGCAGCTCCTTGCTTCCCTGCCAGGCGGCAGGCAGGGAGCTGTTCTGTTCCCTGACAAGTGTGTGGGCCCAATCTGGAGCCACCAGTTCTATTCCTGCCACAGTGTGGGAACATGCTGTTTAGGGCTGTGTTTTGTGAAACAGCCTTCAGCCTGGTTTCAAGCAAAGCCAAACGAGTCGCTGGGACCCAGAAAGCCCCAGCCTCTTTGCAGAGGTCCACAGGGACCCCAGCACAGCTGAAGTTCCACTCACAAGTGGCTGTCACTTTTAGACCTGCTCTGTGCAGGGCACACCTGCAGGAGGCAATGCTCCTGCACTAACTTTGTTCCCCTGAATGTCATCTCAGACTTTTAGGCCTTAGCTCCCTTTTGCAGAATGAGGTTTGGGTGCTCAGAGATTTGCTTGCTGGTGGGATGGAATGATTCTTTCCCTGAGGACTTGCCCTTGGTATCCTTGGAAGGCCAGACGTTAGTGAAACAGACTGAATTGAGGACCCGCTGGATTAAGACGAACTTCCTCGAGGAGAATGGAAAGGGAAGGCTGCAACCCTCACTCTAACAGGTGCCAAAGAAGCTGAGAGGGAGACTCCTGCTTGGCCTATTGAGCACGGGTTCACTAAATATATGTGTATTTTGTCCCGTTTTGCCTCTCTTCAGGCCAACTAAATCTACATATGCATATCACCTGGCTTTTGTTGTAAATTGTGGCGGCTTCAGTGTCATGGGCTAGAGAAGCAATCTAGCTGTTTCTTTCCAGTTTGGTCAAACTGCATAAAGTTCACTTTTTCTTTTCTTTTGCCTCTTTCTTATGCGGGCTGCAGCCGAATCCAACCAGCCAGAAAACAGGCAAGGGCCCTGGGTCGGGTTGCCAGTAACATTAGTAATGCCACAAAGTCGGGCCACAGAAAGGCTTCAAGACGCCAGCTCTGGGACAGTGGGTGCTCTGGGAAACTGCGGCCAACAGCCTTGTCCGCCCCTGTCTACCGGGCAGCAGAAGGCGCATTGGGGTAGAAACCCTGCCCGACCTCTCATGCAGGTCAGCTCCGTGGCAAGCGGCCAGCCAAGGCCACTGACAGCGATTGCCCCGAGCCCTCCCTGCGGCCCCTAACACTGGCCTCGCAGCCTCGCGGCGGGGCTTGGCGGGACCGCGTGCCGCTGCCATCTTTCTCCGCGGGCTGTGCAGGCGCGGGAGCGGCCCCTGGCGGCGGGAGGACCCCGCAACCCGAGGGGGCGCGGGAGCCGAACCCAGGGTCCCTGCCTTGCCTCCGGGGTCGCCCCAGTGGGGTCTCTCAGGCTGCGGGGCCCACACTGCGCCGGGCGGGAACAGGAGCTGCCGGAAACCTGCGACCACGAGGGCCAACGGGCAAACTGAGGCAGCGAAAGGCTCAGGCAAGCTCGAAGGGGCTGTGCCAGTAGTGTCGTGTCCTGAAACCAGAGCCTGCACTGGTCCCCGCAGGAGGGGCGGTGTGGAACCTCGAGCTCCGGTCCCCACCTCTGTCTTTTCCTCAAGCGCGGCTGCCCACGGCCCGGCGTCGTCGAGAGCCGGCAGACGGGGCGGCCGGTCCCTGGAGCCCAGCAAGCCCGAGAGGCTGCGTGGGGTCGGCGCGGGGGGCAGACAAAGGCGGGGGAACGGCGAGTCGGAGAAAGACAAAGCGCAGAGGGGGGTCGGCGGCGGCGCCCGGGACCCGGAGGCGGCTCCGGGCGCGGCGGAGCCAATGGGCGGGCGCGGGGCGGGGGCCGGCGGGGGCGGCGCCGCGATAAGGCGGCGGCGGCGGCGGTGGCCGCTTGGGGACCACTGGCAGCGGCGGCAGCTCGCGCCCTCACCTTCCTCCCACTCGAGGCGGCCCCCGGAGACCGACCCCCGCCCCGCGGCCCAGGCCGGGGCCCGGTGAGACGCGCGGGCGCCCTGGGGGAGGGGCCAGCATCCGGCTCTAGGGCCCAGGCGCCGAGGTGGGGGACGGGGGCCGCCTCTGCCTCCGCCCGCGGGGTCCCAACGCCCAGCGACTCTGTGCTTCGCTCTCGCCGTCGGCCCCGAGGCTTGTTTCTGCCTTCAGGGCCGCTCCCCAGCGAGGGTGGGGCCCGCGGGAGTTCCCCGGTCTGGGGTCTGTTTCCCTGGGTCCAAGGTGCCGGGGCCGACTTGGGGCTGCGGCGCGGCGGGGCGGGGCGGGGCGGGCGCCTGGGCCGGGGCGCTGTCCAGGGGCTGGGTGCCTGGGCCCCGCGCCGGGCAGCGTGCTGCGCGAGTCAGGCTGGGCAGCGGGTTTTCGCCCGGCCGCGTCCGCCCGGCCTTCCCCTGACCTCCCCTCACCCCAGGAGGGGTCCCAGCCCGCGGAGCGCACGAGGAGGCTGCGCAGGACCTTTTGTGCCCGGCCGCTGCCCCATAACTTTGTTCTTTTCCCACACATGGTTCCACTCCAGGACCCCTGCCCCTTGGGGAGCAGCGTGGGGGACGGGCAGGCAAGAGGGTGGGTGAGGGGCGGAAGTGGCAAAACCGAGAGCAACAGGAAATGACTTAGGGAAAGTCCCAACCACAGCCCCCCAGCCCCCTGCCTGTAAACACCCCCACCCTGCAGCCTGGAGAAGGCTCGTGGGGCCCCATCGACTGACTTCCCCTTGCAGAACCCAGCCGGTGCCGCGTCTCTGCCTGGGGCCTCCATCACCTCCGACAAGCCATGTTCCAGGCTGCGGGAGCCGCCCAGGCCACCCCCTCTCATGTAGGTGACCAGCCGGGTGGGAGGGGCGAGGGGAGAGGAGCTGTGTGTTTGCCGGGCACCCTTTGCCCCCTCTTTGATTGCCCCTAGGTCTGGGCTGGGCCGCCTCAGAGCCTGCCCTGACTGTCTGTCTCTCAGGAAGCCAAAAGCAGCGGTGGCAACAGCGTTGTGCAGCGCTCCAAGGTAGGGCCCTTAGGGTGGGTGAGGGTGGAGGAAGGAGTGGGCGCTGGCCAGGCTCCTGGCTGAGCGTCCCTCGAAACAGTCCTTCAGCCTGCGGGCCCAGGTGAAGGAGACTTGTGCCGCCTGCCAGAAGACTGTGTACCCCATGGAGCGGCTGGTGGCAGACAAGCTCATTTTCCACAACTCTTGCTTCTGCTGCAAGCACTGCCATACCAAGCTCAGGTGCGACCCTGCCTTGCCCACCCCTTGCCCTGCCTCTAGTCCTGACCCCGCCTGACCCTGATGCTCTGCTTCCGCAGTCTGGGCAGCTATGCCGCGCTGCATGGTGAGTTTTACTGCAAACCCCACTTTCAGCAGCTGTTTAAGAGCAAAGGCAACTACGATGAGGGATTCGGCCGCAAACAGCACAAGGAGCTCTGGGCCCACAAAGAGGTGGACCCCGGCACCAAGACAGCCTGAGGCCCCTCTGACCATCCACTCCCTCAGTGGAGGGCCTGGAACTGGGCGGTGGGAAGGGCGGGAAAAAGATTCTCTGGGTTTGAGTAGGGGGCAGGGTGGGAAGGGGGAGGCTTGCTCAGGCAGAAGGTTCCGGGGCAGGGCTCTGCTCCAGGATTCCTTCCTTCTCCTTCAGTGGGGGTCAAGGGGTGGGAACCAGGATTGGGGTTTGCTCACCCTGCTTCCTTCAGCCCACCCCACCTCACCACATGGCCGCCAAGCCCAGCTTCCCTTTTTAGGTGCCTTTTCTCCAGCAAGGAGTCAGCATGCCCCCCTCAGGGTCCCAAGCTCCCTTACTGCCACCTGGGCCATGTTGGCCACCATGTCTCCCCATCTACCTCTGCCCTTAGCCTGGTCCTGAGCCACAGACTGGGAGGAAGGAAAGTGAGAGTGTCACCTGCTGGACCTCAAGGATGCCACAGCAGCTGATGGGGGAGGGAATGGGGAAGTAGAAGGCAAGGCAGGGCCCACTGCCTTGGGGCTGGGACCCCCTTGCACCATGAAGCTAAAGTCCCCGCCAGGCTGAGCGCTTCTGAGACCTTCGGGGGCCAGCAGCAGCCGTGCCCCCTCCTCTCCCTCATTTCTGCCTTCTGACTGTTGTGATAACCCTGTTTTAAACATGTTTAAACAGATCCTGACTCTATTATGTGGCCTGTTGTGGGGGCTCTTGTGACAGGATGCCCATTGACCACAGGGAGGGGAAGGGGTTCAGGGTTAGCCCAGAGCACTCCTGGCTTTGATGGAGGGGCAGCAGTGTCAAGGAAATACAAACTGCTTGAGAAAAGGGGTGCTCTCTGCTCAGCCAGGATGCCGCACGGTCAAACAGTGTGATTCTGTAACTGCAACTCCACTCTCCCTTGATCTTTGGGTTGGCTGACTTCCCAAGCCCATGGCCTCACATCGACACCCCTGTTCTGAAGAGAAGAACCAGAAGCATCAATGTCATCTGGTTGCCTTGCTACACCTGGGGGGCAGGGCCCAAGGCAGAACCCTTCAGCAGAGTCTGTCTAACCCCTTTCTATGGGCTGTTCCCAGCTGTGCAGCTCCCCAATCCTATTCCTTTGCCTTGGAAATCTGCATGGAATGGTGGGAACCCACAGACCTGGCAAGTGTTGCTAAAGGTTTCCTTTTGTCCCTCCTCATTTTTGTGCCCCTCTTATTGCTGTGTTCTGGGGAGTGGGGCAACCACAGCTACCCCTACCAGGTCATCCAAGGAGAGGTTGTCAGCTGTTCTGAGAGCCCAGGCACACTGAGAGGTGACAGTGTACAGCAGAGAAACAAGGCAATCTTGGAAGATTGGGTTCTCCTGCGCAGACCCAGCTGTCCTGACTTCTCCAAACTGCCTGTGGGATAGATAAGGTGGTGGAACAAGAGGATAGACACCTCTAGGACTTGCTGCCACTGCCCCATACAACTCGACTTACTAATAAGCAGTGTGTAGGAATTGGTCTCAATTCCTGGTGACAGATGAGCCACTGTGCTCTGTTGAGGTAAGCACTGCTCCTTGAGGAAGTAGACACAATGCTTAGTAAGCCAACAGCACCCAAGGCCTGGATCCTGGGAGCTGTTAAGAGCCTCACTCAGGGAAAGCCCAACTTCCTATAGTGAGGCCTCTGTTGGGGACAAGGACAGTCTCCGCTCAGAGTTAAGCAACAGCAGCAGCTGAGCCAAGGAGAGATGCTGGAGGTGGTTTCTGATAATGCCCTGCAGGATGGGTCCAAGGGGAGCCTCAAAAGAAGACCTTACTAGATGCCATGAGGGTCCCAGGAACTAAGCCACTGGTGATGTTTAGGTCAGAAAGGCCAACAGCGCCTCAGTAAATTGGCCCTAATTTATCACTTTCAGGAGAGGTCCTAGAAAGGGAGAGGGAGTGGAGGAAGGAGGGCACACTGAGGTAACAGTGGTACCTAACCAAGTCATGCCAAGGCCCCTCTTGGCATCAAGTTCTCTCCTGCTTGAGGCACCTTGTTACTAGGTGCCATCCCCAGCCCCTCCCAGGCATACACCTACTTCCCCCAACCAAAAGCACCGCACAGGACCCCCCTGGTATAAATGATCCCTTTTATTGTAAGTAATGCGTGACACTGGCCTGGCTTTGCACTGCAAGCCCTCAGTCAAGATACAGTCAAATAACTGGCTGCAGGTTCTTCTGCACAATCCACAATTCAGACACACAGAGCTGGGAGGGCAAGAGGGGCAGAAGGGTGGCAGCACGCGAACTGGCCCTTATGTGTGGGGTTGGCCAAGGCAAACATACCCCATGGAATGGTAAGAAAATGGTAGCATGGCCCCTTGCCATGGCAAGCCTGGGACTGCAAGGAAACTGCCCTCCAGAACTTTGGGGCCCAGGCCATCCTAGAGTCCAAGAATTTTTAATCTTGATTAGTTAATAATAAAAAAAATAAATTAAAATTAAGCAACAGCTTGGTCCTGAGGATGCTGATCCAGCATGTCCACAGTTTTTGGCACAAAAGTCGGTCTTTTTTGATTTGGGGGGAGTGCAGGGTTTGTTGGCTAGTTTTAAAATTTTATTTTAAAAATAATCCCTGTGAGGTAAGACCCCAGGGGTAGGGCTCTGTAAGAGCCTGAACCTGGGTCATGCAGAGTAGCAGAGTCGTCTCACTTAGTCTCATCAGTGGCACCATGCTCTGTTTCCTCTTGGGAAATGGGGACTGGGGACAGGGTATGGGCCAAGGAGTGCTACAGCCATCAGGATGGAGTCCTGGAGAGGCCGAGCTGCCTGTTGGCAGCTTTGGTCAAGATGAGGGGCCAGTCCCCACCCTGGGCAAGGGCCGAGGTAGAGGCAGGAGCATGTGTGCTCACTGGCCTCAGAGGGCAGTGATGGGTAGAAGGTGGCCTGACAGAGGCCCCAGGGGAAAAGGGATGGAAGGGGGCCCAGGCCCAATTGGCACCGTGCAACACACATTCTGCAAAACCAGCTGCTTTCATTTTCTCTTCTCTCTCTTGAGGCGTCCATCACCTGTAACAGTCTAGAATTGATATATAAAAACCATCAAATATGATCTGAGATATAAATTAACAAGTACAAGGCCTCACATTACATGATGTGAAAAGGCTAAAAACAGCGATAGAAACTACATTCATAAAAGTGCATCGTCAACATACAACGAAGGCTTTGGCTTGTTCTGTGCCCGTGGGGTAGTGGGCATGGCTGGCAGTGAGCTGCCTGGCGCTAATCCCCAGCTCCCTGGAGATGCCCATCCACGGGCACTAGCTTTTTTTTTTTTTTTTCCTTTCTTTCTTTTATGATAACTCCCAAGGAAACTGGGTGTTGGGAGGGAGGAGCTCTAGCAATAGGCACATTTTGGAGGGGAGGGGCCGGAAGAAAGGACCAGCGCCCAGGCTGAGGTAAATATGGCCAACTCTAAGCTGCTTGGAGATACTGGCTCCCCACTGCCATTCCTCCCTCAGGGGAGGAACAAGAAGGGAAAGAGGCTGAGACCTCACAGGGATGGGCAAGGCTAAGGAAGAACAGAGCTGGTGGTTTTGGACACTGCTGGTTGCAGCACATGGGCTTTCCCTTCTACTAGATGGAGTGGGCTTGGCCTGGCAGGGACATGACTGACAGGCAGAGACAACCCCTGGGCTCTCCTGAACAGCCTTGCTGGGCCCACTGAGTTGTCCACCTTCCTCTCTGCTTCAGTGAGGAAACATGCCAGGCCAGAAGCACAAAGGTCATCCCATCAACTCTTTAGAATCCAGCCCAAAGCCCAAGCTCACACAGGGGTACTCAGAACCCAGAGGGCACAGTCTCCAGTTTAGAAACTGGATACAGCATAAGAGTGACTCCAACTTGTAAAACAGAGACAATTGCATTGATAAAACTGGGTCTCCCCCCTCAGTGGGGGCAGCCATGTCTCAGGCTCCTGCTTGGGGGTGCAGAGTCATGGGGGCAGGCAGGATATGTTCCTCCTTCCCTGAATAAGGCAGCATAACATTTGCTTCATTCATCTTTGGTAAAGTCTAGGACTGGCAAAACTGACTTGGGCCTCTGTCTTCCCTCATTTGTGGGACACTGGGCTTTACCTCAGGCTTGATTGGGCTCATCCAGCCCAGAGACACCCTGGTGATCTCCAGACATTGGGAGGAGAAACAAAATAACACTCTGAATGAAAATAACACTATTCATACCCTTGAGTCAGTCCTGTACCCCCCACCCCAGGCTTCCCAGTCAACGGCAGTGTCAGGACAACCCCAAGGGCAGGGCCCGCAGCTGCCTTACACACTTTCCCAGCCCCTTCCCTCCACACTGAGCTTAAGACACTGGAGCTCTTGGGTCTGGCAGGCGGGGGGCTCCCAGTCCTTGAGGCTACAGCCATCCCATCCTAGCTGAGCCCCATTGGCAGAAGGGGCACAGACAAACGCTGGCTGGATTGCAGCTCCAAGGTCCACAGCCTGGTCTGGGAGAAGCAGCAACTTCACTGCGCCCCACAGCAGCCCCCGCCTGTGCAGCACGGGGCAGCTGGCAGCAGTAGCCTTAAGAGCTCAGTATACGAGCTGTGCAAAGTGGTGTGTGAGCAGCTCCTCAGCTGAAGGTCTCTGATGAGCCTCCACAAAAATGCGCCTCAAGAAGTCCCGGCCATGTTCAGAGATGTGGGAAGGCAGCTGAGGGTTGGTGGGCTGGGTGGCAATCTTGAAAATAGCGGCCATAGCTTCATACTCTGCCCAAGGTGGCTTCTCTGTCAGCATTTCCACCACTGTGCAGCCCAGGCTCCTGGAGAGAGAATCTCACGTCACCCCTTGGCCAGTTCTAGGCTCCCAGCTGCCTCACCCACCTTTGTGAAAGGAGGTGCCTTCCTCAGATCACACTGAAGTGCAGGATGTGCTAAGCTGAGGAATGAGACTCCTTGAATCCCAAGACCAGAAAACTTTGAAACACTCTTTGCTCTTATCCATACAGGCCTCATCAACCTGCACAAATCACTCACCTGGGTACTTACTTCTTCAGACTGGAGAAAAAGGAACCACTGGGCACTGACAGAGCTCCAAGTGGGCTGGGAATGTGTGCTAGAATGCTTGCCTTGCACATGGGAGATTCTGGGTTCCATCCCCAGCACCATACACACACAAAACCCCAAACCTCCAAGATAATTATATTAATTTCCTATTGCTGCTGTAACAAATTATCACAAACTTAGTGGCATAACTACAACACATACTTATTATCATCCAGTTCTGGAGATCACCAATCTAAAATTAGTCTCCCCAGACTAGAGTTAAGGCATTCATTAGCAGGGCTTATTCCTTCTGGAGGCTTTTGAAGGGAGAATTCATTTCCTCACCTTTCCAGCTTCTAAAGAAGGCCCCCTGCACTTCTCTTTCTTTGTGTGTGTGTGTAATGCATGCACGCATGCGTGTATACACTCAGATCAACCTGAGCCTTGTGCTCTCCAAGCATGTGCTGTATTTTATAATGAGCTACACTCTAGCCCCACCTGTGTTTCTTGGCTCATGCACCTGCGTGGCTTACTCCAGCCTTGTATTTTCATTGTCACACTTCCTATTTCCCACTCTGACCTCCTGCCTCCGTCTTTATTTTTAATTTTTGTAGTGCTGGGGATCAAACCCAGAGTTTTGCACATGCTAGGCAAGTGTTCTACCACTAAACTACATCCCCAGCCCTTTAGTTTTTGAGATGGGGTTTCGCCAAGTTATCCAGGTTTTCCTGGCCCTTTAAAAAAAATTTTTTTTATTGTTTGTTTTTGATACAGGATCTTGCTAAATTGCCCAGACTATTTTTGATCCTTCTGCCTTATCCTCCCCAGTAGCTGGAGTTATGGGAGTGTGCCACTGCACCAACTGAACCCCCTTTTATAAGGACTCTTGTGAGTATGCCAGGCCCACCTGGATAATCCAGGATAACCCCTCCATCTCAAAGTTAACAGCTGCAAAGACCTGCTACCATATAAGGTAACATTTACTGATTCTAGGGATCAGGACATGGGGGGACATTGTTAAGCCCACCACAATAACTATTCAAGAAAAGTTCTTGTGACTTCTAGGTCCTTTCTGAAAATAGAAATAAACTCAGGCAAAGGCAAGTCCATCTGAGCACTAGGAGAAAGGGCATAAGTCTGCTTTTGTTTAGAGACAGATTTACGTCTTCAGAGTGGATTCTGCTTCTCAAGGGGTTCAGCAAACCCAAGGATACTTTTTCCATGGCTTAAATTTCTAGCACTAACAAGATTTGTTATTTGGAATTAAAACACACCCTATTTGTGCTACTGCAAACACCACCACCGCTGCATACAAGGAGCCTAGTCCATGGGTGCACCAGTTAGCAAAAGGCAGGCCCTCCTTTCACATGCAAGGTTCCCCAAATCATTTCCAATTCAGAGCGACTACAGCCCAGGCAGGGAGACAGAGTCCTGGTATGTCCCAGCACTCACCATACATCTGCTTTCCTTCCATAGCCCTCGCCGCTGATGACCTCGGGGCTCATCCAGTAGGGAGTGCCAGTGACTGAACGCATGCCAGTCCCTGACATGCAAATGGTCTGCAGGCGTTTGCTGGCCCCAAAGTCCCCAAGCTTCACATTCCCAGCAGAGTCTCGGAGGATGTTGGCTCCTAAAGCATGGAAGAGCAGAAACTTCCACCTTGGCCCCCCCTTCTATTTTCTATCATCCTCCCTCCAGGTCACAGAGAGCTATGGAGGATGGGAGCTACACTGAATTCGACATAAGCTGCACAGGGCACACAGGGAAGGGAAGCCTCAAACTTACAGTGTGAAGTCACAGGTCTTCGTGGTCAGCATTCACACTGGACTAAAGTATTTCCCCAAATTGTTCAACTGTTCTTCATATTAATCCCACATGGCTGGGGAAGCAACTGGGGATCCCACTTTATAGAAAGTTCAAAATGGTTCAGTGTTGGCCCACCCAGTCACTAAATGGTAGACTTGAAGACTCCATACAGCCTAAGCCCTGCTCACCCTTGATGTCCCGGTGAACAATCATGTTGCTATGCAGGTAGGACATGCCCTCCAGGATCTGCCGGGTATACTTGCGGGTCACACTCTCCGTCAGAGCTCCATAGGCCTTCAACTGGTCTTTCACTGAGCCCTAGCAGTCACAAGGAGTCACAGGGAGTCCCCTCAGGGGATGGCTGTGGGAGGGGGCAAGGCTATTTCCTGGCCCCAGGCACTGTAGCAAAGCAGTGATTCATCTAAGCTCCATCTGTGATGTGCTGGGCACTTTGACAGGAGCTGCCAGGCAGCTTGGAGAAAAACATAAATAACAATCCTTCCTTCAAGCAATGGATGACCCACATGCAGAAGAAGGGAACTTTGCTTCAGGTGAAGTCTGTGCTTACTGGACAAGAACCAGACCTCAAGCGCCAACCTTGGGTTAAGCTAGGCTAGGACATTTCTCACCTGACACCTTTACTATAGCCACAGGTACGGTTCTCCTGAATCCAGGTCCTGCCATAACCTTACCTAGCTCCCCTGAACCTCTGGAGCCCCAGGAGGTCAGACCCAGGTCAAGAGTGACTCCCCAAGGCCTCACCCCAGATCAGGCTCCTTTTTGTGAGAGATTCATATGTCCAAGGCACACATACCCCTGGCATGTACTCCATGAAGATGGTCAGAGTCTTCTCGGCACGGTCCCGCAGGCAGCCATAGTACTGCACAATGCGCTCATGCTGCAAGTTCTTCAGCAACTGGATCTCACACTCTAGGGCACTCACCTCCTAGGGAAGGGCCAGTGGTCACCCAGGCACTTAGGGGATTGGGTGTGCCTGCCTGGGATGCACTCAGCTTGCCCTAGACTGTGCTTCACAGGGATCTGCCTTGGGAACTTCGTATGGAGAAAAGAAGGCCTGTTCGCTGTCTGACCCTTGGCCACAATGCTGGCCAGTCCTTGGGATATGGCACTCCCAGGCCTGGAGGAAGGCAGACAGGGAGAAGGAAGGAGGGGTTGTGGGGGCTTAGTTAAGGTAGCTATTGTATTTGCCTATTCAAATTGAGGTGTCAGTCACATGATTTCTCCTTTAGAGCTGGCCCAAGTAAGTGGAGAAAGGTACTTCGGGAGTGGGGACAGGGAGTACCCTTTCTGGCGATGATTATCACCTCTGTTTGGGTTGCATGGGACTATGAGATGGCCTTAGATCCTCCCGGAGGGGCTTGGTGCTCCTTGGACCATCAACTCTTCACCCCATAGTTAGGACCAGGGTGGATAGCAAGAGAGCTTGGGAGGAAGAGTGATGGGGGGAGGCAACCTGTAGCACCTGGAGCTATTAATCTGTGCAGTACAAGACAGGCACTTATATTGAAAGAGTTCTCGAGAACTGGAGGTCAGAGAATGGGAAAGGCAGTACCTTGCTTGTCTCAGGACTGTCCGGGTCAAACTGGACCTGCTTAGAAGCAAGTTCTCGTCCTGTGTCCACATCATAGCACAAATAGACCCTACCAAAGGCACCCTGGCCCAGGAGCTTCCCCCGACGCCAATTGATGGGGGCACTAGGAGCTACAAGAGAACATTGGAAAAGAGTGTTATATTATGCACATTGTTTATGGAGACCCTCCTTGTTCTCCAGCCACTTGATCATGAGACCTCTGGCTTAGGTTCCCCCATGCCCAGCACCATCACCTCTTTCAGTACCCCATCTGAAGTAGACCCAGAGCCCTCATCAAAGGGAGCTTAAGATCAGAGTCCTGGGAAACAGAGGACTTGCTAAACTTATGGTCAAATGCTCTTCTGCATGACTTTCAAAGCTCCCAAATACCTTACTACATCAGGGACTAAGAGCATGCTTTTCAATTTAAACACGGAAAAACTAAAGGCTGGAGATTAATGGCTTGTCTACACAGCAGTGGAGTCAGGCCTAAGATCCAGGGTATGCTGCTCTCTCCAAGGATGTCCCTGTGGGGAAAGGATGGGCCAGAGCAGCAGAATGCTGAGCCTAAACACCCTAGTGGCCTGGCTGTCCTCCCAACCCTGAAGCTTGTCTGAGCACCCTTGACAGTCTTCTCCTAGCCAGGGACATTCCTCACACTTAGTTGGCACACTCCTCTCCTGAACAGAGAGGGCATTCTCGCTGTCTGCACTCCGTAGTCGTCCACGAGGGTCCAGGTATTGCACAGCCAGACCCAAGTTCTCGCCATTTGTGCTTAGGGAGCGGCTGGAGGGCACTAGGGTGAACAGGTTGCCTTGATGACGCCGTATTCGGGGAAATGTTCTTCTGCCTAAAAAGATAAGGGGCCAGAGTAGAGCAAGTCAGACCTCTGGCCACAAGATAGAATGTGCAGACCAGCTAGAAGTGATAGACAACACTGGCTTGGGTCTATCCTGTCTGCCCTTCCACTTGACTCATGCCAGAAAGACTGCTGTCCCAAGCACCTTGAGAATCAAGACAAAAGCAGAAATAAAGAAGTAGCCAGTTCAGGGAGCCATGGCCATAGGGAGTGGGGACAGGGACTGATAAGGCCAATCCCCAGCACAAGTCTCTTTTCTCCTCAGCATCCTACTCCGACCCCCTCTGCCACAGCTCCGCTGTGTCTGCTGCTGATGCAGAAAAGGTCATTGGAGAGACGGCACTCCAGAGTACACCATGGACAAAAAGACGGAGTTCCTAGCAGCAGCTACTTAGTTTGAAAATGCAATACTCCTTGTCTGGTTATCTTCTGTCTCTCTTGACTCAAGACTAAGGCACAATTTCCCAGGATTAATGGAAAACACAGATCCTGGAGTACCCAGGTCCCACCCACTAGTGGTGGCTTTTCCAAAGCAAAGCATTAAGCATGGTCTTTTGTGAGGCAGCCAGCAGAGGGCAGCATGGAGGCGCACTCACCATCATTGTAGTCCTTGTGGTGCACAGACACGTGGTAGCGCCGGGGATAGGTTCCGCCTTTGACCCCTTTGTCATAGAGCTGGGTTTCCCGATCTAAGTAAAACAAGGGAGTCACTGGTTTTGGGCAGGTCAATGTGAGTGAGCCACTTAAGTCCCAGGTCATTCAAGACCCTAGAGCAGTAAGCCCAGGCAAATTTGTCTACACAGTTTTGGCTTCCCAACTCAGAACTCTCTGGACCCACAAAGACTCCCCTGCTTTGCTAACCCAGGCTCTGTGGAATTTACCTGAGTACTCCTGTCTGTTGTCTGGGAAGCTTTGGGCTCGGGACATTCTTGATTTCCGGAAGGATGGGCTAGAGAGAGCAAAAAGGAATCACAAAATAGACCTCAGTGTACTTCCAGTGCAGCTCAGAAGGCAGAATAGAAGTCAAGGGCATCTAAATCATCTCTTCTTCAAAGTGCCTCCCATGTGCACAGGTGTGGAAAGAGGAACTGGAGGGAAGTAGCCCTTTCCTTAGTCTAGTCCCCTGCTTTCTCCACCCTTCACTTGTCAGAGGCCCAAATGTGACAGGACCCTGGGTGGTAAGTGACAGTCCTGCTGAGCTCCACCTTGGCTGCATACCCCTTTACTTTACCTTCTTGGCCTTTTTCTCCACCTATGTAACAGGTGAAGAGCTGCAAGAGAATCCCTGGCCCAAGTAGTAACAAAGATAACAACAGCATAGTTTACAGAGAGTGAGCTTTTTCTTATTTAACCCTCATAACTCTGCAAGGTAGGCAATGTGTCTTCGCAGACACCCTACTGGTTTAGGTATGAACATTCTTATTTATTTCCCCAAGGATACAGCTAGGAAGCAACAGAGCTAGACTTCAAATCCACATCTGTGACTCCAAAGTCTGTGTTCCTGCAGTTATACCAAGCATCTTCCTTTCAATTAGTCATTACTATCCTATTCTAGAGAGAGGGACACTGAGGAACTAAGAAGTTAACGCACTTATTTGAAGCTACTGAAATATCTGCTGGAGCTGGGATTGGATACAGGTCTATCTGGCTCCAGGTCTGCCCTTTCCCAAAAAGGGAAGACAAGAGCTCTGAACTCAGGTCAGGCCAGACCTCAATGAAGTCAGTTCAGATCACTGGGTTTCATTCACAAGGAGAAAACAAAATAAAAAAGAAGGTTGGAAGAAATACCCAAAACCAGGGAAGTAGGTAAATTCGGCTATCTTTCCCAGCATCCACCTGAATAGCCCTTTCCCTGACTGATAAGCAAGTACCTTTTGAAAGGGTCATAGGTCAGAACTTCCAAGACAGTGACTTGGGGGCTGCCGCCTTCTTCCCAAGACCTTCCCCAGACCTTCTGTCCTCTCTTCCTATCCCAAAGCTCAGAAGATAGTCCAAAGTCAGAGTCAGTCCCTGTCCTGGCAGAGCCCTCAACCAGTGAGGACTCCTAGCACTTTCACTTGTGCCTTCTTGCTACCCTGATTGGAAAGCAAGCCCCAATCAAGGATATATATTGGAATCAACACGTATCTATGACTACATTCTATGACACCTAGAGGAAGATCACACTTATCAGTGCTCAGGTCAAATTTGGCCACAGTCAGAAGATCAGTACCCACATAAACAATTAATCAGATACACAAATTAAAAAAAAAAAAAAAACTAAACTTGCTCTCCATTTTTTTTGAAAAATTTTTAAGTTGTAGATGGATACAATACCTTTACTTTTATTTATTTATTTATTTATTTTTAAGTGGTGCTGAGGATCGAACCCAGTGCCTCACACATGCTAGATGAGCACTCTACCACTGAGCCACAACCCCAACCCCTGCTCCTTAGCTTCTAACCATAACCCTAAACCCAGTCAGAGGTGGCCAAAACAAGGCTGAGATAATGGAGCAGTGGGATCAGTGCTGGGGCCAGCTCTAAGAGCCATGTTCTATATAAAGGAGAACACATTTCCTCCTAGAATGTTGTTTTCCAATTATCATATCCCTGTTTCTTATTCCACCAGAAATATTTGGACAAAAAAAATTTAAAATCAAAGTAAACCCATGGATGAAAATCTCGTTTTTTCCCCCAAACTTCAACAGCCCATTGTTTCTCAGTCTAGGTTACAATAAAGACCCCAAACGCCCAAGAGCAGCAAGTATTATGAGTCAAATCAAAACATGTAGAGCACTCAAAACAACACAACAAGCACTTAATAAATGAACTGATATTTTATAGGCTATTGTTATATTCATTTTATTATGCAAGCAAAACATTCTCAAGGTGTTTGGGAAACTAAGGAGAGGGCTTCCCTAGATGCATGCTGTTTTAACCCTGGGCCTGGGACTGGGATTGTGGCTCAGTGGTAGAGTGTTTGCCTAGCATGTGTGAGGCACTGGGTTTGATTTTCAGCACACATATAAATAAATAAAGGGACATCAACATCTAATAAAATATTAAAAACAAAAAAACTAACACTGGGCCTGTCAATCTGTGGCTGGATCATAGATGCACACTAGCGAACATTACTTCCTCAACCCATCAGTTCAAAAAATGCCTATGCATTGGTCAGGTGTGGTGGCACATGTCTATAATCCCAGAGACTTCGGAGGCTGAGGCAGGACCACAAACTTGAGGCCAGTTTCAGCAATTTGGCGAGGGCCTAAGAAACTTAGTGATCCCTATCTCAAAATATTAAATAAATAAACCTAGGCAGGCACTGGGTTCGATCGTTAGCACTGCGTGATATTAAACATATAAAAAGTTTTCTGTCCATCTGCTACTACAAAAAAAAAAAAAGAGCTGGGGATGTAGCTGGCTCAGTGATTAAGTGGCTCTGTGTTCAATCCCCAGGACCGCACCCCCCCAAAAAAAAAAGAAAGAAAAAATAAAAAAAGCCCATCTAATAACACTCAAGCTACCCACAGCCCCATACCTGTCTGCTGATCTGTCCAAGGATTGGCAGCTTCCTGATAAGGAATTTTCAGCACTGCTCAGGGGATCCAGCATCTGTAAGGCAAGTCATACAATAAAACCACAGTCCCAACCCTAATCCCAGCCAGCCAGGTGACCCAGGCTTTATCACCCAGTTGAGGCCAGCACATGGTCTTTTTGTTTAAATATGAAAGTGCCCTTGTTTCCCCATACAGTGGGAAGAATGGTTAGTAAGGTACCATTCTCCCCTGTTGTCTGAAAGGCAAGTTTCCAGGAGGGAGAAAAATGCTTGGCTGGCATCCCAAGGAGTCTTGCCAGGAGGGCAAAGCAGAGACGCAGCTTCTCTAGTTGGCACTTTCTTGGCTTATCAACACTGGTGCGTGGCACTGGAGATGGTACTACCCTGCAGAGGCTTCCAGTGAGTTTGGGTGGGACCCTAATGCTTCTGTTTACACTCCATAATTCATAATTTATGAAAACAAGCATTGCTTCATTTCACAGATGAGCACTGTAGCCAAAGAAAGGTTAGGAGACTTGTCTAAAGTCATAAAACTAGTCCATGCGTAGCTGGTACCAGAATACAATCTCCCAGCTCCTAGTTCCAATACAGAGTTAATAGATGTCTACATAGACTGAAGTATTTCTCTGGACCCTGGTCTAATGCAGTTACAAAAAACCTTCACAATAGTTCACCCCCACCAACTAATCTCATGAAGGTCCTCCCCTTCATTTTCTCTTTACAGAGCGGAGGTGGCTATGGGGTCTTCAATTTCACAGTATAGTCATTCCCTGACATCCACTGGGGATTGGTTCCAGGTTCCCTTTTAAATCTGAGGATCCTCAAGTCCCTTTACAAAAGATGGCACAGTATTAGCATATTATCCATATATATATACTCCTATGTACTTTCAATCATCTCTAGGTTATGTATAATATTTAATACAATGTAAATACTCCATAAATAATTGTTATACTGTATTGTTTAGGGAATGACAAGAAAAAAAAAAGTCCATGCTGGTCCCAGTGGCACCTGCCTCTAATCCCAGTGACTTGGGAAGCTGAGGCAGGAGGATTGCAATTTTGAGGCCAGCTTTAGCATCTTAGTGAGACCCTGTCTCTACGAGGCCAACATCACCCTGATACCTAAACCAGACAAAGACACTTCAAAGAAAGAAAACTACAGACCAATATTTCTAATGAACCTAGATGCAAAAATCCTCAATAAAATTCTGGCCACTCGGATACAAAAACATATCAAAAAAATTGTGCACCATGATCAAGTAGGATTCATCCCTGGGATGCAAGGCTGGTTCAATATACGGAAATCAATAAATGTTATTCACCACATCAATAGACTTAAAAATAAGAACCATATGATCATCTCGATAGATGCGGAAAAAGCATTCGACAAAGTACAGCATCCCTTTATGTTCAAAACTCTAGAAAAACTAGGGATAACAGGAACATACCTCAATATTGTAAAAGCAATCTATGCTAAGCCTCAGGCTAGCATCATTCTGAATGGAGAAAAATTGAAGGCATTCCCTCTAAAATCTGGAACAAGACAGGGATGCCCTCTATCACCACTTCTGTTCAACATAGTTCTCGAAACACTGGCCAGAGCAATTAGACAGACGAAAGAAATCAAAGGCATCAAAATAGGAAAAGAAGAACTTAAATTATCACTATTTGCAGATGACATGATTCTATACCTAGCAGACCCAAAAGGGTCTACAAAGAAACTATTAGAGCTAATAAATGAATTCAGCAAAGTGGCAGGATATAAAATCAACACGCATAAATCAAAGGCATTCCTGTATATCAGCGACAAATCCTCTGAAATGGAAATGAGGACAACCACTCCATTCACAATATCTTCAAAAAAAATAAAATACTTGGGAATCAACCTAACAAAAGAGGTGAAAGACTTATACAATGAAAACTACAGAACCCTAAAGAGAGAAATAGAAGATCTTAGAAGATGGAAAAATATACCCTGTTCATGGATAGGCAGAACTAACATCATCAAAATGGCGATATTACCAAAAGTTCTCTATAGGTTTAATGCAATGCCAATCAAAATCCCAACGGCATTTCTTGTAGAAATAGAGAAAGCAATCATGAAATTTATATGGAAAAATAAAAGACCCAGAATAGCAAAAACAATGCTAAGCAGGAAGTGTGAATCAGGCGGTATAGCGATACCAGACTTCAAACTATACTACAGAGCAATAGTAACAAAAACAGCATGGTACTGGTACCAAAACAGGCGGGTGGACCAATGGTACAGAATAGAGGACACAGAAACCAATCCACAAAACTACAACTACCTTATATTTGATAAAGGGGCTAAAAGCATGCAATGGAGGAAGGATAGCATCTTCAACAAATGGTGCTGGGAAAATTGGAAATCCATATGCAACAAAATGAAACTGAATCCCTTTCTCTCGCCATGCACAAAAGTTAATTCAAACTGGATCAAGGAGCTTGATATCAAATCAGAGACACGCGTCTGATAGAAGAAAAAGTTGGCTACGATCTACATACTGTGGGGTCGGGCTCCAAATTCCTCAATAGGACACCCATAGCACAAAAGTTAATAACTAGAATCAACAAATGGGACTTACTCAAACTAAAAAGTTTTTTCTCAGCAAAAGATACAATAAGAGAGGTAAATAGAGAGCCTACATCCTGGGAACAAATTTACTCCTCACACTTCAGATAGAGCCCTAATATCCAGAGTATACAAAGAACTCAAAAAATTAGACAATAAGAGAACAAACAACCCAATCAACAAATGGGCCAAGGACCTGAACAGACACTTCTCAGAGGAGGACATACAATCAATCAACAAGTACATGAAAAAATGCTCACCATCTCTAGCAGTCAGAGAAATGCAAATCAAAACCACCCTAAGATACCATCTCACTCTAGTTAGATTGGCAGCCATTATGAAGTCAAACAACAACAAGTGCTGGCGAGGATGTGGGGAAAAGGGTACACTTGTACATTGCTGGTGGGAATGCAAATTGGTGCAGCCAATTTGGAAAGCAGTATGGAGATTTCTTGGAAAGCTGGGAATGGAGCCACCATTTGACCCAGCTATTCCCCTTCTCGGTCTATTCCCTAAAGACCTAAAAAGAGCATGCTACAGGGACACTGCTACATTGATGTTCATAGCAGCACAATTCACAATAGCTAGACTGTGGAACCAACCTAGATGCCCTTCAATGGATGAATGGATAAAAAAAATGTGGCATTTATACACAATGGAGTATTACTCTGCATTAAAAAATGACAAAATCATAGAATTTACAGGGAAATGGATGGCATTAGAGCAGATTATGCTAAGTGAAGCTAGCCAATCCCTAAAAAACAAATGCCAAATGTCTTCTTTGATATAAGGAGAGTAACTAAGAACAGAGTAGGGTCGAAGAGCATGAGAAGAAGATTAACATTAAACAGGGATGAGAGGTGGGAGGGAAAGGGAGAGAGAAGGGAAAGTGCATGGAAATGGAAGGAGACCCTCAGAGTTATACAAAAGTACATACAAGAGGAAGTGAGGGGAAAGGGAAAAATAATACAAGGGGGAGAAATGAATGTCAGTAGAGGGGGCAGAGAGAGAAGAGGGGAGGGGAGGGGAGGGGAGGGGAGGGGAGGGGAGGGGAGGGGAGGGGAAGGGAGGGGAGGGGAGGGGATGGGGGATAGTAGAGGATAGGAAAGGCAGCAGAATACAACAGACACTAGTATGGCAATATGTAAATCAATGGATGTGTAACTGATGTGATTCTGCAATCTGTATATGGGGTAAAAATGGGAGCTCATAACCCACTTGAATCAAATTGTGAAATATGATATATCAAGAACTATGTAATGTTTTGAACAGCCAACAATAAAAAATTAAAAAAAAAAATAGAGCTATCCACAGTACCAAGAAAGAAAGAAAGAAAAGTCTATATATAATAAGTACAGACAGAATATACTCATTGTGCAGTTGGTTGAATCTGTTCCTTATCTATAGACATGGAATCCACAGAGGTAGAGGACTGACTATATGCATTACCTGAGCTCCAAAGTTAAACTTCACACAGGGAAGAAAATATTAGAATTATGAGAATTCAATAACATAAGATTTTACATAATTTGTTTCCAACTGAAATCTCTTTTCCCATTTCATACTAGGGTCCATCCCCATCCATAATTTCAAATGTTTTAGGTCATATTATCATATATGATTTTTAAAAATCTGCCTATCAAGGCAAATTAACTGCAAAGTAAAATTACAAATTTGGCCAGGATACAAAATTTCTCAAAGTGGGAAAGAACTGCTCCAAATCCAGCAAGTGTATATTTGGTAAAGTTTGATCAAGTAACCGAAAAGAGAAAATGGATGAGTAAAACAACACAGCAAGTGTGATGGAGAAATACACCAAAGGTTCAAGAGGCCTTGAGAAAAACTGCTGAGTCCCATGAATGTTTTTGCAACAATGACCCTAGTTATGATAGTGCTACAGAAGTCAAAGGGGAAGTGAAGGAAGTTACATTGTGCTAGCTAACTTCTGTCAGAAAAATTAAGCCAAAAAATTAACATGAATCATGCCTTGTTCATTCTAAAAATCAGCAAATAGATGCAACTGTTACCTAAATCTGATTAAAGAAAAAACAAAATAAACTTATCTTAGTTTCACTTTTTAAGAAAGTCCCAATGGGATATTTTTTTCACTATATACTATGTTGTTTTGGTCCCTGTGAAGTAGATTTATCTTGAATGGCCTGTTACTAGAAGCAATTTGCTTTGGCTAAAGGGGTGGGAACTGGGGGTAGGACCTTGACAGTTTCCAGCAGCCTCTTTCTAAAAGTCTGTAATCAATAAGAGTCAAATTCTCCTATGTTTTCCATGGGGAAAGACAGAAACAGAGGCAATGGAGCTTGTTGGCAATCTCTGGGATTTCATACTCAGTCACCTCTAAGAACAGCAGGTGTGCAGAAGAAAAATGGTTAGAGAAACGGGGCAGTTAGTAAAATGCCTAGGAAAAATCTGTAGCTAAAGGCATTCCAAGTCACTGTTCCAAACATGAATTTATCTAGCAGGCAGAGTAGAGAAGGGAGAAGAGTATAAAGGGCTTCTCATAGACTATACAGTCTCTTTTCTTAAAAAAAGAAAAGTTATAGGAATTGTTGTTGTAAAATTCTACATGTGATGGTACTGGCCCTTCTGTTGGACATTTTACCCTTAAGAAATGTCCCCTTCTCAAACCAAATTCCAGAAACTTATAAAAGCAGATCTTTCTCTTTGTAATTAAAGCAAGCTCATTTAAAAGACCAGAATGAAGCCAGAGATCTCACCCTTGCTGAGTTCACTAAGTCACATTGCCATTTTCATCAAGTAAGCCCCAAGATTAAAAAGCCAGTCATTAAAATGGGTAAACCATCATAGTGGACAAACCCCCAAGGTGACCAATGAGTCACAACTGACCCAAGGAAACTAAAGCAATAAAAGTATATGTCATTTAAAGATTTTAAGTTTGTTGGAATTTGTTATTTTGTAATAGGTAATTAACACAGCTATTTATCTTCACAGAAGGTCACTCTTAATCAATCCTAAAAGGTGATTTGGATATAGTTTACTTTCTACCTTTCATCAAGATATAGCAAAACTAAAACACAGCTAATGAAAAACTGTGCGGAAATGAAGATAGGCATTGCAAAGATCATCATAAATAGCAAAGTGGTGTAATGTAAGGGGATTGCGAGAAGACTGCAGAAGAGGGAAACTGTCAAGTACTCACCCAAGACCAAGGGTAGGTAGTTTAAACTTCATTTTTGGCAAGAATTAATATTTGGCTCCTAGAAAGGAATAACTAATATTTGGGAAAGCCTGATTTATAAAAGAGTTATTGGATGGGATTCAATTCCCTGCGGTCTACACTGTGCCCACTGAGTACTACCCCTGGTCATAACCTTGGTCTAACACAGTCCATGGGCATACCCTGGGCCCCCATACTCACGCACTGCTCGCTGGTCTCTGGGATGAATTCTCCTTCACTGTTAATGCTGGTGTAGGATCCCTGTCGGGCAATGTGCTGCTGCCGCTCAGGCACATAGCCAGGGGGAGGTGAGCTTCGGCCAGGGTTTTGAGAGCCTAAAGCACAGAAACAAAGCTTTTAACAACAGAGCGTAGGACTTGTGGCTCAAGAGGAGCAGGCATGGGACCAGTTTGAGATACTGAGACCTAGAGGTCAGGGCTGTGACTTGGGTTATGGCACCAAAGCCCAGCATGCTCCAGCTGCTCAAGGCAAAGTCCTTCCTAATAGGAAGCAAGCAGGGTGTGGTGGTGCATGTCCATCATCTCACCTACTTGAGAGGCTGAGGCAGGAGGATGGCAAGTCCCAGGCTAGCCTCAGCAACCTGATGAGACCCTGTCTCAAAATTAAAAAAAAAAAAAAAAAGGCTGGGGATGTAGCTCGGTGGTAGAGTGCTCCGGGTTCAATCCCCAATACAAAAAAAAAAAAAAAAAGGAGCATACGCTAGAACATACATTAACTAAGAACCTTAGAACAAAACATGAACCAGAATAAACCCTGGAAAATCATTTTGAGTTGACAATCAGACCAGCTTTGTATTTTCTCTTATTCATGTATATGACTATTCCTTTATAATGCCATACCTCTCTCTCTCCCTATAGAGCACCAAAACAATTTCCTCCCATTCTGCAAAGAACCTAGAAAAAGGATTGATACAGTAGTTTCCTATATGTCTGTTCATATATGGTTGGGGCATATATTTTAAGACCCCCAAGTAAGATATCTGATGCCTTGGATAATACTAAACCTGACATATACCGTGTTTTTTTCCTAGATGTATATATATGCATGATAAAGTTCAACTTATAATCAGTCATGGTAAGAGGTTAATAATAATAATAAAATAGAACAATTATAATAATAGTCTAACAAAACTGCCAATGTCACTACTCTGGTACTTTGGAACCATTATTAAATAAGGGTTATTTGGAACACAAGCAATGTTAAAATGTAATAGTTATAAGTAACTAACAGGTAGCATATGAACAAAGGGAAGATTCATACCCCAGGCAGAAAAATGCAAGGTTTTATTTCATTACTCAGAATGGTGTGCAAATTAAAGCTTATAAATTGCATATTTCTTGAATTCCCCATTTAATATTTTCTGACTGCAACTGACTAGTGATAAATAAAATTGTGGAAAGCAAAACGGTGGTCTACTATACATCAGCTTAATTCTCTTGAGCTTTGTTTAGGTCCCAGCAGCACTTTTGGGTTGGGATCCAGGGAAAGGTAACTGGATATACCTAGGCATCTCCTTCTCCTGCCCTATTCCCCCAGTCTGCGGCTCCCCTTACTTGTTCTATATCTGTATCAGGTAAGAAGGCCCCCTGACATTCTGGCCAGCAGCAAGGGGCTGCCTATTTCAGATCTACCACTTCTATCCTTCCTAACTACTATGAATAATCATATTATCTTAATGTTTTACTTTCTGTTGGACATTCATAGTAATTACTTCATTTGATTTTCAACATCCATATAACAGAGGTTTGGGGAACATTTTCTGAGTCAGGCACTCTGCATAGTACTTTTACATTTGTTTCTTGATTTAATCCTTGCAATAATCCTGAAACATAAGCATTTGCTTTACTTAACAGAGGAGGCAACTGAACTCAGAGAGCTTTACATTTCTTAGGAAAATATAAATAATTTTAGGAAGCAGAAATCATCCCTATTTTACAGGTGAGAGGACACAAAGCCAATGTGTGTGGACTTACATCAGCTTGTAAGATGGAACAGTTTATCATTCAAATATCATAGAATGACAAGTGTACAGAGATGCTTTAGAAATCATTAAGCAATGTTCTGTCATAAGGGATTTGAGTCTGGGAAATCAGATTTCTCTACCCCTAGCCTTTTCTGATTGACTCTCTACTTTCAATAATCAGAGGAAACAAAAGCAAGACTAGAATTTTGCAATTTTTTTTCTTTTTTTTTTTTTTTAAAAGAGAGAGAGAGAGAGAGAGAGAGAGAGAGAGAGAGAGAGAGAGAGAGAGAGAATTTTAATATTTATTTTTTAGTTTTCGGCGAACACAACATCTTTGTTTGTATGTGGTGCTGAGGATCGAACCCGGGCCGCATGCATGCCAGGCGAGCGCGCTACCGCTTGAGCCACATCCCCAGCCCCAATTTTTTCTTTTTCTAAGATCACCAAGCAGGTAACAAATTTATCCAGTCATATAGAAAACCGGAATCAAAACAGCCCTCCCCATATCCTTCCCCATATTCATATCTTATACTCCTTACCTCTCCCCCATAACTCAGCAATTCCGACACTGGGAATAGCAGAAGTTAAAATCCTCAATGAAGCAGGCTACTTTCCTCAGTGACCGGTTTCTCCAGTCTAGTTCAGAGCTATAGCACTAGGTTTCCTGAAATGGAGCTGCAGGCAAGATGTTCTGTGGGAATGGCTAAGGAACAGAGAACAAGAATGGTAGCCTGGAGACTTGGGGAAGAATCTAACTCATTCTACTCTGAAAGTGGGGGAACAGCCAATGCCAACTCCCTCCTTTCTTGATAGAAATCAGTTTCAGAAGGAAAATTTGGGATATACGGAGCACAGACTGTGCTCTGGAAGGAGAGGTGGTATATCTCCTGCAGAAGATGCTAATAAGTCCAGCTAGGCTCTTTGAACACCCTGGAGGGGAGAGTGGGCCTGACAAACTGCTGGGGCTCAACAAAATTCCCTGAGTCAGGGAGGCTCCTTCTACTATCCCAAGGGCCCTCATAAGGGAAGAAGAATGGTGCAGAGGGTTGCTCTTTGAGACAGCATCTAAGAAGCTTAATTCTTTCATCAAGAGACTGACTCCTTTATTATTCTATATGATATCAGTTGATCAGACCTATAGCTTATTCAATTATGTAGAAGACACTTGATAAATTTGTCATCAAGAATACTTCCGGTCTGGGGTTGTAGCTCAGTGGTAGAGTGTTTGCCTTGCATGTGTGAGGCACTGGGTTCAATCCTCAACAAAATAAATCAATAAAATAAAGTTATTGTGTCCCCCTACAACTAAAAAAATAAAGAAAAAATAATAATTCCAATTGAGCCTGGGCGTGATGGTGCACACCTGTAATCCCAGCGACTCAGAAGGCTGAGTCAGGAGAATTGCAAGTTCAAGGACAGCCTCAGCAACTTAGAGAGATCCTGACTCAAAATAAAAGATAAAAAGGGCAGAGGATGTGGCTCAGTGATTAAGCACCCTTGGGTTCAATCCCCTTTACCAAAAACACAACAAACAAACAAAACTTCCAACTCTTTCTTGGAGGCATCAATCCAAGGATGTATATTGGGCAGGAAGGCTAACATAAGGCCCTCAATAATCTGACTTCCTCACCTGACTCCACGGCAGCTGCCAGAAACATTTCTCCAAAAATAGGAACTCAACATGTCATCACAGGTTAGAGGCCACCAGTTCCGAGGTAAAGCAGTACCTGAACCATTCCTATCACATGATCTCAAACAGCCCAATGAAGTGTATCTGTTCATGATTTCTTAAGCCCAAGCAGAAACTCAACCAGCTCTGAGTATAAATTTAGGGATGTTGAAATGGAAACCAACAGAGCAATGAAATCAGGCTAGGCAATTCTCTTCTCTCTCAACACTCTGTTATCTCTCATTTAACTCTTACAACACCCCTGCAGCAGAGGTGTATGACTATCACCTACACTGCACGGAAGGAGAACCTGAGGCCCAAAGTCATATAATGACTTAGCAGCGGGATTGTGGCTAGAAAACAGGCTTTGTGACTCTCAATGCAGGTCAGCCAAGGTAATTTTGAGACATTCATTTCCAAAAAGGGCAGGCATGCTGCTTAATATAGGAGCAAAAGGCAAAACTTTTCCTGGAACTGCCCCCCATGAGGATGGATATCCCTTCCATGGGGAAATGTGATAGTCTTCTGGAAGGCACAGGAGAGGCTTGTGTGGGGATTTCTTTTCTTTTTCACAAGACTTAGGATGGAACCAGGACCTCATGCATGTTAGGCAGGCACTCTACCATTAAGCCACACTCCCAGCCCTTTTTGAAATTATTTATTTCCCAGAACTGTGGATAGAACCCAGGGACATTTTACCACTGAGCTATATCCTTAGTCCTTTTAATTTTTTTTTTTTTTTTTTTTTTGAGGCAGGATGGTCTTGAACTTGCAATCCTCCTGCCTCAGCCTTCAGAGTCACTGGGATTATAGGCATGTGCCATTGTGTATGGCTTCCTTTATAATTTTTTTGGTAACAGGGATTGAACCAGGGCACTTAACCACTGGCCACATCTCCAACTCTTTTTGAGACAGGGTCTCAGTAAGTTGTTTAGGGCCTCCCTAAATTGCTGAGACTAGTCTCAAACTCGTGACCCTCCTGCCTCAATCTCCTTAGTCACTGGGACCAAAGGATGTGCCACAAAGCCCAACAAGTATGGGAATTTCTTGACAGTACAGGAGAAACACAGTACCATGTTTTATATAGCTCAGATTCAAAGTTATTTTGTCCATGATCATTCATGAGGAGGGGGTCAGGGATACAAAATGCCATGTGGCAAATAGAGAACCCAGAGGCAAAGACCCAGTGGAGGGGAGGGGAAATATGGACCAAGTAAAAGAGAATGCCTGCACTTCCCAAGTGGCCCAGATGTCAAAGACCAAAATACCTGGCCACTTCCCTCACCACTGTATCACAAAATTCCAGTGCAACCATGAAAAAAGGATGGTTTTCTTAAGCTTTGTTTGTCATGTCCCAAAACACAGAACATTTAATATTGCTAATATTTGTGCCCGATTCTTGCTTTTGGCTGTAGATAACATTTTGGTAGTCCCCAAGTTCTGTGGCAATTCAGTCCATATGTTGGTAACATATGTCAGTAGTAGAGGCAACCCTAAGGTAAGAAAGTTGTATCAAAGAAAGCCCTAAGCTTTGGGATTACATGAACTTGGCTTTGCTAACCTATTAGCTGACTGATTTAAACTCTCATCTTAAATTTTCTCATCTGAAAAAATGGAGAGAAGTATCTATGATTAGGGGAAGTCATAAATGTGGTGGCATATGTAACCTATATGACACCACC